CTGGCTAACGGAATGCCTTTCAACTTAAAGAAGTGCAAAGTAGTGCAACTTCATTCCGGCAGGCCACATAGTGCAAATTACACCCTTGATGGCCAGAACTTGAGTTGTGTGCCATCAGAACGCGACCTAGATCTTATTTTAACAGAAAAGCTAGACACCAGTGTAAATTACACGAGGGACGTCGCCAAAGCTTACGCAACTTCACACTTTATGCATAGGCAGCTGGGAGCTCTTACTCCCGAACTATTCTTAAGATTGTATACGACATACGTGAGGCCACTCCTTGAGGTGCATAATATCATTGCTCCTCCGCTACTCAAAAGGGATGCTAACATTCTAGAAAGTGTCCAGAGACGAGCGACAAAATGGGTGATCGGCCTCCGCAACAAATCATATGAGGAAAGACTGAAGAAATTAAGTCTTTTCACACTTAGTTACCGTAGTCACAGGGGAGACCTCATCACCGTCTATAAGATCTTAAATGACCAGGCCCACCCTAATAAAAGCATCCTGCCATTGAGTGATTATAGGCTTCCGCGAGGTAACCCGCTAAGGATAGCACACCAGAGACCAAAGACTCGAGTGCGTTCACATTTCTTCTTGCTTCGAGTTTGCCATCTCTGGAATGCTTTACCGGCGGCCGTAACTACAGCGCCATCTGTGGAGACTTTTAAGCGGAAGCTGGACAATTATGCAGAAATGCAAGGTTTGTGTCTCAATGGCTTATCCTCTTAAAATTTGAAACCACACTGTCATTGGATAAGCATACAAGCTAAATCCCACGACCCGTCCTGTCTTCTCTCACTGTACCGACTACTCTATCTTTTTCTTAGGTCACCTTTATTATTTCACCTTTACTATTTCACTTATATTAAATATTCCCATAGTAAAATTTAGAACAACACATTTAAGCGAACAATATTGTTTTCAATTAGATCTCATCAGGCTTAACTCTAATATATATAAGTTTACAAATAAAATTCAAATATAAACCAATCATGGTGTAATGTCTATAGGATAATACGATGGTGAATATAAATTGTGCAATTAGTCATAATAGTAGTAATGATAATAATAATAATAATAGTAATAGTAGAAATGGTCTTATCAATAATAAGGATGAAAAAGTGAGGCAATCTGTGATAACACGAATAATGAAAAACAGCATGATTAAACAAACAACTGTTCAGGTGGAAGTAGTCGATAAAGGCTAGTAAAAACAAATGAACCGATTAAGTAATGTTAGATTGTAAGGGAAGGAAATGAAACACGTTTATAATGAAGATAAGATTAAGGGATGATAAGAAAGGGGATGAAAATACAAACAAAGGGTGGTGTAGAAGTTATTAATTGGTTACGTCTTAATAGGCCAAGGGAGGGATAAAGGCTGTACGAACTTTTTTTGATTACACAATTTAGGTTTAATAGTTCGAATGCCTATTGCCTCAGCTGTGTGTAGTAGACGAATACGAAGTCTATTGGAAAGATTCGGTGGGATACGATGAATCACTTTGAAAGCTCTCGTTTTCTCAATTACATGACCACTATCAATTAAGTGTGACAAATTTGAGCTACGGATTGTTTTTGTCTGTCCTTTGCCAAACAACGATGGGAGATGCTCACTAACACGTTGGCTAAGCTGTCTAGTAGTACGCCCAATATAACTGTCACCGCAGGTGCAGTTGAATTGATAAATACACATAGATGTGGCAAAAACTATCAAGCTTATCCTTCGTTTGTGTCGCAATCATTCGTCGGCTAGAGAATGACAAACATAGGTGTGATGCGTAAAATGTTCTTTGTATACTTCTTGAAAGTCGTTGGAATAGAATCTCACTTGATAAGTCACCATTAAATTGTAACTTAATAAATAGAGGTTTCTTACGTGCCATCAGAGTCTCCGGTTTTTTCTCCGATGTTTTCATATGTTTCTTTATGAAATTACTCGGATAGCCCATCTCCATCAAGGATTCGTGAATATATTCAAATTCCTTTTGTAAGAGGTCATCTGTACATATCTTTCTTGCTCTGCTCGCAAGACATTCTACAATATTCCTTTTATATTTAATGGGCACGTAACTAAGGAAGTGTGTATATTGCCCTGTGAAAGTGCTTTTTCTATACACGCTTCTCCCAAGTGACCCTTAATCTTATCTTCATTATAAACGTGTTTCATTTCCTTCCCTTACAATCTAACATTACTTAATCGGTTCATTTGTTTTTACTAGCCTTTATCGACTACTTCCACCTGAACAGTTGTTTGTTTAATCATGCTGTTTTTCATTATTCGTGTTATCACAGATTGCCTCACTTTTTCATCCTTATTATTGATAAGACCATTTCTATTATTACTATATAATTATTATTATCATTACTACTATTATGACTAATTGCACAATTTATATTCACCATCGTATTATCCTATAGACATTACACCATGATTGGTTTATATTTGAATTTTATTTGTAAACTTATATATATTAGAGTTAAGCTTGATGAGATCTAATTGAAAACAATATTTCACTTATCTCAACCTATATTATCTACACTACAACCTATTATTATTACTATTCTGCTTTTATGACTACACCGAATGACCAACGGGAGTTAGGTCAAACTCCATTCACTGCAGCAACTCAGTCCTAACATACTGCACACTACAAACCACATCTTGACCAATCCTCGCACCACTCCTCTTGGAGTCTACCAGAGCTAAAGCAGTCGAGTGGCGGGACTCACTACGCTTAAGTTCACTGAAGATCTGGAACCTCTACCTTGCAATCAAGAAGCGAGCTCAAAGAAATCACTGGTTTATACTAGCTCGTAATCAGGATATTGGATATTGGACGGCAGTAGGTGTTGAGGTCAGACCTGAAAAGAAAGAAGTATGTTTCATGGATTTAACGACTAGTCACAACCTGTTGAATAATCTTCGTGTGTGATAAATCACACCAGAAGTTTAAAAAGGTGCGGCTTTGGTATCGACATTGAGACATGGAATCAATGAAGTTGTCTAATTCTCTAAATAAGCATAGCAAATTAGAGCATAACCAAAAACCCATATTCAAGGCACTTTGATTATCAGTTTATGTACTCAAATAGAACATCTGCGTTGATTTTGAGGTTAGTAGCGGTTGCGCGCAACAAGGAGTATAGGGTGTGTTTTCAACAGGCGTGTTATTAATTAGGAGACTTAATGAAGATCCACGAGATTCACAATTATCGCTTTCAAAAAAGCAGAAGTAAATTGCTACACCAGTTGAGGTGGCGGAAACTTAGTTAGAAAGCCATTTCATGTATACATGAAACATTAATTAACAGGGTCATCTCAGAAGTAGATTGGAATGTTCAAGTATTGGTTTTTGTAAGGATTTAGTTTGATTAGTTGGAGGATTTCTTCATGAGCTGACATCATTTGGAGAACCATTGGAAAACCTGGGAGTACTTCGCAGCTGTTTCGTCCTAGTTTGGGACTCCTCGGCGGTACACACCCACCGGTGTTCGAACCAAAATGTCTTGCAAATGCATTTTTAATATGTGTCAGGCTGGGACGCCATTGTGCAATGTATATTTTTGCTGGATACACCATACGTTTCAAACTCAGTGTTTTTGACGATAATAATATCACTTTTGATACGATATGGAAGACGAATTGCGTTCCTTTTAACCAGCCTTTTCGGAGTGAGAACCTTGGCTGGTAAACACTGATAGAACTGAAGATGCGTGTGATTAAATAACCGAAGAAGCGGAAATATTGTTAAGTTAAATTATCAGTCTTAAGACCTCACCTTCTCAAATGCCAGGCCAAGAAGTAGTCAGGAGAGTTTGTTTCTCTACAAATGTCCAGTATTTCTCCTTGTAGTCAACCTTTATGTAGCTGCTAACATAAAATCAAGTAACCAGGTCTAGCTCATTAATGCGCATTTTCTTAAAACTCTCTTGTAAGAGTGATGTTGGCTATTAGATAACTAAGTGACTACCACATGTATCTGATTTAGAGTTGTCTTAACCATAGACGAGCAAAATCCAGTGATAACTAAGGCTGCAATTTATTTGATGATGGAGATTAAGTAAGTGTAATGCTTATGATTTCTCTGAACACATAAATACTGACGAAGAAATTAAGTGGTGATCATCCGAAGTGTGCTGCTGCTGGCTACAGAGCTTCGCTGAAGCTGTAACTTTTCAAAATCCTTTTATTTACATCACCTCGTATACCTTGGAGTGCATGTCAGAAAAAAGGATGAATATTTCATTGCACATCATCGCTAAGCACTCACTATATGCGGATAGCATCTCCGAATGGCCAATACACTAACCATCTTCGGAGGAAAAACATCTGAAACTCTTCTTTTCTGTATTCACCTTCATGTAAGCTGAAGCACCCCTATTAATCCTGTTCGACTTGTACCATCATACCCTTTATTTACGTGTGTAATGGGAAAAATTCCACTGTTTTTCAAGGCTGTTATAACTGACTGTAAAAAACTACCTGAGTTTCTTTCCCTGAAATCGTTTTATCTGGCTTTCATTGATGCAGGCGTGAAACACGCAGCATTTGTGACTAGCATTATTGTCTGAAATCAAAAAACTTTTTCCGTTGCTCAACAAATTATCTTTCTCCATCAAATCGGTACACTGTTAGTGAGGTGGTCTCGCATTCCTTGAGGTTACGGCACAACTGAAAATTGCAAGTTCATTGCTTATTTGGTAATCAGATACGCATCTGTTGGATTGTTAAGAGAATTTACACCTTGATCGCATGCAATTATGTGAACGTTCAATTAAGTGCGACGTTTATCATTTTAAAAATATTCTAATTTTTGATTGGTGATAGAAGTTAGAGAACGTTTTTCACGTCTATTCCAATATATGCCCGTTTTTACTCTTCCTTTGCTTGAGAATTCAAATGGGGATGCAGATACCAAATATACTCCCCAGACAATTGAAGGAATACTCGAATTCACTTTCAGGTTTTCAAAGTTATGAAAAAGAAATATGTGTGTCTTTCGCAAAGTTTGTTTTATTTTAGTATTTAATCCAAAAATTAGTAGCCATACATTCGAAATTATACGTTGCAGGCGCGTCTTTCAGTTCGTTAGTGTGTTGTGCTGATTTCTCAATATATTTCCCAATGAATAACTAAGAGTACTACCAATATTCGGCTTGAAAATAAAATGCACATAAAGAGGAAACTAAGACGCTACATAAGCAATATAATCAGCTTCACTAACTCTCGTACTAGGAATGCTCTACGTGATCGATCAGCAGATTTTTACGGTATGTCGGCATATTCATGTTTCTTTAATTTTCCTGGGATAACGATTTGGCTGTCTTGATGATCAATGACAGATTTCATAGTTTTTGTCGAGATTTGGTTAATTCATAATGTTTTTCGGTCGTTTGCATATGTTGACGCTTGCGTACTACTTTCCACATATTGCTTTAAAATAGTGGTGATGTGTAACCCTAGATACCTCAATGCTTTTTATTCCTGTTTATGCGTTGTACGTTGGTATTTTCGTTCGCGTTGTTTCATTCACTAATTCTTCAGACATGACCAACAGCCGAACCCACTTATATTGGTTCTTATCGTGTGGTTGGTCTTTTCAACATTAACTTTAGACAGGACGACTTCATATCAACGAAACAAAGTTTCTCATAAGTTTTAACTCATTAAAACGTGCAGACACGACACTGCATTGTGGCTAATTGATTGACCAGTTGAAGTGAAACTTGAGATTGGTATCAATTTAATACTCTGGAGAAACTCCAGGTTGCAAATTGATGATATCACATTGGATAAAGTTATTTCAAGAAGTGAATATCTACCAAATTGTAATGGTAGAGAATGGTTAAACCTCATTTATGAAGAATCGTAACGCTAGTCTCCCGCAATTTTAAGGACTATCAAGTATATATAAATATATGTCTGGAGAGGATAGTCAGTACATTTATGTATTGGTTCCTTGCCTTAGCCAGACAAAGGATAACTCTTCAAAAGCGACTGTGACTGTTCTGAGAGCTCTTCAGAGCTGGCTAAATTAAGTGCAGTGATTAAAGAATCCACCAATTCCTTCCCTTATCCTTAAACTGGGTGTCGGTACAGATCATTTTTGAAAGATAATCTTAAATTTCTGTTGTAAGTCAACAGGATACCCAGGGTGTACAGAAAACTATTTTGATAGCATCTTCTTGTCGTTTTATCCTAGATTAATAACACTAGCAGATCGATTCGTAGGGTATCAAAGTCAACTAGGGTCACATACATCAACATTTCTACAGTAAAATGGAATAGGAATGCCATTCAGCATTCCTGATCGACACCGCAGACTGATAGTTCTGATGACCACTCTCTATAAGCTCTCAAACATAGTTAAATTTTCATAGATTGTCGTGATTAGTACCATGTCCTTTCTCAGGACTGGTTTCACTGCTAAATATTACCATAAGTCCAAATTGGGAAATACAGTGACTTCCACTGTTCAAGCACCCTCTCGGCCATCAGAATAGCTCACCTCATTTTGCCAATAGATGCAAGAAACCACGCAGAGGTAGTGGTGATCAAGTCTGCAGAATGCCTGTACCTCATCAGCTCAGCCAAGCCACGTTTAATAAGCTCAGAATAAGATTGCACGTATAAAGTCTCACGAAATGAACTTCTAATCAACATTGCGATAGTCTCGAGGAGTGACCCAGATTTAAATGGCACTCAGTCGAAAATTTTATCCAGTTAGCATTCACAGCAACCCAGGTGCACGTACTGTTGAACCACTTCTAATGTCTTACCCATCAGAATGTGTAAATACAGATTCCTGTCAATCTTAAACCAGTGCTTCAAAAAGCACAGATCACTTAAGTATCTGTATGTTATCGCATAATCTATTTGCATACTGGATGTCGAATGATAATTTTGTAATTGGCGAACTTCCACCACATGTGTTAAGTCTGTCTACTTGTTTATTCACTTCTCTGATGGGAGTTTCGATGTCATCTTTGTCGGAGTCAGATGCCTTATGGTGCTATGAGCTTTGGATCGCGGTCCAGGCAAGATTTTCAGGAGCGAGTCCCGTGTATCCTCAAACCATCTCAGCTGATTGCAATGTAATTTGCTGAAATTCAAACCTGATTGGTGAAGAAAACACCCACGTGTTGCGATGGTGTTGGCTGTGTTGGATGATGGTTCTGGCTAAAATTAGATTCTAATTTACGGGAGGTTCCAAAAGGTGGTCTCCAACATCCAATATGTCTATTGGCTACCAGAAGGATTCTTCCCTTAACAGATATCTGATCTGTGCATCCAAGACTTCCACTGGCACTACAGCATCTGCTAAGTGCAGTCAGTGGGAAAAGTCATTCAGTCGGTACTAAAACTCATCCTTTGTTGCATGTAGGTAATGTTCCGCCACTGCATAGATAGAGATAATTTAAAAATAACGCTTCCCTGAACAGTTAATTCCTAATATAAACCAACCTGAGAGCAAATAAATAATTCCTAGTAGAAATTTAGTCGAGTGATACAGTTTCAATCTTAGCACTTATTTCAATATTGACACCATACATGCAGGACCTTGAATAAGCACATATGAAACCTCCTTTCCGAACATCCCATGGGTTGTTGTATTCTGGTGTCTGAAATGCGGCATAGATCAATAGGGAGACTTTCCAGTCATACAACTAAAACTAAATGTTACATTATTTGTGTCAGTGTGCGAAAGTCGCAAATCCTAAGCCTGAACAGAACACAGTATCAAGCTGGCCGTGTTAAATATCACAATGAACAAAAATTTTTTGGAAGACTGAGACAAGCAGCAGACGAAAATATGATCATATACATGAAGGTTATAGAAATGATGCAAAACACTCCATATATTACTATTCATTTCTTGGGTTCCAAATGGAACATGAGGCTTAAGCAGTACATTTGCGTTACACTCGGTTCTCTGCCATCATTTTCAATATGTTCGACGACTGCTCAGAAGTTTTCATTGCTTCCTCACACGATCTTTGGCGTCCCACTCTCGAATGCCCGATTCAGATTCCACTGGAGAGGCTGGCATGATATTTCACTTGAAGGTCTCCTCAGTTTATGTCCAATCGGTTTCTGTTTCTCCGCACAGTAGGTTCTTGTTGGTTTCTTGTCAGATTTCTTTGTAGCTTAATCTTTCTGGCCATCTGATATTCAGTATCGAGAGAAGGCAGCTGCTAATGAAATTTTGCATTAGGCTGTTGAAAATGCTTTTGGTAATGCTCCAAGTCTCTGAATCGTTTAAAGGCATTGACTTGATATTGGTGTTAAAATTTCTTATCTTGTTCGTTGTACTAAGTGTTGTGGATTTCTACATTAATTTCAGAGTAATGAACACCTGTTTCAATTTCCGGATCCTGATTGGTTTTGACGTTTTCATCTGCATCCATATATATAAACTTATTTACCTTATTTTATTTCACTTGGTTTTTCTCTTGATATCCAGTTAATGAAGTCACAGAAGAGTTAGTCGATCTCATGCGTAAAGTTTGGTTACCGATTATTGGTCCAGATTATGACATCATAGTAAGTAACATTTTGTGTTTAAATTGATATGTAATTTATCGGGACTTTTTCACTATTTCATGTTAATTTATGATACGGTTGCAGTCAGCAGTCGATTGTTGTTTTTCTTACAGCTACTAAGTTCTGTGATAAAAATACTACACACTATTGAAATGGCTTAGCTTTATTGCGTGACAGTCTAGATTGTATTATCCCTCATGTGTGAATACCATGTGAAAATAGTCACATGTATATATCGTAAAAGAGAATAGCCAATTAACGTATAAACATCATAGTGCTGCATTTGCTTTAAAGATCTGTACCAGTATGGTCGGCCATGAACTGTATCATCCAGGATTTCTAGCTGTCCGTTATGTTTTTCTTAAAATTTGCAAATATTGACACTAGTAATTCATTTTACATTTCAAGTGTTGATCTGCAGGGATCTGATCAATTTCATGTTTGATCACAAACTAACTTCAGTTAAAACACCATTAAAAGTAGAGGAGCAATAGATAACCGTCTCGTCGTTGTTGGGGACTCTTCAATTATTTCGTGAGCAAACTTGAAATCAACCATATCTCTGTAAGTTAACACTTGAAATCAATCCAGTCCTCATTAGTGACTCGTTACAAGATGAAGTTGCTTGAAGTTCTGGTAGAAAGTCGTGATCGACTGCGTCCATCAAGTGGGGTATGAGGAGAAATACTCGCTCAGGATATCAGCTGTCGGTCGTGCCATATATCATAAGTTGGCAGAAGTTAGGTTTGATGGGGTATTAGATTCCGTCCCAGTGAATGCACAGTCAATGAGTTGTCTGTGTAACCTGAAAGTCCTGGATTTGATCGTTGGTGGGGTGATGATGCTTACTGATAAAGAGTTCGAGATGAGAACGAAACAGCTCTCCGCAACTCGAGTTGTTTTCAGTGGTTCTCTAAGCGAAGTCAGTTCGTGATTAATCTTGAGGAAATCTAATAACGCTGTCTTTAGTCTTTACTCTCTAACCACTAACCAATATGTCAAATCGAAAACTATGGATGAGGAAACTGGTAATCTACCTCAGTGTGTCTTGTTAAAATAACGACATAAAGGCTGAAAAATTCCTCTGCATACATAATCCTTCTTTCCATATATGAAATTTGAAACAAGATATCAGAGCAAACCAATGCTGTTATTCGTTGCACTGAATCAGACAATGATGAGTTCTAAATTAGATCGTATTATTTAGGACATTGCTATTTTTGATATCTTAATTGGACCTATTGATCCATTCCTTTTTATTATTAGTAAAGTTGTCTCGTTTCCTTTGTGATTATTTTACCAAGTGTTATCCGGTTAACAAATATGGTGACACTTATGTTAAAATTAGGATTAAATCTCGATATATATGTGCTAAATTATATTTGAATCAATGTGTTCGCTCACATTGAATATTTACTATAATTGTGAAATGCTCGTTTTTTTTTAACCTGTGTGCATTGTAGAATGCGTTTATACATGTATTTTCAATGATTAGGTGTTTGACTTTAAGTAATATTTTGTCGAGCAGACAAAATTTCGCTCTACGTGACTATAGTGACTACAAAAAATATTTCTATTCACACATTTACGGAAAGTCGTCGTGTATATTCTCTTAGTAGTCAGTCATTTTTTCATACATTTGGTTCCCTTGATAAATTTGGATAGAGAAAGAAAGTCCAGATTTGTAGTATAAAATGATATCATTCTGTTTCACCGGTTCTCATCAGTCATTTTTATAGTTGTTGCTTGTTCCGGGTAGTGGGGGGTGGTAATGAGTCTTTGGATTGTGTTATCAAACTTTTCATTTGTTCTTAATGTACTTTACAATGCCAATATTATTGTTTTTTCATTCCACACATCCTTTTAAATTCTTGTGGTTTTTGGACTTTAGTAGTATTAATCTCGTTTTATGTTCATTCAATCTGGTTTTTAATGGTCTCAACGAGTGACCCAAATAGTTAGTCAGTGAAATAGTGGGTGAGGGATTAATGTAATTAATTATATTTGTGTTTCAATAGTTTACACAATAATTTTGTATTTCGGTAATAGGGATTTCTGTACTTTTGATAGTATGAACAGTCCTTCAGACTCAAATAAATTTTATCGCGTGAATAGAGGATGAATTAGAAAGAAGGGGTGCAGTAGTGGAACTACCTATATTGGATAGTAAAATAGACGTTAGCTCAAGGACAACGGTTAACAGAAAATCAACTCACTAAAGAAGATTTCCGACCTTACTCCTCAGTTCACCGTTAAAAGAGAGTTGTGTAAACAGTTTATATAGGGTAAGAAGAGTTTACATGAAGGACAACATCTCAAGAATTGCAGTACTTACCATACACGAGGAAGGCACAAAAGGTACAGTTCAAATGACACTTTACAAGAAGACTGATGTTTAGATTACTTTGAAACCAGTCAGTTGGAATCAGGAATAAACTAAACCAACTCTAAGATTCAATTTAAAAAACAAAACAAAAGTGTACTTGACAAATTATTTTACCAGCTGGCTACTGCATTTAACTATGTGTAGGTTAAATGTCAAGGCCACTGAAAAAAATTAGACGGAATGAACAAAGACGATATTCATTCAAAAATCACAATAATACAATGAGTATAAAGCTTTCGAAACAAAATAGTCCACCAATAACTGTTCATGCGTGGGACGAAAGCAAAAAGTGGACAAATGGAAAGAGACGAAACAGTTCGTGTTCATACATGTTATTCCACTTATCTTCCCCCATCCTTCGTGCAAACATGCGCAACATACTTTATGGATTTAAAAAACACAAAATGGTGTGACTACTAAAATAAGATAGACAAAGTAACTTTCTGTCTTTGTGCCAATAACAATAGTTTCACAATCATTTGTGTGATTACGTGTAGTGAAATATGTTCACTTGATGACGAAACAGTTCAACCTACAATTGAAACTGATTATTGTGTAAATAAACACTGATTATTGTAAATACATGAAGTACACAAAGATAGTATGTGTTCTTCTTTCCTACTCAGATACAATGTAAGCTAATTCGATATAATATCGACACAACTAGTGTATCTGTCTGTCTGCTGAATAATAAATTGTAGCTTATTCATCATTCTCGATACGTGGGATCTCTTAACAGTTGGTTTGAGCCAACCACGTAGGGAAGTGTAGACTTCCTCGGGATGCTTAAGATCTAATGCCTGGAGACTATTGTTGATATTGTTCAAAATAGTTCTCAATAGCACAGATGTATTTACACCCTTTTTTGATCTGCCATATCCATTAAACCGTAATGTGTTTCTACGTTACTACTATTTTTCCCCTCCCACATTTCTGTTAATTTTCGTTCTCTTAAATCATTTTTTCTCTTGTTTTTCTTCCTTTGTTTACTACATGGAGTGTGACAACTCAAATTGCTGCACTTCTGCGCAAAGTTCTATGCTAGAATCGGTCAGTCTGTCACTATGAGTTATAATACAATAATTTTAGCATACTTTTGCCTATCAGTAGGAAGCAGTCTTCCAGCGAGGCATACAGAAACGCTATAATAAGATGAAAAAAACATACGAATGATAAGTTTAGTGATTCATTAATAATTTTGTAATTCTGTGGTATAAAATACGGCGAGTAGAACTCAGAAGATCGAAATAAAGTATGTTCAAATTTGGTGTATAAGTTGGCTGATAAAAAGGGTGATATATTTTGTAATTAAAATACACGGAGTAGTACTCAAAGGATTCAAAATTAAAGTTTAATGTGAAAGTCAAACTAAACAACAACATGATGTAACCGAAAAATAGAAAATAAAAACTACAATAGAGAATGAATGATACTTCGTTTCAATGACGTATCAAAAGCTTTCTAAATTCATATAGCTGACTGATGACTATCAATCATCTCAAGATATCGATTAGCTACACAATACCACTTATTATGTAAAGGGGGTTTTTCTAAAAGTTTTAGTTCAGTTTCTCTTTCGAAGCTATATTATGGTTGTTTAACGTCATTTACGCGGAAAAGATATTTCAAGCACCACACAGGCTAAAAACTACACTTATCATGTAAGGGTTGGTAATAACTACCCAGTTACCCATGCTTGAAGTCGGTGAAGCAGAGCCCAAACTCATGACCCATCAACTGAAAACTGACTGCTTCGGCCAATGAGCTAAATATCCCCTATAATATAATCAGTTAGAAGATAAGAAAAAAAATGTAGTCAATGTAATTCATTTACTTCTTTTCTTTAATGTCTGATTCATCCATCGTTTTACACCCACACAAAGGCCTTTGTAGTGTGAACAATGGCAACAAAAATACCCATGGGTCAGTTACATCAGTGTGATTGTAAGTGTATGGGTTTGATTTAGTGTTCATTCAAGCACACGCATATACGTGTGTAAGTAGATAGGACTAGTTCCATTAGTGATCAATACACTTTCATTGTTCAATAGAAAGTTTCACTTATAACCGTGTTCTTTGTTTAATTGTCTCTTTTTCTCCTAATCATGTGATTGATCTTCGTCAGTCATGCATTATTATTATTCTGCTGCCTTGTTACTTTTCTTCCTTAATTATCATATGTGACTTTATTTTTGTTGTCTTGTTGTGATAACTAAAAATCTTGATTCTGTGATTATTTCATTTGTATTAGCGTTTGTGTGAGTGCGTGTCAATCATTTATCAGTCAAATCATGTTATTCTGAAGAAGTAGAAAAAAGATATTTGAGTGAGTTGTGGTCATCTGACAATCATGGAAATGTAATTCAAATTAGGGTCAAAAGCAGACTTATCCTCAACCTTAGTGGATGATTATAAGTTCGCGTAACGCGGAAATGAATATGATTAGTTCTCAGACAACAGGTTTCACTCACAGACAATGATACAAAAACCAGCAATTATTAGTTAACATTACATTATAATTGTTGATACTTCTTTTACACTACGACTCCTATAAATCGTAGATGAAGTATGTTTAATCTTTTGATTTGATGTCTATGGAAGTGTAATGCATTCATATTGATCAATTTCGCCTTCTTAAGATGTAAGCAAGACGAACCAACTGCCCTATTATTAGATAAACATTTCCAACAAAATTAATTTTACGGACTTTGTTGAAACGCATTTTTATACGTGGACATAAAGTTTAGCGTTTGATGCAGGCTCTTAAGTAATCATATAACTGCTTGTAGTCGACACTCATGTGTATAATATGCCTCTTCAGTGGTCGTTTCATCGAGAGAACCCTGTGACGGGTGAAAGTTTGTCTTATTATTAAATGTAAACATGGATGATTTGATTTACCATTAAAATATGTATGTGAATTTTTATAATGATGAAACAGTAATTCGTTGGTGCAGACAGTCATCTTTATATCTGACTGGCTGACTCACTTTCAACGTAGAACACTCTGCATAGAAGTTGCCAGACTCCTTATGGCATACAAAGGTGAAGGGAGAAGAATTCAGAACTACTATTGAACAAAAATGTACAAGAGAAAGAATATTCACATAGAGGAGAAAAATGAAAGCTGAATGGCTCTTGGAGATTACAAAGAGTGAATGTATCTGCTCCATTGATAACGATCTTGAGCCATATCATCAAGGGTTTCAAGGTGTTGATTCTTAGAGTCTTGAGGAGTACACCCTTTTTTATGACCGTAAATGGTTATTAGAGCTTCGTCTCATCTTGCAATATTTTCTATTCTGATACAAAAGGCATAGTCTGTTACCAATTATGTACAAACTTGTACACGTGACTTTTGAGTGGCATCTCAAGCTTTTCATATTCACCTTCCAATTTAGCTACAAAATTGTTTGCTTTTCATTATACAAAAAGAGAATGACGTCAATTGTATTATCTGCTTTATTGTTTTTTTTTTCTAATGATATTTAGGTTTTACATGTACATAAGCCTCGGGGAGTTACAAATTTAGGTATGAGTTTAGAAGGTATAACTTATATATCGGAGCCAGCTTTCGACAATACTACTAATAGTTACAATCGATCTCAAACAACAGCTACAAGTAATGGTCATTTGAGAACTATGTCTACTCCAGTGAGTCATCATGTGATGTCGAATGGTGTAGACCAGCAAAATGAACAAAATAAACCATCACGTCATTTTGTGCAATATATTGTTCCAGAGGGATTAATTGGTAGTTTAGGTGTTGTACAGACAGGTGATGAACTACTTCAGGTGAGTAGGTTACCTTTGTGTGTTTTCTTTCCCCTGTTTACACCTAATAATGCCATTCTTTTCGCGCTCAGTCGAATATTTGTCTTGTTTTAATGCTTTCTTTGTTGTTTTACAAGGATCTTTGATTTCTCTTCTTCTACACATCTAGCCCATCCCTCAGCTATTCATGGTTCCTGTAGAAGACATAAGTAGCACCCGCCACACTGTTTGAATTGTTGATGAAACTACTCTGCTTTGTCCGTTGTGTAAATAAATACTACACCACCAACTATAAGGCCCGAAGTTAACAAGCGCATCCATGAAATGGAGACAACCAGTCAGTCTTAAGTAATGAAACAGTTATAGCGGAGAAATTGATTTCCATATTGTTTCAGGGTGTACGGAATAGATTTTATCCGAGCGCAGTTTACCAGTTTTATCTTTGCAATAGACTACTTTTGGAAGACATTGATTATTTTCCCTTGTGGAACTAGTGTGACAATTGATGGGCATTTCTTCAAAATCGTTAGGTGCCAAAAATGGGAATAAGTATCCACGAATCCGTTCAAAAATAAAATACTCCCTCCCACCAAAAGTTTTTGGATGGTATGTCTGGTCCCTTCAAGATCATTGGTACATTTGTTAGCTTATAACTCTGTAGATTAACTTTTTTCCGTCTCTATTTGATGCCTACATTTTGTAGTTGATTAGACTTTTATCAAAATCCCAAATTGTTTATTTTGCAGTATGGACCATATTTGTTTTAACATCTTCGTCAGTTTCTTGAATAAGCACTGGTTCCTATTTTTGATATGGTCCATTGATTAACTAAGGCAATTAAATAATATCTGATGGCTGAGGATTGGGAGTGTACACGACCTACTACCAACTGGGAAGACTGTTATATACTACTGTTTGGGTGATATGAGTAGTTGGATACCATTCATATCAACCAGTAGTGCTTGTTAGTCAGATCAAAATAATGTAAACACCGGACGGTCGTTTCGTTCATTAGGGGCAATGTTTATTAGCGGTGTACTCGGTTTGACTCAACTCAGTTGAAATCATCGAAATTCCAGCTAGGTTATCACCATTTATGGCATCAAGCAGATGATATGTATTGTGATCTGAATAATTATGGTTTCTAGAGAAGATAGTGCAATTTGGGAAAATTGTTAACATACATGCACACACAATAGATGTAGCTTTTAGCTTAGCGTATAGGCATATATGGTTGTGTATTCTGAAAGAAATGAGAGAGACCCATGAACATTAACCATATTTTTTGTCTATTCACTACTTGCCTCATCCACTGTGTCGAATGTTAATTCATCTTTCTTATCAAAAATAATAAATTCAGTTCATTATTATTATTATTATTATTATCAGTTTCAGAAGTGTAAATTAGAATATGTTTGCTTCACTTGTGGTAAATGTTAAACGCAGTGAATGCATAATTATAGATCCACATTTCTTCAATGCAGTTTAACAGTTCGTGTTCATGTATTCCATGGTATATTTCATAGTAAATGCTAATGACTGGGAAAAGAGTAGCAATATGAAACTCTTGAGGGAAATCAAGTGATTTCAGTCGGCACATTGTACAGCATCGGGGAAGTAAAAGAATAAGACAGACATTAGAATAAACAAAATTTGTAAACGAAGATGAGGGAGAAAAAAAGGGCAATGCATAGGTAAATCATAACAAAAGACTGTCTATTTTAGCTCATGTTGTCGGCAGAAAGTCGTCGGTCGTTCATTACCACCGTCTTTGAGTGTTGCCTAGCCAAAAAGTTCAATGTTTTCCTCTTCCTCAAACCGACATGCATATAATGGGTGGATCCAGTATAGCAGAACATGATTCGGAGATCTGATGTCGTTTCACGTCATCTGTGCTACCCGCTATTGAAAGTTCTTGTGACTAGTTGACTGCGGTTGGTAGTGGAATCCAAAATGCGCGTTTTGGCATCCTATCTGACACTCCTCTGCTGAATTTACCTTCGTAATTAGTAAGAATCGAGTCAATCGCCCATCGTCTCAAATGCCAAAGCGTTATCCTTTATGTTAATTAAGGATACTCTATTCAGTAGTAGTTAAATTTTTTTGATTTCACTTTTATTGGATAAGGCTTAAACTTTCAGTAGTGGTGTTGTTTTCCTACGGTGTGGGATTGCTAGCCTTAGACTTAACCCTCCTGTTTTCTGAGCTTACTAACGGTTAATAAAACAGTCAGTGTTTAGGAGTTCATCGACCGACAGTTCTTTCCTACTAATTTCTCCCCTTACAGTGCCACACTGTTAGTAAGCAAATATGATTAATGTATCACTGAAATGTATTCTATGATACCTTGTCACTTTCATTTCCTTTGCTATTGGAGATGGTTATTTATTTGTTTGTTTAAAAATATGTTTATTTTCTAGGCAAATGGTCATCGTATTCATGGGACATCGTATACAAGTACTCTTCGATATTTACGCAGTTTACCGTCAAGAATTCAGTTAGTATTTGGACGTAGAAAGCCTACTTGTACACACGAGGATGAAAATAATGCTGGTTTAAACTTTTCTGCAGACAGTAATCCACTGATCGACTGTACAGATGAACCGCCTCTTGAAGTTGTCGCTAGTGAAATTGGTTCTGTTGATACTGCTCCATCGATAAGAATGATCAATTCATACGATGTGCCTGATCGTGCTGTTGCTTATTCCGGACCGGTATCACCAACATCAGCGCATAGACGTGTTACTGAGTGGATAAGAAAATCTCAAGGTGACTTGAGTAACACAGCGCCTCATTTATCTTCACCTGAATCTGTATCCATGTATGAACAGAGTAATACCACCAGATCAGAAAAAGCTTCATCATATAATTTTGAAGTAAGCGCATATCTGTTTTTATTAATATTATCTCTCGTTTGTTTATTTTGTACATTTTTTCTGTACTTTGAATTTTCTGTAGTGAATGGATTGATTTTTTAGGGTTGCTAGCCCCCGGCCCAACCTTAGGACTAGTGAGCCAGTGAACTCAGCATAAGTAAAGAGATCCGAATTTTCCACACTAATACCGAGGTAGTACGTCTGTATGGTTGAAAGATTTGGTGTGTTACGAAAAGCATTTCCAACAATTTTCTGCAAATTTTCATCGGCATCTGCCCCCTTCTCTCCTTACTGAAGATCTTATGTCAATTCGAAAAGGATAAATAACAACGAACTAATCCTGAACCTACTACCCAACAAAATGTGGTAAGAAATGGGAATATAGATTGGGAATACTCTGAGAAGACCGTTGAGCGACATCCCATCCCACGTTGTTGAGTGGAAGGTGAATAGAAAATGATGAGTGGAGCGTAGGTGACAGTTTAACATGGAGGATGTCGTGTGAAGGGGAGGCAGTGTAAGTTTATGGGTGGTAATCGTGGAGCCAGATAAAAAAGACAGAACAAAAAGAAATACTAATATGCTACTGAAGCACTATGTTCCATTCGAAACCCAAGGGATTGTTTTTTAAACATGTTACTACTCAGAACAGTCAGTAGTAATATGATTGTTATATATAACACTAAGACATCATTACGCAAATGGGTTTACGATTTCTTAACCTATTTTAAAGTGTCAGAGCAGTCACATGGATTATGAAAACATGCGAAAGACGTCTTGCATTTTATTGATATAAAGACTGGTGAGAGCGGATCTAATGTTCATTAGGATAAAGTCAATGTACATTTGGGAAATCGCAAAGCTCATATTTGGTTTTACGAGTTTGATCAGTTTGACATCAGCTAGAGAATCACTGAAAACCAGGGAGTACTGGACAGCTATTTCATCCTAGTTTGATGCTCGCTAGTGACTTGTTACAGGAAGGAGTTTCCTAGAGTTCTGGTGAGAATTCGTGACCAGTGAGGTTCATCCAGTCAAATGTGAGGATGGAGTTGCCGCTGATGGCATTGATTGGTGGTCGCGGTAAATCACTAATTGGTAGAAGTTATAATTCATGGGCTACTGAGTCGGGTCTCATTGGCTGAATGGCATACGAGCTTGCCTTGTAACCGGTAGGTCCTGGGTTCGAACCCCAGTGGGTGCGTACTGCCGGTGATTCCCAAACTAGGACAGAACAAATATCCCTGGTTTTCAATGGTTCTCGAACTGATATCAATCCGTGTTAAAGCTCGTGAAAACAAATCTAGTCCCTTAAAACCAAATCTTGATAAGCTGACATGCAAATAATAATGACAGTATCTTTCTCATCTGTTTCATATTCGATTCTTCTCATTGGTATCTTTCTTTCACCTTCTCGTGCTGCTGCTTCTTTGGCTTTCTCACTGCTTCTCCGACGTTATTTTAAATAATACTTATGTTTATGTAAAAGCCCTATACACGCAGACGCCACAATATAACTTTTCATATTGCTCATCTTCCCAAAGTAACTCTAGTACCTCTATGCAAGTAATAGAGATATTGTTGTGAAAGTGTCAAATGAAGATTCTGCCCTCTTTGTCCACTTTTGGCATAGTAAATGTTTTTACTAGATTAGCGTTTATAAAATAGTGAATCTGGTCTCACTGCTTTCACCGTCCAATCGTTTTGAACTGTATAACCTACCAGTGGAATAAACAAGGACAACAAATTGTTGTAACTGTGATAATTGAAAATATTTGAAGTTGTCCGATTGCCTTGACAGCAAATAGTGTTCAAAATGAAATGTCATCCTGTTATAACGGTGAGACATTGCATATATCCCTATCCATGGTGGTATATCTTATCTCTCCAAATTAACATTGTGTGAATTAGCAATTAGATACAGAATGAATTTTGTTGTCTTGTTTGATTTGACCAACTAAATGTGGAGGGCTTAAGACTCAGGTCTTCCAGTCTATGCCACTTCTTTCGCTTCAACCTGTGCAGCTCTGTGTAGGTAGGATTACCAGCCCTCACACAAATTAAGCAGTGGTACATGAAAGATCTGTTTCGGATGATTGAGTTCCAACATATGAATGGTTATGTAGGCGTAGTGACTAAATTGTGTGTCCATTTTGTATGTCATGATGAATGCAATTATTATTCGAATTCGATCACGGATTTATATTAATTAGAGTACTTTTGAAAACCAGTGAGTACTGAACAACTGTTTCGTCCTAGTTCAAGACTTTGCGGTTCCACACATCCATGACTCCAAGTAGGATGAAACCTAGGACCTTCAATTTACAAGGCGAGCTCACTGACCATTTCAACAACTGGAGCGGAATGCAATGGCCTACGAATTCCAGTTTCCGTCAAATAATGGTAATAACTGAGTGTCATTTGGTGTTTTGTTGATTCTCTTGTATTTATCACATTGCAGACTGGGGAAAAATCGCTACTAATGGACAGGCTAATGTTGTTTTTTCGGTGTGTGTGTGTGTGTAATTTGGATGGAGAATTAATATTGAAACCTCTGATACTATTACATCCAACCAAACTGATTATTTATCAATTCACATCACTAGATAGCACCAAACCGAGACGACATATACAGTCGGCGAGTAGTGCAACTGTGTATCTAACTTGGACACTGTGGGGTAGGGTATGATTTTATCATAGGGAAAATTTATTTGATACAGTGTGACTACACAGTGTTATAGACATTCGAAACGTTATCAGTAAAAAATACACTAGACAATGCCAGCTGGCGAAAATATTTACCCTCAGAATGAATAAATCTCACTTGAAAAACCCATATCTAATTATTTACTTATTTGCTACATCAAGCCTATCGAATATTTCACAAAAACAATAATTTCGTTTTTGTAGTCTAAACAAGTTTGTTGATGTTTTGATACTGGATATAATACCTAAGATCTAGTTTGTCCGTGTGTGTGTGTGTTTGTCTGTGCGGTTGTGTGGATGATTTATCCTTTTGTTTACAACTTATTGTTGTTAGGTTAATGAAGCAATTGATTATGAGAGATAATAATTAGCTAGCTATATTGTCATTTTTCTTTGATAGTTATTTAAAAGTACATTCTTCTTGTAAAACAAGGGTATGCGCTTATATATTATTGCATGTCATGTACTTGTGTTATCTCCTCCTATCCATCTACATACATATCTATCTGGTCATCATGATTGATAGGTAGTAAGTTAGTGAGTGATCTTCTGATTGGCCCTCTTTTTGTCATCTTCAACATCACTTTTATTGGCGTCATTAGCATTCATATTTATACAAAGTACAAATATGTTAAATATTCATATATTGTAATGTATAGATTTTACGTTTACACCTTTATGGACTATACTTAAATAGTAGTTAATTAATACTAGGACAAGCGCTGTGTCATTTTAAAAGGTGATGCATTAGAAGATATATATATATATATATATATATATATATATATATACATCAGATCTCCATATTGAAGGCTAGTTGGATATATTTCTCTTTACGGTAAGCAAAATTCTGTTGCACATTATTATTATGTTGTTTTTTCGATAAGTTCCTATTTGCAGTTTTTGTCGCGGTTAAAGTCAATCCTTGCCCCCACCCCTCTGTTGTACTTAACACAAATCCGTGGTACTTGTGATATACAGGAGATTACTTTGTTTGAAATGATGAATAAGATTCATACTTCCTCAGGGGATTGGCTCAATAGTGTTATTATTTCATGATTGTATTATCCCGTTAATATATCTTACTGAATTGATGAGCTCTCATTTTCTATGTACACATGGGCTCCTTGACCAGTTGTATCAATATCGGCAGGATTAATAACTCCAAGTTGATTGTTTTAATGATAGCCTAGGTCTTCTTGGAACTCGTCAGTTAGATGTGCTTACCCCATCCTCGCTAGTGAGTGGGGGATAGTGCTCTCACTAAGACTTAAACCTATTTGGCTCGGGTAAAACCACTACACCATGGTATTTCTGTGTGCTGCAATTCGTTAATAAGTGGTAAATAGCTCCACGTTTTTCAGCTACTACTTACACCTTTCATCAGCATTACGCCATTATGTGACTTTTGTTTTGAACTGATTCTAATAATTTTTGGTGTTCCAATGAGTCTGTGTGGCCTAACATGAAATAAGATAGAAATTTTGATTGACATTATGTAGTGTGTAGTGGTAATTAGTCGTAATGACGACTTTCAATCGAATAATTCTCACACGATTCGTGAGTATTGACATGTTATTATCTCAATGTGCTACCCAAATTTCACTTAAACAGTCGGTTGTCCCCATCAGAATGTGTTATGTGCTTTTGATCGTCCAAGTGCCAAGTATTGTTTTGAGATTGACGGAAACCTTTGAGCACGCGCATTCTCCTATGTAAACCCTTGTCAGTAGTCGAAGCGTAAATATACTCAGATTATTGTGTGAATGGTAAAACTTCCAATTATATGTCTAGAGGTGTACTTGCATGCGTCAGTCTGGTGTGGCAGTTGTCACCATAGCAATCGTCAAAAATGCGTCCATTAGCCTGTGATATGGCACCGCGGAATGAAAGTTATTCACAATGAGTCAGTGTATGTTGCTGCATCATGACTTCGTATATGAGATTTGGGATAGCTGTGACTTATGTGGTAAATATGTAGTCAGTGGAGTTTCGTACGACCGAAAGTAAACCAAAGTAGTAATATCACTTTTTAATAAAAATCTCTTTGATAAATATATTCTCATCATTTCTTTTCATTCTGTTGTCTCCCAATTGGTTTATTCTTTTTCTCCTGTTTACATTGCTCTCCGACAATTTCTCATGCACATATTTTGGTGCATTTAGTGTATCAAGTTTGTGGTTAAAGTGAACTACTAAAGTAAACAAAATTAGTCATTGGTACCAACAACTTGTTTAATGTATAGTTGTAAGATTTATTATTATTGAGACAAGCTTGATACATTATGGATACCAAGCGAGGCGCCACACATAATCGAATAATTTTTTGCGTGAACCAGAATACTTCTCGAACTGACAGACCGGTGGTGTGGTGTGGTGTGGTGGTGGTGGTTTTTTGGCTTCCGTCATTTTCAGTGCACACAGAGTGAGGAGGAAGTGAAGAGCCATTAAGTAGAGGAGCTGCATTAGTAGAAGGAAGGCAAGATAATAGAGATGAAGATGAAGATGAAGACAAAGGTGAGTGAGGATTAGAGAGGTTTCGCGTGCACTTCGGATTGTGAGGGCGATTGTTACTTCCCGGCTGCCCACACCGTGGAAGTTGGTTGCGTGACCGCAGAGCCCAGGGGACAACTGCTTGAGGCCGGTCACACACGGCCTGTTTTTGTTTGTTGTTTTTCATTTGGTGTGTCCCAGTAGCGTATTTATCACTTCTGCCCTGTGACATGGCAGCAGAAAGCGCGGTCGTTGTTAATCCGGGCCCCGACCGATCCGGCATGATATTTTGTGATTTATTTGAAGTCATAGGATTGGATTGGGTAAACTGCTTTTAGTCTAACCGCTATCCAAACAACCTTTCTGGCATGGTAGGACCTGCAGGAACATAAGTTCCAGCCAGTATAGCTTGTTGGGTCATTGCGGTGTTCAAGCCCGACCACCACGTCAAGGTAGCAGCTTTCGGCCGACAGAGCGAAGCGAGGGTTATCTTAAGGAGCCACCCCCACCTACCTTTTGGCTTGAAGTCTGATGCACAAGGTAGTAGAGAAGCATCAGGAGCCACTTTCCCATAGTTGCGAGCGCCAGACGTTTGTACTTGCCGTTTCACTTTTGCAAGGAATACCCTGGCAGCGAACAGGACTTATCTGGCAGAAGTTGTGATATATATATATATATCGTTTCAGTATAATATAGTATCCATGTTTATACTTCTGCTTATGTATACTATTTGTTTAAGTTCTTTTGCTTGTTTACTGGGTTTCCTTATTCACAGAAAGTACAGAAGTGCGAGGCTTATTCACTCTGACAAATTTATCTCAAGTTTATACACTATGTTTTATTTACTTCAATTTTTACAATCGAAACACATCATAAGCTCTTGTACACAACATGTAGCTTGCTGACAGCCTAATACATTAAAAGTATGCAGTGGATAACATATTGTGTTGTTTTTTAAATTAAGTATTTTGAGACACGGTAGTAGAAACATGAATGTGATGATCAAAGTTACCACTTCAGTGTTAGGTTTTCACACAGTTACACACGCATAATAACACTTACACATGAACCTGCATACAGGAAGTCTTGATTCTTTAAGCAGAAAGTATTTCAGCTATACCTTCTTAAAAATTTCGTTGCAAAAATATCAATAATTCGTATAATGCGGGTAGCTGTGTCGCATCATTCATTCTTTTTTTATCACTTATTAATCACAGAATGAAGATCTGATTCAAGTGTATTTATTATTAGATCTGTTGTGTTGGCTATTTGTAAATTCAGCAATGTCTTATATTTGTGCGTATATATATTTATATACACTCAGTAGATGGTAGGTTGTACTGGCGTAGTTTACTGACTGATAATGAATAGTGGCCCAAGTACTGTTAGACTGACTTTGAATATCAATTTTTTACATGTGTATTTATCTGTCGAAAAGTCAGTTATCATTTTTACGCGTGATGATACGGTCTCTTTAGCAGCTTATCAAATGTTTGGTTTTGCTTGAATCATGTATATGATTGACTCACATTGATGATGTAACTTAATTTTGTAAATGTGTGTGTTTACTTATGTATGTATGTACGTGTGCGTGTGCTGCTAACTTTTTTTGACACATGACCTTTTTATTTGTGTGTATTATCTGATTTTTTTGTCGATTTCTGGCATCAGATTAGAGCTGTTTTCATATCAAAGCCCGATGCAGATATGTGTATTGTTCATTCATCATAGAAAAATACTGTTGTCACGTATCATCAGAATTACTGAATCAAATGTAATATGAATCTAAAAACGTTTCATACATACACACATACATATATGATATAAAGTGTTCTCTACTTTTTTATCATTTTATTATTAAGCTATCTATCTATTTTGTGCCAAAAGTATGTTTTGAAAGTGGTTTGGAGATATGTCTGTGTGAAGACAGTATCATCATCGAGTGTGTGTGCAATGATTAGCCGTTGAAGCACTGTCTCGTCGATATAATCCCTTGACTCATGAAGAAAATAAAAGACAATCCAGCTAAGGAGATTTTCTTTATCGATGAAGTCATCTTTAAAAACTGTTTAATCGTATTTATATTTAACAAAGGACGTATAGTAGGCTGTTATTGAGTTACAGTGAGAGAGGAAGTGACATAATTAATATAAATAGTCTTAATTGGTTTTCAAACATTACGCAATAATCAATGGTACAATGGGAAGTATGATTTCGGAATTATCTATGAGGTAAAACCGAATGGTACAAGGGGTGTTAGGTTTCGGCACTTTTATATGGTGGAGGCGCTAGCTGTTCGTCTGTGTAACCCCAATCTCTGTGTGAAGAGAAAGTTTATCGTCTCCTATTCTAAAATGGTCTTAAATTCTTTCCTACTTATAATCTTCTAATTCTAATGGTTAATTTACTATTGTACATTTTTTCTCACCTTTGCATTTGTCAAGTGGACACTCACTTATATTGCTTCTCATCAAATATCAATTTTCACTTTGTGAAATTTCAGACACTTACCTCCTAATTTGTCGTTGGCCATTACGTAATTTTTTATCTTTCGAGTCTATTCCTGACTATTTGTATGAATTATGTCACTTCCTCACTCCCTATTACTTAATAGTAGACTACTCTACATCTTTTGTTAAATGTAAATAAGATTGTACAGCTTTTGAAGGTGAATTTATGAATAAAGAAAATCTTCGCTGAATTGTCTTATATTTTCTTCATGAAACAATCCATTGGCTCTTTCAACAAGCGTGCTATATATTCCATATCAGTCGTTCTTCATTTAGTGGGTAGGAGACTTAGCCTGTTGCACAGAAATACGTTAAAGATATAATTGGATTTACAATTGTAGTCCTTAATTCGGTGGATATGGGATATAAATGGTTTAGGTAAATCAAGTGTTTGAAATGTTTATATTGTTTCATATTCTAGGAGTTCATTGATATATATATATATATATATATACATATATATATATATGTATATACATATATATATATATATATATATATATATATGATTGCTTATCATACTTACATACCAGTGTACTTTCATCTTGGTCACTTCAGCCTCTAAATTCTCATACATATGATCCACGGCGTAATTATGTGAATGTAAATCCTACTGACGGTGTACTATTTCCAATGAATGCATCAACAATGGATAACACTCGTAAATATTCGTTACCAAATACGCTTAGATCAACAAAACTACAACAGATGAAATCAAATACTCTAGGACGTTTACCAACATCAAATACTAGTCGGAGATTCACTGAACCAGGACCTGTTGTACAACAATACAATCAACGTCGATACCAAACTCTACCTCATAATCGTCGTCTGCACCGAATAGATCCGCGTTATGGTTTTAAACGACCTTCTTGGTCTTCAGTGCCTTTGGTTATTCAGTTGAATAAATCATCTCAAGGATTTGGATTCAGTATAGCGGAATATGAGGTTAGTGTTAGTGTTTGACACTTTTCTTCATTGATTTCAGAATGTATATGCCTGTATATATTCACACACATTCATGGTACTTTGTATTATTTATTGCATGTTTTCTCGCTTAGTTATGTTGATCCTTTTCTCCTAGGTACTTTTTGCAAGATTGTTTCCCAACTACTCATGTCAACCAGTAGTTATTAGAAGAATTCCATACTTGTTCCAAAAATACAGTGTGGAATCAAGCTATAATCAAATAAATAAATAAATAAACTCACCGTCAGCGGTTGAACTTTTTACAATATAAAGCTATTTAAATTAGACTAGACCCTACAGGTCTAGTTAGAGACAATATCGTTCGCTTTCATGTCTCTGGGTCGGGTCAAACTGGGTACATCGCCGACTATCTCGACCCCAAACGAGCGAAATGGCCGTCTGGTGTTTAAATCACTTCCATCTGGTTAGCAAGCACTACTAGTTGATGTGAATGGTGTCCAACTACCTATACCAATCAGTTAGTGGTACATAGCGTCATGCATTTATGACTAATTATTTTACCATCCTTAATGTCTTGAAGAGGTGGTAGTTGTTTAGCTCTAACCTTTTTACTTGAGTAAACAAGATAGTATTCTGATTGCAGAGGAGTAAATACTGTTATACTTCTGGCTTACTGAATGCCATGTCCAATTTATTGTTGTGTCGTTCATACATGTACAGTAACTGTCAGCTGTAATGCTTAGACTTGATTTATAATACAGTATGAAGTTATGAAGTTGTTAGATAATTGAATTAGTCATCACCGATACTAAGGACTAGAGACGCACGACATAGATTACATCATAGTAGTTACAGTCCCCCACAGGAGGTCAGTAGTGATCCTATTGGTGACTTCCCTGACCGCACTACCAAATCACGTGGTTTTTAGCCTCCTCAGTTCGTTAAAGATTGTATATACGCCTTACCAACGAAAATCAACAAACATGAGACCTAAGTCCATCACTGATATAATTCAGTCAGCACCAACTCTAAAGACTATGGCAAATAACATTGTTAACAACCCAGTGGCCAATTAATTGAGTTGTGTTTTTATATGGTGCAATTCTTGATGACTACTGTATTGCTTTGTGAAGTTGTCCATCATAAGTATTACACTTTCAGTAAATGGTCTTCTGGATTATACCTAAGTCTAACTTCATTAGCATATATGTACAGTCACTCAGTATGAATGGCTCGCTTAAATATTGAAAAATTCAATCGACACATTTCAGTGTAAGGTTCTACGTTAGTTTGTCATCTTCTTTAGCTCTACGATCGCATTCATATGTTACGTATTGCGTAACTCTAATTTTAACAAGTATATTTGTGACAACTCATCACTTTTGTTACTACCCTCTTCCATGAAAAAATTGTATGTAAATATTATTGTATAGCTAGAGAAGATGAATTCTCGAAAAAGAGCCTCTTCACTGAACTACGTGTTTTGTTTTCAATGATGTCTGGATGGGAATTTTTCATGAATTTGTCATGTTATTTGCGGATAACATAGAAAGGCTTGTATTAAAATCACTTTATTATACCTGAGGATTGCTTTGGGCTGCTGTTCATGAAACAGTCACTTCGATAAAGTTGTGGTAAATAGTTTAATATATGTTACTGTTACGTGTTGTCTGTGCGATCGAAGAGTTCGTTGTTTTATGCTTTTATTTTCAGAATAATTTATTAAAATTATTTTTGGTTCATTAGGAATTACCTGTAACCGATTTGGAGGGTAAGACATCCTCTCGTAAAGCATATACCTTGGATCGTAAAAACACCTCAAGTACACTGGATTCGGATCGTCAGTCATTCCGGTCTTATCGTACAAGTGTGACATCATCACCAAATAGAAATTATAAATCTTCCAGCAGCCTGAAAAGACGTTCAACATGGTCTAGTCGATCTAAAAAAACACATGGTATCTTATTGATTGATAGTTTAACCCCAGGAGGTGTAGCTCAATTAGATGGACGTATATCAATTGGTGATCGTTTACTATTTGTAAATGATAGAAATCTAATGAAATCGAGTGTACGCGAAGCGGCTAACACACTAAAATCATTGCCTAACGGACCATGTTTAATTGGAATTGCTAAAATGCAACTAGAGCCGAATGAAACAGATGTCCCACTACAAGAACCACCCTATCAATTGCAATCTACCACTGGTGTGTTTAGACCATCTGTAATCGGTGTATTCCCGGAAGTTGATGAAGTCAGAAAATCGAATTCTTGCTCAAATTTCGCTTATCCATTGCGTGTGAATACGGGTAATGCCAATGATGACAATAGCACGGTTGTGGTGAGTCAACGAATTTCTATGTTTAACATTTTTTTCTAAATTTAATTATTACCGCTTATATAAAACTCGTACTTATGTGAAGTTTTATACTGATGTCATTCACTGTAAAAACCGTGCACTGATCTTTCCAGTGCACGGTTTTTACAGTGAATTACATCACTTGTTGTACCAGATGGGGATGTGTAGGTCGTTGTCTCATTATTATTATTATTATTATTATTATTATTATTATTCCCTTGCGTTCCGAGTGGAACATAGGGCTGCAACAACACATCTTCACTTCGTTCTGTTTTCTGCCGTCCTCTTCAGCTGGGTCCACGATTGACCAAACTCTCTCATCTCTTCCTCACACTATGTCCTCCATGTCACCCTAGGACGACCCACTCGTCACTTCCCGTTTGGATTCCACTCGAGGGCCTGGCGTGCGATGCCATTTGGCAGCCTCCTCAATGTATACCCGATCCATCTCCACTTTCTCCTACATATTTGTTGAGCGATCGGCTCTTCGTTGGTTTGTTCCCATAGTTTCTTGCTGCTTATTCTTTCTGACCGGCCATATGATCTTCAGTATGGAGCCAGCGAAGGCAGCTGTTGATAAAAGTCTGCAACCTATTGGAAATCCTTTTCGTGACACACAGGCCTAGTTTCTGACCCGTATAGAAGAACCGACTTCACATTTGTGTTGAAAATGCAGATCTTGTTCCTTATGCTGAGTACGGAGGATTTCCAGACTGGTTTTCAGGTTGATGAAGGTGTGTCTTGCCTTCCCGGTTCTGATTTTGACATCTTCGTCCGTTCCGACTGTCTGTAGTTGAAAGGATGCTTCCTAGATAAGTGAAGGAAGCAACCTCTGTTAAATCTCTCCCGTTGATGGTGATTGACGCTGGTTATAGTTGTTGTTGCGGTTCGTTAGTTATCTTCATCGTCTCCGTCTCCACCTTCTCTGTCTTCACCTGGAGTCGTGTCTTCGCTGCCAGCGTCTTCTGTCAGTTTGTTGGTTTTCGCCTGCATTTCATCTAGTTTGTGTGACATCAAACACAAGTCATCTGCGAAATACGGATCTTCTAGAGTCCAGCGTATTCCTGTCTTCTCACTCCTTGTGCACAGTCTGACGCATAACCCAGTCCACCACGATTAGGAATATCATCGGTGAAAATAGGCAGGCAGACTTGTCTTACTCTTGTATTCATTTCGAATGCCTTGTTGAGTTTTCTCTTATGGATCACCTGACATATGGCATTGTCATATAGCCAACTGCTGAATGAGTTTGATAAAGACTTGGGCACTGCACGCCATAGTGTTGAAGCAGTTTCCAAATTACTTCTTGGTCAATTCTGTCGAGGGCCGCTGTGAAGTCGAAGAATTTGAGGTACAGTAGCTTGATCGCATTTAGGATTTCTTCTTTCATTGGAGTAGTGGTGTCCACTGGCATTTCCGTGTGTGCTGTTGGTGGTATTTCCGGGAGAGTTGCCGATGGTGGTCGATTCAATAGTCCTTTAAAGTGATTAGCCCATTGTTTGATTTGTTTCTCCTTCCCGGTGATCGGGTTCCCTTGAGCATCTTTTACTTGTTTCATCATCTGAGTTGATCTCGTCTCGGATAGAGAATTGGTTATCTGATATAGAGTCCTGATGTCTCTTTTGTCTGCGGCCTGTTCTGCTTCAGTTGCCAGTGTGTCGTAGAGTTGTCGTTTATCTTTTTTAGCACTCTTCTTCACTTCTTTATTCAGTGCAGTGTACATAGATTTTAGCCTCTTCTTCTGTTGTCCATCTTTGCATGATCATTGCCTCAGTGTGTTCGTGGTTGTCGTCTGGGTGATCGGAGTAGATTATTGACTCTCCCGTTGACAATTTGTCAGTCCACATCCATTCCATCTGCCCTCTCAGATTCTCAGCACTTCTGTGTCATATCTTCGCATTTCTACGGCTATCTGGGCAGCCTTTCCAGTCTCTTACATTGTAGGGACATTTCAGGTACCCATTCTTACTCTTGCCTTCATCGAGAGAAGACATATCGGCTAACTGGCTTCCCGAAGGCTTTTACCAGCCCGCTGTGTCATTTCACCCCTTGGATTCAAGCGAAGAATAAGATTTTTATTTGAAGTTTTTGTATTTTTAATATATTTTCTGTGTTAAAGTTTCGCTAGCGGTTTGAAAGATTTAATGGTGTTGGGTTGCTAGCCCCACGCCCAACCCTCCCTCTTTACCCCTGGGCTTGGGACCGGCTAGAAAACTAGCGAGCTATTTAACTAGGCGAGGTTTGTTTTAATATCATAGTACTTTTATTAGTTAATTCTGTCCCATAGCTTAGTATGTGATAGTTGATTTACGTCATAGATGAGACGTCGATTCTCCGATACCGGAGATAAATTTCAAGCATGTTGGGGAATACTAGCAATAAGGTGTATAAACCTTTATTTATGTCATTTGATGAAAGTCTTTAGCATTCCGTTCTTTAGTATTGGACAGATTTTTGTACAAAAAGTAATGCCCTAAGTTTGTATTGATTGTTTATGGGTATTCTGTGCATTGTTTTTCTTTTTTAACAAGTATTAGCAATTTCGACAATATGTGTTTTGAAATAATAGTGTATGAACAGTACTCTTTGGTTCTATTGAATTTTCATACAATGGGTGGTATTTTATTTATCATATGATGCCATAGGCTAGAAACGAATATTTGAAATTCTTTTCCGAATGTTTCACTGGATGGCTTCAGTTTGATTCTTTTCTAAATTTGTGTGTGTAATCATTATTGCCCTTGGAATAGAATAGAATACATATAGTAAATGGTTTCTCGTATTCAAATAATCATGTAATGTAGTAACATTGTTTCTATAAATTATGGTGCTATGCTTCAAAGACTGGAGTATCAATCATTGACGAATGAGTTGTATGTACATTCGAGTTTTTTCACGACTTTATTTATAATAACACAGTTCTATCATCGTACATTAACGTTATGCGAAGAGATTCATCATTGCCGTACAACTGCAATAGTTGTTTGATGGCATCTCTTACCGTGAATTGGGTATCGCTTCTCTCAAGTTTATCTCGTGTATTTGTGCTGACGTTCTTCTGTTGAGTTTTTCATATCACTTTAAGCGATATTTTTCAATTTATAAAAAAATCTTTATAAGGGGGGTTGTGTATGGAAAAAATGGGTAACTAAGCAAAACTACTTTCCGATGATTGTGTTTGCTACAGCTGTCCATGGTGTTCAGTAGTTCTCTAACAAATGTCTGTTTTTAACGGAAGTTGTCAAGATCAGTGAGAGTTTGTAACTAAACCAAACTGAATTATCAACGTTGAATTTTGTGCCAAAGGGTATCATGGGGCGATCATAGTATGTAAAACTTTATGGTCTTAAGAAGACTAAGTTTATTATTATGGATAAGATTATTTATACAAATGAAGCAAAAAGTTGTGAGTGACTTGATATGATTATGAGCAATAGTTTGGGCTCGAAACGTCATCAGTTAATATTACTGTACAACGTTGTGTGAATTATCGAAATGAAATCTTATCCATAATGGAGTTATACTCTACCACAGTGCCCAAGTCTTATACTTATAAGTTGTATACTAATGAGTAGTCCAATGATGAATCCGAAAAGAGTCACTTCGTCAAATCTAGTGTATTCTGTTCACTCTAAAAAACAGTCAACCAACTGTTTACTAGAAGACAAAGTATACATTTTAGTTGAGTTGTAGTCAATCTTTTTCAAATCATTTATTGTCTTCATTATAATGAAGATTTTTTTGTATTTCCCAAGGAATGAAAAACAAATATTGTTTTCGCTGACGTTTTGTTATTTAATGCTAATAGCTTTATCAAAAGGGCATGTGAAATATTGTAAAAGATTCATATGATTTCAAATCCCAAATAGAATACTGAGAAATTGATAAAGAAGACATTATAGTGAGCTAGTATCCGTATTATCGAAAGTCTTGATATCATTTCCAGTTTATTAGAATTAGATACAACGCCATCACAGAGATGGTCATTGGACACCAGTGAAATAATTAAGGGATTAAAATTCTCTCTGCGTCGGTGGCACAGTGGTTAGGACTCTCGCCGACCATGCCCATGGTCCGGGGTTCGATCTTCTGCGGATGCACACCTGATATCAATGGTAAGCCTGCAAAATTTGGACTACCGATATCACATGCTGAAAATTTCATACTTGTACCAAAAATACTGTGTGGTTTCAAGCTATAACCAAAATTATAAAAATAATATGTAGACAGACAAATGGTGTTGCTATGGCTTCACCAGTCTCCCCAATGGTCTTTGACCTTTCCATGAATAGATTCGAAGATAACATCTTTACCAGCATACTTACTCCTAAAATATGGTTAAGATACGTTGATGCCATTTTTGTATTGCTAAAACGAGATCTACACAGTTCATTCTTGGCGAAACTGAACAATCTATCTCCCAGCATCCAGTTTACTTTGGAAGCAGGATCAGACATCGGTAAACTATCATTTCTAGACTATCTAGTTAAGAGGAGGGAAAACGGATATTTTAATAATATATCTATATTCAGGAAGAAAGCCCACTTCAACAAATATTTGAACTTTGGATCATCACATCCCATCAGTGCAAAGTTATCAGTTGTTAGGAGTCCTCTTAGACGAGCACACTCTTTGATAACGGATGAGAAGGATAAAGAAGAAGAAATATCATACATTACTGAGACTCTCAAGCAAAATAACTACCCAAAGAACTTCAACAAAATCAACACTGACATTAAGTATGGTGGAAAACGTATTCCGAAGACATGGGCCTCAAGAGTTTTCATTTTACATATATGAGAGACACCAGACGATAACAGAAGAGTACTCAATAAGCACGAAATGAAAGTTTTCTTCAAAACATCAAACACACTACAAAGCAACCTTGTCCATGTAAAAGAGCAAATCCCAAAAGATACTCTTTGTAACTGTGCCTATAAAATAAAACTCTTGGAATGTGGTGCGATATACTTCGGAAAAAACATCGCGAGGAATCAAAATCAGAAAAAATGACCACCGAGAAATCTAGTTGAACTAGAAAAGCTTGAAAAATCATCAGCCATAGGTCTACACACTTTAGAATCAGGTCACAAAATCGATTTTGACAATATTGAAATAATTCAGAAAAATTTCTGAAATCACGAAGAATGTCTAATATCAGAAGCACTTCATATCAAGTGGAATCCAAATTGTCTGAATAGGAATGATTTACTAAAACAGAGTTTGACCTGGTTACAACATCCCACCCTCCCCCATGAAATGACAAAATCAACACGAATGTGATAAGCAATTTCATTATGTAAACACACACTGCTTTTATAATTTCATACACTCATCAAATCCAACAACCTACACCTGGTTTTGTTATCTTTACCAATTGGCCAAGTTGACAACGCGAAAATAACCTCATGCTGAGGAACGATGATTGAGTTGTTATATATGAGCTGAGATTTTGTAAGCTCTGGTTTAATAGTACTTTGATAAAGCTATTAGCAGTACTAAGTAGCGAAACATCAGTAAAAACGATATCGTTTTGGCTTTTCATTCATTGGGAAATACAAGAAAACCTTTATTATAATAAATATCATATACCCCATGCCAAAATTTTTCAAACTGTTAAAAGTGAGTTTGGTTTGGACATATAAAATCATATATTGTCTAGTGAGTGTCCTATCAATCCTACAGAATATTCTGTGAAATGGAAATGGTCATTAGTTGATTAAATTTTCTTTGTCAACAGTAGCAGCGTCATCAACATCATATTTATGTGACCTTTGACCTTTTAAAATTTATTTGATACCTTCAGCTGTCGCTTGTTAACATGCCCTATATATATTGGCTAACTATTGATTGTTTCTTTTTTTTTTCGTATTTCTTGAATCTCCCACTTCACCCTTGGATCTTAATATATACGGCGGAAAATTACCGAACTGTGTTTTGCGGGTTATAATTTTTGTTCTGTTCTCGTTCTTGCTTGTATATTTTAAATTTTGTGAATGGTAATAACTGTTGTTTGGGAATGCATATACAACTATGTTCTACACGCAAAACAAACTTATGCACGTATATGTGTACATACTGTTCGTCCCATTTTTGGTCTTTTTCCCGTAGTCTCTGCATGGTATACACTCGTTATTGCCTTATCTAGACGTTGTTAATGCCGAAAATAAGCGTAGTTTTTTCAGTTTAGCTGTCCATTCATCATATCCTTGCTTACACACACCTCTGCATGTGTATACAGCTAAATTGAATGATGATAGAATTATTTTCAGTGATACAACAGTGTGCAGAAATACACATCCGAGGTCACCAGGACACAAATTGCAACAAGAAGAAGAAGAACCTCAACAAGGATATTCTCGACCTCGATCACCGACACCAAATCATATGGATGCTTCTTATTCACTAACAAGTGATAACCTTCCAGGTCTACACTACAAGTGTAAAAGTTACAGTTGTGTTGAACAGTTGAATAATTCTTTACTAATGAATAGTATTCAACACCACGATCACCAACATCCAGGCTGTAGTACATTGTCGGAGTGTAAACAACAATGCTTTTTTTCACCTGTTGACAAATCCTCACTAAATAACACTGTCAGTCAATTAGCACTTCACTTTGTCCATGAAATTGTCAATGAAGCAATGAGACAATTGCTAAATGAAATATTCGATCCGAATGTACTATTGAATTCTGATGTTAGTCCGTACATTCCGTTAGCGGGACCAGAACCATCAATATCTCAACCCTTCTCTTCATCATTATCATCGTTAATAGGGACAGGAACCACAGCCACTTGGACAACAACACAGTCAATAAGTTCTGGCTTTGTTGCGTCTTGTTCAAATGCTGCTGCTAATGATAACAGGATATGTAGTGATGGCGTTGTTCTTCATAGTAGTAATTCCGCTACTTCTATATCATCTTTAATTTCAAAATGCAGTAATCACACATCCGCTACTTCAACTACTAATACAACTACTACGAATAACACTAATACAAGTAATAACACACAGTATTTAGCCTATAAACTAGTAAGTCAGTCGATATTGAAAGCTTTAAAACTCTTAGAATCGAATACTAATAATAATAGTGCAGTATCGATATGTTCTGGAATGCACCAATCTGAATGCCCACGTCACAGCATTGGGAATCAGGAATCTGGTCTGTGTTCTTCTACCATCACCATGGCAGATAGTTATCGTAATGACGGTGACAAAGATGGTTCTAATGATGATGACGTCGCCGCGACTGCCTCATCCAACGATGAGGATGATGTTGAAGAGGATCTCAATACAGAGTGTGATTTATCTACAAATTCGACAATATCTTTATCCTCTTATATTCATCCAAAAGTGATGTCTTCATCTATTGAATCGGATCGTGTTGATTATCATCGTCATAATTACTCTAAATTAACTGAACCTATGGAAAATGATAAGCCATCCTTTACAAATTCTTCCAATGAACTATTTTATTCATCCACAGTATCTTCTCTTCATCAACGGCAAGACGATAACAGTTGTGATGCATTTCACCAAAACTTCCCAGTGAAAAAGAATTATGCCAAAGTTGGTATCAAGGTAGTAGTAATAGTAGTAGTATTAGTGATAGGAATTCTATTTGAATACGTTATTTAAAGTAAATTCTTTTCGTGTTTTGTAAGATGATTTTAGGTAGGATGAAAGCACCATAGGTTTAGGTGACACTCGTGTAATTTTCGCAGTAAGGAATGATATATTCACGTAGTGTTTGATTCGGAATTCTGCTGTTTGTGTATTTAGGTGATGACTGATTTTTGGGAACGGGCTTGTCGGCCAAGAAACTGATTTTTAGTCATCATTTATCATTTTTGTAAAGAAAGACTATCTTACAGGTTTGCTCTCCCGAAAATTCTTAATTTATTTGGGATTACATATAGTCCTTTTATCTCTCCCATAGATAGATAGGTAGGTAGGTCAGTGGGTAGATAGATAGAGAGCCAGTAACGAATTCTAAACTTGGGTTTTTTATATTCATTTTAGGCCTGTTCACCTAACCTGCTTGATAGCTACTTGCGTTAACAGCAAGCATACTTGATTAGTGTTTGGTTCCCTTTATAACTATTTTACATATATACTACAGTGAAGGAATTCATAATAATACGCTTAAGCTACCAACACTTTCGTATAATATTAGGTAGGATTTCTTCAGTCTTCATACATTTTTGTTTATGCTCTGTTTACCAATAGTACTGTACACGTTGTCTGTACTTATGTCGTTCAGCACATATTGCATGACATCAACATCTGAAAACATTGTATCTTGAAGTGATGTGACCTTGCTATGAAACTTTTTATCCTAATATTCAACTTTTTCCTCCTCATTTGTTGTCGTTATTACTGTTGTCGTTGAAGACTGAGTTTGCGTGTAAACTATTTACTCAAAGTGTTTATTTTATTTAAAAAGAAAACATACCGAAATAGTAGTATATGCGTATGCGTAGATAATCTAACTGTTGATAAATTTCTCTCTATTTCAGCATGTTCTGCTATCATTTTTTACATCCCATTATCCTATAATTTTTTGCTTTAAAAGTCTCAGGTTGTGAGACGTTTTATAGTTAAACAGTACCACCAAATGCTCAAGAATTTCATTTTTTAAAATAATTAGAACACTATTCACATTAAAAATAGTTTACTCATTTACGCATTTCGCTTACATTTAAACCTATCTATTTTACAGTGTTGTGTAAATAAGGGATTTTTATTAACATCAGTGGATCAGTTTTTAAGCTAGCGAATGTTGTTTTGTAATAGAGTAATAGATTTTAGAGAATAAATTACATTTTTAGGTAGCGTCAGTCAGTCAATTTGCAGTGTATTCATCATGGCTTTTTTTATAAAAAAAGATTTCAAACATATCCATGCACAAATGGAAAATAATATTCTCTCATCATTTGCATTTCTTATCAAAATATGTACACAAATAAGCGACTTGTTAATTGCGTGTTCAAACACCGATTCAGTCCTACCACAGAGGTTTCTACCAACAGATAAAGTAGCATTGTCGACCGTACGATTAATTCGTATGCATGTAAAATGCAAGGGAGGCGCATTTGTTAAATAATGTCTTTTCTTTTTCTAATCATAAAAAGAGTTTGCTTTTAAAGATAAGCAAAGTGTATATAAATTTATGCAAATTTCATATAAAAATGCGTAAGTTTCAAGGGCGTCTTAACAACATTTTGCTTGTGTGTGTGTGTGTAAGGAAAGGTACTCATTATTCAACTACTTTTAGTTTACTTCAGTGCAAATAATATCAAAGTATGTGCGTTTTGTGCATGTAAGTATTCTATTTTGTGCGTAACTTTATATCTTTATGTACTATTAGTGTTAACAAAAATATCAAGTTTAAACGAAGCTCCATCAATTATTGTTGTTGTTGCTTACTTCTGTTTGAGTTTTGTCACTTCTCAGGTAATCTTGTGTATATATCAATTTTCGAAGAATGTGAAACTACATTTTTCCTACTGAATTAGTTAAGAATGATTTTTCTCTAACTGACTATCTATGGTGATAATTCACCAAAATCTGACTACTCTCTTGTCGGTATGCTTGTCTTCACATTATACGAACTGGTTTAGAGCAATTGGGACATTGACTCAATGATTGTATAATTATGATGAAACCGGTATATGTAATTGGTTGTTTCTCTATCTGATTTTGATTTCATGTGTTTATTTGTATACCCCTCCCTTGCTATTGGTATTTTTTTAATGCATGAGAATGACATATTTTTATTTTATTCCTGAAGAGAACTCTTTTGTTTCACGTTGTCTAATGAAAAGTATTAGGACTGCATCACAGCTTACATTTATCTTTGTGTTATTCTAGGATGGTTTCAATGTTGTTACTGGAATCGAAGACTTGGTAAGTATTCTGCTTTCCATTTGGAGTAAATTTATCGTATTAACAAGCTGTTTATTGCTTTTTCTCTTATTTTACTTTGAATGTAAATATCCATCAGTTATTTTTGTCTATTTTGTTTATTGTTTTGTGCGTAATTGTGCCTAGACGGATATGTGTATTGTACACCTACATGCATGTAACAATCTGTCTGACTATGACATAGTAATAACCGTTTTTTCATTGCTGCATTTGAAACTCTCACCTTGTTTCTTACAATTTATCAACAAAGGTAGTGTGACACTCTTTAGATCAAACGAAAACATGGCACCAGTCAATGAAATCTACAACAGTTAGTCTAAGCCACGTAGGAAGGTGTATATTTCCTGGTTGGGGTCCTTGGGACGGTAAAAACCAGTGGTTGGAAACAATTGGTGACATGGCTCAAAATCGTTTTCAGTGGCGCAGATGCATCCACTCCTTGTGACTTATGATTTCCAATGAAACTGTTTTGTTTTTCGTTATTACTATTCCTTTGTCTCACACCTCTGTTTACTGTCTATATTATGCATTTCTCCTACTTTCTTCTCTTGCTTTATGTGCTGAGTGAAGTATGGCGAGTTGAACTACCGCACAAGTTCTATGTCGAAAACCGACCGACCGACCTTTAGGTTAAACGAAGGGTAGTTGTTGTTATTTTGTTATTGTCATTATAGTAGTTTACCATGGGCTCACAACAAACTTTTCTTATACATTTTCCCTTTCTTTTTCTCATTAAGTATGCTAAATAGTAATCGATCCTTTTTATGTTTTCAAATAGGAGAAAATCAGGATTGGAAAAAATATACTTCATAAGAGATAGGTGCATCAGTGATTCAATAGTAGGACGGCTTACCAGCCACACGGGAGGTCCGAATTCAATTTCCGGTTGACATCTCTCAAACCTCACCTTGTTTACTAACCAATAGTTAGACCGCCTGGAAAGCTGGAATATTTGAACGTGAAGCTAGCAACCTTTCTCTGTAAAAACATCCCCACTACTGCTGAAATTTCAGAGCTTGGAAGCTCTATGTTCCGAAGAATGATAGTAAAAACAACAGATAAAGACAATTTGTTCAGACTTTTGACGTAAAGGTTTAAAGGTTATTCTTTGAATGTGATATTCCATTCATTGTGCTTTTAGCTTTATAATTCTGTTAGACGGCGAAATACGTTTCTTACAATCCTAGTTGATGATAGTATTTGTTTACTTCGTATTTCGGTAGTTGGGATGGTATTCTAGCACTTAAACAACCAGTTAGTTAGCCACAACTAGTCGCAGGTTTGAATGAACCTCTCATCTGTTGAGAGAGCTGGGCATGTTCATATAAAATAATGATTGAGCAAACCAGCCAGTCAGAGTCCGTCTACCTTGATACTTGTTTATCACTTCTGTTCGTCGAAATTTATCGGGCATTGAAGTCGTACCCAGGGTAATACAAATAACCACTGTGAACCTTGAACACTATCTATATAGCATTTTACTCGTGAGATCTTTTCAACTGTTTATTTCAAGTTTTGGACTATGAAATCGATTTATTCTTTCTATCCTGAGTACATATGTGGAACAGCAACAGCAATAACAACTTAGACTATTGCCTCTTTTTGAAGTTGGTGTTTATACATATTTATAATAAACAGTAATTATGTGCTCCCTATAACGTCGGTGGCACAGTGGTAGAATGCTCTCCAACCACGCAAGTGGTCCGGAGTTCGATCCCCCAGCTGACGTACTCCTTTACCTCGCTAAGCCAGTAATAAGGCTGGTAAAGAGGGAAGGTTGGTCATGAGGCTAGCAAACCCATCTTGTAAAAATAAACACCACTGCTATCGAAACTTCAAGCCTCTAGCTTGAAGCCCTATGTTCCACTGGGAACGTAAAGGAATAAAAAAGGTGCTTCCTTATATTTGGAAGTTTGACGGGGAGTTGTGTGTACGTTACTATAATCTTCATTCTTTCAATCTGTTATTCTCGTTGTTTGAATCTATATGCTGTCATTTATGCACATTTTATTTTGTATATTATAGCTTGTAGTTCTGTTTATTCTTCGACTGCTTTGTTTGTATTCTTGTCACCTGTTTTTATCTCAATGTTTATTTTCTAAATGTCTAAATGCACTAATCAGTAATTGAACACACTTTTGTGTGTATTTGGGTGTGTGTTCGCTGTATGCATGCAAGCTGATTGGCAAGTAAGGCAAAACTTACGAGTTTACAATTTCACATATTAAACAGAAGCACCAACTGCGCTCTTGTTTCTCAGACTGAAATGTTTACGTCTATTACAGTTTAAGTCACATTGTCGATTGACTAATTTAAAACTAAATCACAGTTCCTATTTGGAGGATAGTGACTAGCAGTGAAATCCAAGATGCGCGTTTCGTCCCACTTTGGAAAACGTCGGCTGAGTGTACCAGCAGTCTTCAGTGAGTGATGGTGTTCCCACTGAGACTCGGACCCAGTACCCACTGTTTCAAACCTCAAAGGGTTATCCACTAGGTCGCTTACACTATGAGATACATAGTTTTTTTTCTAATTTTCAATACTTCCTTCTTCCATATCAGTTGTGTGGCAAATAATATCTGCCTCTCGTGATTCAATGGTTTATCCCACTTTCTACTTTCATTCATTTTATAAATCAACGTGTTGTCATATTTTTCTTTTGAATTTTAGTTTTCTCTTCTTGGATTTTCCGCTGACATTAATCAAACTTTTTTCGCCCTCTGTATTATTCTACCTTGTTAGCTTTTTGGTTTTGCTTTCTTTTAGTACCTTTGTTTTCGTTCCTTGTTTCTAAACATATCTGTGTTTGTCCGTTTTTCAGTGCGTGCGTATGTGTTTGGATAGTCTTGCTGCTTGGTTTGAATGTACTTTTCTCTTTCTGCTTGAACTCTGATTGCATTAGAATAATAGTCATTATTATTTTGTAGATCCGATAAAAGCTTACAAATTCCTAATTGACCTTTTTGTTTATATTTGTACTTTTTTCTTTTCCTCTGTTATAGATGAAAAAGTAAAACTCCAGAAAATGTTGTGTAGAGATATTTATTTTTTACACCATTCATTTTTCTTTCAGATCTTATCTTAGGTAGGAAGGTAGTCAGCATTGACTAGCCTTTAAGTCTGACCCTGTTCTTGTGATGTCTGCGTCGTTAGTTTAGCATCTTCTTACAGACCGATGGTATCAGACTTGTTGCTAGGCTAGTTCAAATACATTAAAGAATACATTCGTACAAACATCAGTTTACTGAAATCCTATGACATTTTTTTAATGACATAGATACAGTTTTTAACCTTATTACATTGTTATGTTACGTGTATTTTTACGTGCCTGTCTTGACTAATATTTGATTTAATCTTAGTATTACTTCCCATATTACTCTGTTGAAGGCAAGGCAGTAAACATAAGACACAACATCAAAATTCTGTGTATCTTCTAACAACTGTGAGGTGATGGTAGGCCATAACAGGTTACTCTGCTGCGTATATGCCATTCGATAGGAAGCTAAACATGATGATACTTTAGCCGAAGCCGTTACAACTTGTTTTCTTAAGAATCTATCCTGAGATCACGTCAACAATCAGTTCATTGGGCTTGATGTAACCCCTCAAAATAAGAGTACTAGGCATCCTTGATGAATCTGTTAGTTTTAGCATTAGAATAACGTTTATAACTGTGCTCTTATAATTATCCAATGCGTTTATTTGTGTGTCTTTAAATACACAAGTGCTCTTGGTTGTTGATGTTAACTAGGGACTTATTACAGAATGATATTTTAATGAGAAATCATGACTACTGTGCTGCATCAATTTGAGTGTGAGGACAAATACTCACCTATGACATTGGATGGTTGTAGTTCAGTTTCTCGTTTATTGGCAAAAGTTAATGGCTCTACTTAATCACATGAAGGCTCTGCGTTTAATCTATTGTGCAATTACATCTTTATTCTGCTAAAGAGTGTCAACATAGTACAAAAATAGTCATCCCACACTCCCTAAATGATTTCAGTTTGTTATCTAACTTGTAACCAATCGAATGATTACGCTAGATTTCAACTCAAATCTTTTTGTGCTACATCCTTAGACATTTTCTTATGTTCAATCACCATATTTGAACTACTATATCACTAGGGTGCGTGTCATAGGAATATATACGTGTACCTATTGTCAGTTTATAATCGCCGGTAAATACAGTATCAAGACAAGCTGTCAAACCATTCAGACAGACAGGGTTATGAGTAAACTAGAATTTATACTGTCTTAACTTGACATATATAATAACTTCAGTCAAAAGTCTGATTGTGTCATCTTGGAAAGGATTATGTGTAGAGAAACCTGATTTTTATTCATGAAAGCATAAAGCACAAACTCCCTATCTCGGATTACCGGTGCATACAAAATCAATGCTTAGTGATCCTGGATTGAAAAGTTCAGAAGCCGTTTGTTTTATGGTGCAGGTGCATTTATAGGCTTCCTGCCGATTTCCTCCAACTATTTAATATCATCAAATCAATGTGCACCGTGATGGCGAGCTACCTAGAATGGTGGCCACATTGCAAACCTGACTGATAGAATTCAGTCTGCACCAAAGAAAGGACTAGACACGTCACACTAGTTACTAGTGTCCAATCAAATTACCCACTACAGTCTTACAGAAGGTCGATCGCGAGCCCGAATAGCTCAGTGGTAACGTCTCTGACTGCAGCACTGAGTGACGTGGGTTCGAATCCCAGAAGGGACATGAGTCGCTTCAAGGTTGCAGATACGTCTTGCTGACGAGTGCCAACTAACACGAAACCTAGGTCCAAGGCTTCCTGCCAATTGCCTCCAACTATCTAATAGCATTTATAGTATCTTTCTACTTTAATAAGCATTTGAAATATCTTGTTACTTTTACGGCCTTCTGAGGTTTTCTTTTCCGTCATATCACTTTCTCCGTGATGTATAAAGGTAATGTACAAGAAATCGAATTAATTTGCAACTAAATTAAGTCGTTTCATGTTAGAATTCGGGTACTAGTAGTTTTTTCAGTTCTGTGCGTCGCAGTAGGAACATAGGACTTCAGGCTTGAGGTTTGGAGGTTCAGTAGCAGTGGTAATCTTCTGATGGAGCGGGGTCGCTAGTCTAACTCTCAACCTCTCTCTCTCTCTCACACTGTTGGATCAAACAGTGGCAGGACAGTTACGGTTTATTTACTTAAACTGGAATTGTGCGCTGGTTTATCATCATGACTGGCACCAATTCAGCACCTTGTTCTTATTCTACGCATTTTCACAAGTAGCTTATCAGCCTTATTGCAGCCCTTCTAGTCCAGGTTCTGCTCCTCCCAAGCTTACCATAATGCTGAATTAAATCCCACTAATTCTGGAATAATTCCAACGTTCTATAGTAAGTAAATTCTGAATCTGTTCTTAAATAGATTCTTTAATGGCACAGTCTAGAACTCAGTTCTGGTTTTCAGCATTACTGAAACTTATTCAACACCATGTTCTTTTTCTAGACATTTTCAGGAGGGAATCAAAACCTACTGATTTTGCTTATCAGCTTTATTTAAGCCCTTTCAGCTCATTTTCAGCACGGACTAGCCTTACTTCAGAACAAAGATACTTAATTTAGCACATAGTGGCAATTTTTTGAGCTTAAATTTGGAAATTATATTTGGAAACTGTAGTACAATGTCACTGCAAATCCGTCAAGTTAGGTCCACTGGTAGCATCCTGTAAATAAGCAAAATAAAATATTAGTTGATGAAACACTGTGCTCATCACATTCTCTCAGCATTTACATTTAGAAAAGTTTGCTTACATAACTGCCACTGTTATATCCCCTGCTATCTTTTCCATTTGCCTAGAAATAAAAACAATGTTTTGATCACTACAGGTTGACTTAACGTTAAGCTATAAAACGAAGCGGGCGTTTAACAATATCACCTGAATTCCTTTCTTCAGGTTACGCCTTTGGACATCTTTCAAATTATGAATGTACGATTTCGTGGCCTAATCCATTATGTCACCAACCTCTCTCGATGTCATCAGTTGGTCGCTACAGAAATAAGTACTTCATTAGTGAACCTTACATCTCGTGACTGAATTTCGAACATCTGAATATCCCTAAATTCCTTGATTTAAATGGTGTAGTGAAATCATCACTAAAATCACAGTGGGGTCGAAAGCGTATCTTATCTTCACTTTCCATATTATTCGGTTTACCTGAGGCCAAGATTACATTGTCCGGAGAATAAGAAGTAAATATGGCGTTCAGATAAGTTAAATTTCCTTTACTAAACTTAACGCCCTTAGTACTAGCTTCTTTAGGTACATGCTTGACACCTTTACTTTTCATTAAGTGCACGTGCTCAACATAACGCTGAGCTGCCTGCTTAGCCACAGAATATCCACAGTGCACGGACTGTCTGATCATGCGCATATAGGATTCAAAGGGAAATGCACTGAATCCTTCTAATGGCCCATGCAGCTTGACGTCATCCACTATATGTTTCAGAGAATGAATATTGTAAACAATATGTTCATCTTCGAAACAGTTCTCATATTGCAGTAAGAAATTACTCAAATCTGTCCGAACAGCATACAAAAACAGTCGGCTGTATTTGGTACTCGAAAGTAAGTATACTGCCAGGGAAAATTTCCTATAATTATCGTACAGGGGGGGGGGAATGTTCCTGAGTAGGCGAGACCCAAATATTGTAGCTTTTTAGAAGGACCAGGGTTATTTCAGGACATACTGGGTTCACTTCAAGTAGATAAAATATTCATTTACCGTAAAAAGGTATTATTGACGCGTTGGTTAAATTTTGCTGCGAATTTTAAGCGTCCCAAGCTTACTAAACTGTACCTCCAAAAGTGCATTCATACCTCACAAACTTATATTCCATAGGGCCAGATGGGTCTTTTTTACCTAAAGCAACCCGTTAGGATGTGTTGGATTCCTTTCAAAGAAATAATGAACAATGTAGTTGTTACCTTCATAAATGTATGAAAAGCTTGCTTAAGTTGCACCCACGTATAAAATACACATCTAAGCATTATTCTTTGGAATATAGCCATTACATCAGACAATATAGTTGACACATTTCGTGAAGTAGAGGTTGCAGGAGTATTTTGTAACGTCATGTAATGGTTTTAACAATGACTAACGAACATAACATTATAATTTCAAGTAAATGAATAATAGCATACATTTCAGTGCTCATAAACCACTGTTGTCACCTAGTAAATTTAATTGATTAATGCTGACCTAATATGCACAAATCCAACAGGTCACTAAATTGACAACTTAAAAAATTGGATCAGTTAATACATACATTAATCTATATGTCCTAATTAAAGACATATTATATGTTTCGAAATTGTGGTTGAATTATATTCGCCCAGTAAGCAAAAATGCATACATCCTATCTTGGACTTAAAATAAATGCATCAAAATTATTGTTAATTTATATTCACTTGCTAGACATTCTCATACATCTCAATGTACTTTAAATACCACCAATGCATCCAAATAGCGTGTGACTATCACACTATACTCACACCAAAAAAATTAACACGCCATTATATTATGGTAAGGTAAGCCTTAAATTAAACTGACTGTAAATTTCCGTGTCAAAATAAAAAGATTGCCGCTGTAACTTATATTTTAGATCAATAGGAAGCCAGCTAGCCAACAGCCAATCAAAATCTGCCTATATCGATTTTCGTTTTTACATTAGTTTTGTCCCGTTTGTGGCAATCTGGTACTTATACCTCATTTTGTTCTTAACCGTTGACCTGCTACTTTATTTTCCTTATCGCTTTCCTGTTGTTGTTTTTCCTCTTATTTAGGCTTTAGATTTTTATACATTACCATTGCTTTGTCCAAATCCAGAACTGCATGCTCCTGATTTACAATATGTTACTCCAGTTGATCCAAGTTTAGAAGTATCTAAGAGTTTGGAACGTGGAACTTTGCCTATTGGTTAGTTGAGATTTCTCTTCTAAGTGTTTATTGATGTATTGTTAGCGTCACTAATAATGTTTTATTCAAATATAGATGTGTTGTGCAAATTCTTGAATTTCTAAATACTATTTCTCAGCTTTACTGGGATGGTGCTTGCTTTACCAGGAGGTATAGTTAAGTCATACACCTCGGTATTATGTCGTACGGTTAATTATGATGGAGAATTTATTCGATGGTTGCTCTCATGTGTATGATGGACCATTATATGTTTGAATTCATGTTGAAAAATTTCATAAGCTTTCAAATTCCTGTTTCAATGTTTTAAAATTTACTGAGGCATTTTTAATTATGAGTAGGCGTCAAAATAACACCCTGTGGCCAGATGTTCAACTGAATATACCACACCATGGAAAACAGCACTGAGCTCATCGATATAGACATTGTAGTTTTCATCGTCAACATGTCATCTTAACTATGTGTTAACTATTAAATGTAAGTAGACAGTGTTGCTGTCTAGATCATTTTTACCCAAAAGAGTTGATGACATAATTGGTTATGAAATTGTCTTTGTGTAAAACTATGGTGATCAATATCCAGTCTGGAAATAAACCAGTCAGAATTGGCCTTTGTTAAATAACGCCCGCTGGTTTATTAATTATGATTATAGACTAATTGACATATCCATGATGATTTTTTGAATCATGCTCACGGTGGCTTACCGGACGGATTTTCAACTGCAGCTGTGCACCCGACCTCATCCGTGCAATACCCGGATGCTCACTGTAAAACGGCTTCAGAGTGGTCATGCGAGGAAAGTCTCAAAACATTAGGTACTGGTGAGCTATGCTGAGACCGTGATAGGGGAGGAATAATTGTTCGAAATCATGACTTAACGCTGATACTGGCCAAGAAGTTCACACGAACTACCATAGCTTGCTATAAAGGTGTGTATCTCTTCTAGTGTCTGTGTCCAATTCGGTGACCCTATTTTATCTCAATGTTATGTCGAAATATAAAAGTGCTGATGTAACATTTTTTGTGACTGGGTTGTTAGATTCTTCTACGTTGGACAAAATTTTCGAACAACCAGTTTAATCTAATTTAGACGCCAGGGTGGTCCTGAAACTAATGAAGTTCGCCCAACCTCCCAAAACGTAAAATAATGCCCACTGTTTTATTGGTCATGATTATAGGCTAATGGATATATCCTTGGTGATTTTTGAATTATAACGAAAAGCTTGTTGTTGCTTTCAAGAAGTAAAATGTATACATTGGAGGCTTTTTGAAAGTTTTGGATTTTCTAACTTCTGAGTAAATTAAAGCAGGGTATTATCAAAGCTGCTGTAATTGATTAAATAACTTTTCATGCTTATTAGGTAAATTCGACTTCCATTTGTTTAGTCTCCACTTGATTATTCCATTATCGGGGTAAACACGATTGTGCGGTTGCTTTTGAAAATGACTCGTCGAAAACAGAATTTTCTTTGGTACTATGTGTTTTTATTGTTTGTGGTTCAGTATAAGAATTTCCCGTTCATATACAGTAGTAGTACCCAACCCTCATGTATTTCACTAATCAGCTGAACATTATAAGGGAAACCACTCAAGGGAAGATATCCTGTTAGCTGACGGAATTCTGTTATATCTGACATCATCTTTGTTGTATTGCTTTGATCATGATCATCTATTGGCTTATCACTACTGAATACTTTTGAACCATTTTTATTCTTATTCAAGTCTACAGTTTTAAAGTTAGCATTCATTCTCATGATGTCTTTTGTTTATCTGTGTAGGCTTAAAACTGGATGCTTTGGCCTGTCAAGGTCAAGATGGCTGTCGGGTTCTACAGGTACTGGGTGGTGGTGCTGTTGCTCGTGACCAACTCCTAGTTACAAATGATTATGTGACAAGTATGAATGGTCATAGTATGCGACATTTGGATAATTTAAAAGCCTTTGAAATCTTACATTCATTATCACAGAATTCAACTATAATTGAGTAGGTTTATGGCATGTTTTGTTGTGAGTTTATATTATTGTTGTTATTTGGGTGATTCGCGGTTCGCATTTTCTCGGTGTACAGAAAAACTTTGTCCTCCAGTGTCTTTTTCTACTATGGTCTCCTAAACTGCTTTCTACTTGCTTTCTTCTGATTTTACTGAGTGTTATTCACTAATCTCACTTTTACATAACCTTTTTGTGCATTTTCCCAGCTGTTTTATTTTGTTTCATCCTCTTCGCATTTGTCAAGTGAACACTCCACCTTATCAAATTCCAAATTCTTACTACTCCTGTGGTCGTTGATAATTACGTAATTCTTTTCTGACTTTATAAACCACTTTTGAGTAACTGCGACACACGCACTGGTTACTCAGTGACGGAATGTTACACATACGTTGCAAGTACAAAATGCGACCGTACAACCTTTGAAGGTGACTTTGATGATGGAAAAAATTCCTTTTTAGATTTTTGCCGAAACCAAATGAATAGTTCTCAGGCGCTGATTTGCAGGGAATTGATTTATTGAAAGTTTAATCACGAGGTAATTTCAAGTAGAGAACCGCTGAAAACCGTCAAGGTGTACTGGACAGTTGTTTCCTTCTCGTTTGGCACTCTTCATCAGTACCTACCCATAAACTCACACACTGGTGATCGAACCAAGGACCGTCACCTCAGAAGACGACCTTGTTCAATATTCAGTCAATGGAATGTAACCCTAACTAAAGTTGGTTCGTGATCAAACTTTAAATCAATCAAACTGCAGCAAATCGATACTTAAGAATTAATCTGTTACTTACTAGCGATTGACGAAGAGATGAACTTATTGAGAAGTCGTGGTCAATAAAGACCATCAAGTTGGGTGTGAGGTCAAATACTCACCGATGACACTAAATGGTAGTGTTGCAATATATCGCATATTGGCAGAAGTTTTAACTTATGTGCTATTAGATAACGTTGCAGTTGCTGAATAGTTAATGGGCTCACCTCATAAGACGGTGGTTCAGGGTATGATCCCCAGTGGTTGGGGTCATGGGTGCGTACTGATGAGGAGTCTCAAAGTAGGATAAAACAACTGTCTAGTACCCCCTAGTTTGCGATGATTCTGTCACTGAAGTCAGTTCATGATCGAACTTTGATTAATGGTGGCATGTTTGAGTTATTGCTGGGATTTTTTCACTTCATAGGAATAGTGGTCAATCTGTATCAAAGTTGTAAAATTGACAGCATTCTAGTTTACGTAGACTACATTAAAGATTTTTATCCATAGTGTGTTAATTCATTCTATTACTTTCACTGCTTCATCTAGAAGGCGGAGAGTAGATGCTGTATACAATTAGGCATAATGTATCGATATTTCTGAAGATGTTTTTGTGTAAAGAACAATTCATTTGTTTTTTATCTGACGAAAATGTTAAAGTGAAGTGAAAAACTGTTTCTAACATAGTTCACAAAACATTTGTGTTTTTTAAACACATCTTCGTTACTAATCTCTAAGATTTAGCAGATTGGTTTTAACTCTTGACTGTAAATCATTGAGAAAGCTGATTCGAATTCTACTTTCCCTGGAAAGCTGGATAGTGCCATCATCTATCATACAATAAATTGTGGGTTGTAGTGCATTGGTGCATAAAAGCTGTGTTCTGGATAACTGATTCCTAATAGTAATAACAACAAGCATTTACCTAAATGCTTAATTAATTACAATTAATTTAATTAATTCTGATAAAGCAATAAGAAGACGTAATTTGTCTGAATCGTGTAATGTATTTGCGCAACACATTTCGAACAATCTGATCACACACGGACTTGTCATAGGAATATATATGAAATTAATAAAGAGGTAAGAGGTGAGAAAATAGACTTAGGTCAAGTTTAAAGGACATATTCAGGGTCAAAGTAACAATGAAGACCACTAAACCATAGCAGATGTACTATTACCTCTGTTATTTGGTTTAGTGGTCGTGCGCCAGGCCCTCGAGTGGAATCCCAGTGGGAAGCGACGAGTGGGTCGTCCAAGGGTGACATGGAGGAGATCGTGTGAGGAGGAGATGAGAGATTGTGCGCAATCTTGATCCAAGCTGAAGAAGACAGCAGAAGATAGGACAAGATGGAGATGAGTTGTTGAAACCCTATGTTCCACTTGGAACGCAAAGGAAAAATAACAATAATTACTGGGATACTTATGTAACTTCGCAGTATTATCAGCTTTCGATCAATATATGTGGCTAATTTACTTCCCAGCTAATGGAGTTGTACATACGTGCACAGATAAATTTTTAAAATTACGATTTTGTAAAACTTAGCACAATTCCATATTTATAATTCCTTTATCTTTCCATATTCCCTCATTCTGTCGTGTAGTCGTATATATATATATATATATATATATAAGCCAGTTTCTTTAAACAGTTTCACGTCATTTTTCCCCTTCAGCATAAATTATTTACCTGCTTCTGTTGTTGAATCTCATCGAATCGAGTGTTTATCTAAAGCAATGAATCCACTGAATGAAAAAAGGTTAGTTATTTGCTTGAAATTATTTATTTTGTTGAATTTCCTTTTGATTGGTTGATTGATTCATCGAAATGAAATGTTCGGTCTCTGTTAACATGTCAGCTCCTGCCATGGATTATTTGATGATCCTCTGAGGTCAGCATGGCGTTATTTGTTTGGTGATAGCTGGTAGCAGTGCGATCAAGGAGTAGTGTGACTGAGATTCATCGGTTGGATATATCTTTATATTTAGTAGGTGATAGTGTCGATAAAACCGCTTATTGTAGGACGGGTATCAGTTATTTTGTATTTCCTGTTAATTGGTGGGTCAGTGTTTGTTCTCTCTGTTCAAACATAACGGAACTTGCATACTAATCAACTGTTTAGTGCGGTGGTCGGTAGCTGACTTTAGGTTCTATATATGGATGCAACGCCGGAAACCACCCCAAACATACTATTTGTAACCGGGTTAAGCAGTGTTGTCCCTTGGTTTTTGTTGTCGTACTATAATAGTTCCATTTCTGTTTCGTTTCAGTTCAGTGTGTTTCCTTAACTGCGTGAAGTATTCAGTTAGGTGTTACAATGATGATACTGTTTAGGTATATGGTTTGTCGTTCTGTCTAGTAGTAGTCATTGTTGTTGTTCCTGAATACAATGTGCATTGTCAATGAATCATATTCATCGGCCAAAATTAAAATCTTCTTTGTTTCCTTATGTTAACTATTCTATTTTTACAATTGCAGTTCTATGCCATATTTGTCTATTATTCAACCTACGCATTGGTCTGTTCCTATTGAAATTGTGCTTCATCGATCAGACACTAGTCAAGCATGGGGTCTAGTTGCATCTGGTGAGTTGATCATTACCAGCATCTTTGCTCTCTTTTATTTGTTTGTTTGGTGGGGATATTGCCTATATATTTGTGTTTTTACTCTTTCAAGAGTTGTAGCATTTCTTTTTGGATTAGATTGACACTATCTTACTTATGTGGGTTCAACTGTCATACAGGGAGATTTCCGTTCTTTCGAAGTTACAGGTATTTGCGTTTATGATGAATGGCAATAAGTGTGCAACTTAGGTCCCCCATAGTTCCTTCTTGATCACAAATTGGAGAGACTTATGTTTAGCTGTCAAGATGAATTCAGTTTTTTGTGACATTACAATCTATTCTTGTTTCTGAGGCTTTAAAGACGTTCTCTTTATATATATGTTATGAAAGTACCCAAAATGTCATGAAACTTGAGAGATGAAAATAAAAGTATAGGGTTTACCTGAACAATTTGTAATGATCAGCGGTATTCTTCTCACTACTCCCACTTCCTACCATCTAATGCTTATATTTCGATCTACTTTACTTACTAAATGTCATCTTAGTTTCATGTTGTACTCATGCATACGTGAATGCACTTACAGGTAATTACACTTTTTTCGGGTGAATATTCACAACCTATGCTGAAAATGTTTCTCTTATTTCGTATTACAACATCTCTCTCCCTCTTTAGTTAGCTGGAAATAGTGTATTTTCATTTCATACTGATTGATGTCAATGATGCGATGATCCTCTTGTTTATTTCATAAATTTTGATTGACTATAAAAATAAGTTTTCTCTTTTCATCATTTTGTTGTTATTAGTCATATTTGAGTGAATTGAGTTGCCGTATTTTGGCGTTTTTTATCGGATTTTTCAAGTGTGGTGTATGAGTGTGTGTGTGTGTATGTGTGTACATGGATATGTGTGTTTGTGTATTCTGTGCTTAATTCTCTTTTATTTCATTGACACCATCATCATTCAGATTGGTTCCAAATCTTGAATTGTGTAAATTTAGATTAGATTTTGAAAAACCAGCAACAAACAAAACGGTTGTATTATTTGGATTTTATTTATATTAATTAAAATTTGATGTCGTGATCATTATTGGCAAATTAGTGGCCAAACTACAAGCACACAGGCACCCACGAACACACATGTGTATTCTCCCGTGTATGAGAGTAGTATAGTTCATCATGTTTTAGCGGGAGTGTTTAGTTTTCGAAAATTGTCACCAATCCCTAAAAAATCTGATAATATCAGTATTGGTATCTTGCTATGGTTTATAAGAGGGTTGGTATATATTAAGAGAGAGAGAGAGTTGTTGTGTGTTCACCTCTCTGAAATATAAATAGGTTCTGTAAAAATAACAAGAGCATATTGGTAAAAATGTTTTAAAATTGAAATTTGTTTTCTCGAATAGTTTTATTCACAGCATGTTAAATGATTCAGTTTTCACCTTTATTTGACATGTCTGTACATGTGTGTGTATGGTTTTTCATGATTAAAAATACTCTTATTCTGTTGTCATTTCATTCGTGTGCATATTCAATTCATTCTTAGAATATACGTCAATCTCCTTTGTTTATAGTAAATAAGAATAATAGTGATTTATTATTATTTGTTCATATATATATATATATATATATATATAATTCCGTTTAGATTACGCGTGCCGGATTAATATATCACTGGTGTTTAAAAATTTCGGTAAAGTAGTAGCTCCCTTTTACTTAGTTATATAAAGGGACTAGAGAGCCGAGTTCCACCGTATTGTGTGATTACATTGAGATGAAACTACATTCTAAGTAGTTGTAATTTAATTAGTTAGATTCAGGAAGAGGTTGGTTACTGGATCCTAACATGTGCCATTGGAATTGCGCAACACACCGATACCATAGATATGGAAAATAATATTACTATTAAGACCAGAAGGATAAGAAATAATGAAGCTGTATAAACAAAATTGGAAAGTTATTGAACCTCTTTATATGATTGTAAGCAAAAATATTCTGTCATTATGTTTTATTAAATAAAATTATCTATGATGGAATTATACTCTGACACAATGCCCAAATTACCTTCTTATATAAGTGGAAGCTGAATATCGTAAGTAATTATATCTTTTCCACCAGTAGTATGCATATTAAATATCTATACAATGTGGAAGGTGTTCATCTGAGATATGTGCAGGAGAATTGATTGCTGTCAAAGTGGTTTTCATCAGGAATCGTGGTAAGGTTAAATGAAGCCATTTCGAATCAGTGCCCATTGGAAATGTTTCTGCCCATAAATATGAGTGCCTACATTCCATCTAGTTTCGGTTGGAGTATTTCGGTCGCATAGTAGAGTATTGTCTGAGGAGGCTGTGAAGTTCTGTCGGTCAAGACTGCTACAAAATGTGTTATGGATGCCAATGCCTCTCTTGAGAAAGAATGTTAGCTAAATCAGCAGAAGACTGGAAAACAGTTAAAGGATGGTCAGACCAAAAACATGAGATCAACGCATGCATTCTTTGACTGTTGAGTTGAACCATTTGCGGTTCTGTAGTGTACTTAATTCCTGTCCCCAGAATGCTATAGATCAGTGCTTCAAGACTTGGTGACACGGCTCCAAATGTTTATCGTATTCACTCCTTGTCAAGCTGTCAAAAATCTCACAAAACTTGAAATGATCCAATTTTATGCATGGTTAGTTGGTCAGTTGTGTGATAGATCGTTCAAAAAACTGTGAGTAATTTGGATTAATAATTCAGCATGATGGTATATTGCACAAAGCAGTACTACAGACTTCAGAAACAGTGTGAGGTTGTTAAGTGCACCAGTTACATATCTAAGCTTACCTAGATGTAAGTTTCAAATACCCGAATTATTTAAATGTTTCGAATTCCTGAGTCCACCACCTGGAATCTGAACCTCTAAAATTAAATAGACCATCGTTTAGACTTATTTTCCAAATTTTAATGTATAGTTCGCGAAAATTTCTGTGTGTGGCTAATTAATTGCGCATGAAAACTCACCTGATAGGTTGTCCGAACAAAATATGTCGTTGGCGAGTAATGATAAAGCATACCCTTGGATTCACCAGTTTCAGTGAACTAGTCTGCGACAGTAATTGTTGTTCGACGGTCATATATAAGCATCGGGCTTCACAGTTGAACATAAAATTGCAGCTTCATGCTTTTGTGCTAGTATATGTGGCCTGTTGTTTCAGAAATGCTTCGTTTCTACTTGTATCTTAGTTCCGCTTACTTAAACAGGTGTAGTTTTTTAGCAGGTGGGTGGTACGCTTTCACCTGATTCTACCTCTCACCTAGAAGACTATTCCAATTCTGACTATCCAAATAGACAAAGATATTGATACAAAGTTCTTACAGGATCTCAGCATAGATTTCTTTGGAAATCAAAACGTTCACAATGGTATCCAGTGTTTGTTCAACCTAATGTACTGAAGTGATGCTATCAATATTAAAGCTATACAGTATATACTACTTGTTAGAGGAAGCAAGTATTTGTGTAATTTTAGTCACTATTATTATTTACTAGTCAAGTGACTATTTTGTTTACATATGCAAAAGAAATCAACTCAGTTCATTTGTGCTTTCCTCTTATTTTATTGGAGATTTATTTTGTCCTCTTGCTCTTTTTCCTACTTTCAAGGGTCTGAAATCTGTGCGAGTAGGAATTACCTTCCACCAGGGAATATAGATAATCCGAGTATTATTTCGAAAATTCTACCCAATAGTATTGCGAAAAATTGTAAACTTCTTAATTGTGGTTTGTTAATATTACAAGTGAGTTTCTTGATTTATGAAAGAAAACGTGTTCAGCAAAGGGTTACTCTTTTCCCCGATACCATTCTCAAGCTGCATGACCTCATATATATATATATATATATATATATATATATATATATATATATATATATATATATGCTTTACTTTACTTCGGCTATCTCCTACGGGAGGATGAGCCGGCTTCATGAACATCTCGAATCGTTTGTAAGGGAGTTCATGAAGTTTCATGGGAATTCGGTACGAGTGATGTCCCCAGAATCGCTTGGCCTTTTGTTTGAGAGTGCAGCTCTAGCCTTTACACAACCAAGTGTGACCTACAAGGCAGTAGGAGTGGAGTAGGGAGTCCACTATCCATTGGCAGTCGGTGACCGGAGTTTGGTTCATACGCCTTTTTGAATGGGGCCAGACATCCAGGACATCCAACAAGCCCTTTGTCCATACGTCTGCCGGTGAGCTCCAGTGAGCTTCATACGCCAGTCGTTGGAGGTTTGGAATCAGGGTTTAGCCATCTCCCCTAGACTGTCATCCAATGGACAGTCAACCCGGTGAATACCGCCGGGCATCCGCTTTTACCCTCTCAATTTGGTGAAAAACACCTCCGCCACGTGAAGGCAATGAGTAGGACTTCCTCAGGAGAGGCTATGTAAGACGCCCGGTCATATGGGAGCATTTCAAAAGGTGTGCGGAGGGGTGGCCAACCAGCAGCGCAAGGCACCCACCCCCGACCATCCTGAGGCTTTGGAGGCATATATATATTTATAGTAAATTGCCTTAGCAACAAAAGGAATATTTCCAAAGATGAATAGCAAACTCTGGGTACGGACAAAGTGATATACCTAGCTCCACACGAGCAGGTGAATTGGTGGATGCACATTGATGAGGTCGGCCAATAGTAGTAGCTTATTCTTCACGTTTATGCGAATTATTGGTTTTCTAGAGAAAGTTAGTCGTAGTTCAGCCGCGAAGGCTTTCTGCAGTGAGCGGGACAGGCGGTTTCTCAGTATTTCTGTTGATGAGTCTCCGTTTAATTGTAGATTCAAGTAGAGATACTTTTTGGGAGCAGAAAATGTAGGCACTTTTGGCGGTTCAGGTCTTACGGATTTCCTGGTGAAACGTTCTGGGTAGTCATTTTCCAGGAGGATTCTTTTCAGAGTGTTCGGCTCCTCATCCATAGTGTCAGGGCTGCAATTTCTACAGATTCCATGGCCCAGTGAACGGATCAGGTTACGTTTCGTATATACAGGCACCCAACTATGAAAGTTAGTGAGTTGTCCGATCCATATTGGCTTTCTGTAGATGGATCTTGTTAGCGTTCCATCTTGTTCACGTCTTGTTAATTGAATTTCCAGAAAAGAGTACATAATACCTATCAAAGCTATCTGTTAGGTGTTAACCAGATAAACTGTTAACTGTATGTGAAGATTGCTAGCCAATATTACAATATCACGCATAACACTGGCTTTGCATACGGCGATGGTTCCACCGTAGAGTAATCGCCGGGTAATTGGGAGGTACAGAGTCAATTCTCAGTTATTGCACTTCTAGAGCTCGTCTAGTGTGCTAGCCTGCAGTAAGTCTGCAAATTATGGGGTTGGGCGTTGGCCTATCGACCCCACTGCTGCTGTAATTTCAAGGAAGCTTGAGACCCATAGTTGCACAACGTATTGAGTGAATGAAAGTCTGGCTCATATGAGTTGTTGGAAAATATACAAAGACACATCTGCGATAACGTGTCTTGATGCAAAAATACCCTATAAGGTATAACTCTGTTAACTGGTTATTCCGGTCTTTGAAGTAGAGAAGGTATCAAATACAAACAATCAGTCGTAGTCTCGAAAATATATTACGTAACGTTTATTTAGCTGGTTGGGTTAAGAAAGCTTTTTATACGTGTAGGGTTCAAACCAACGATATTCAGCTCTTAAGATGAATACACCGGCCTCAAATTAATCTTTCCTTTTGTTATAATGTCTAATGTTGACTAAATAGTTTATTGATTTGATATTATTCTCATCTGTTGTGACAGATTCAAGCTTAAAGGATATACGGGATTCCAATGATAATTGCTTTGTTCAATGTTATGTCTTGTGTCGAATTTTTTTTTCCAGTATATATATGCTTTTCTGCTTTACATACATTTTCTTTTCTTTTTTTGATATTCTCTCTATCTATCCAACTATCAAATATGTGTGTTAACACTAAAAGATACAAGGCAATGATGTCGCTTCAAAAGGTCCAGTTTATGTTAATTCTTACCTACAACACCTTTCAAATCAATCAGATCTACGTGAACTTCGATTGGTTGTATGTCACTATGATGATGACGATGATGATAATACTGATAATCGAGTTGATATCAAGAATAATTCCAACATAGATCCAATGGATAAAAGTCAGGTAAGGTTGCTATAGATTGATTTTATTTAGCTATTGCGTTTCATTTTGACGCTTTTAATGCTAAATTCTTGTCAGTAGTAGTACATGCCACAATAGTATACTATCAGTTCACTTTATGTTGTGATGATATTATTATGTGTGATTTAGTATGAATGAGTAGATTTGTCTTTTGAAATCAACTTCACATGCTGAATTTCTGGATATTGTTAATTATACAGTTTTATTATCTTCAAGTGTTGGTTTGTAGGGATTTGATTGGTTACAGGATTTTCATCATGAGCTGACATTAGTTAGAGAACCATTGGAAAATCTGGGAGTACTGGACAGCTGTTTCGTCCTAGTTCGGGACTCTTCAGCACTACGCACCCAGCGGGATTCGAACCCAGGACCTTCTGGTTACAAGGCGAGCTCGTATACCATTAAGCCACTGGGACTCGATCCAATGGCCATGACATAGCCACCGAAGACAATGGCTAGGGGTCGCGCTGTGTCGTGAATTGGCGGAAGTTAGAATTCATGGGCCATTGGATCGGGTCCCAGTGGCTTAATGGTATACGAGCTCGCCTTGTAACCAGAAGGTCCTGGGTTCGAATCCCGGTGGGTGCGTAGTGCTGAAGAGTCCCGAACTAGGACGAAACAGCAGTCCAGTACTCCCAGATTTTCCAATGGTTCTCTAACTAATGTCAGCTAATGATGAAAGTTTTATTATCTGTTGAGTGATATTGTATACTGCCTTTGTTATACGAGAAGATTTTCTAACTTCCTTCCTCTTTTTTGTCCTCATGAAAAGTTACCATTTTAATCAAATAACTGTATTGACGAAGGCTAGCCTTAGTTGTGTTTCATTTGCAAAGCTTTAAGGGTAATTCATTCCAATCTGAAAGACTTGCCACTATCCCATATAGATAACTTTAATAGGGTCGGATAAAAACTGTCATCTAGTCGACAATATGACATTAGTGTCAGGTTTGTGACTTTTTCGACGTCTTCAACTTGATTTTTCTACAACAGATCATTTGTAGCTTGACCGAAGCTCTTGGTGATGCTGGTCACAATGTGATAGATAGCTTTACTCTTCTTGATGTTGCTGAAACACCTCATCATTGGTAAATGCAATTTACCAATAATAACCTTTGTGACAATGATTGAACAATAGGTCAATCAATAGATAGGATTTCATTTGTAACAAATCAAGGGTCATGAGACTAAAATAAAATGATTTCTATCAACTAATTATTGTGCGATGAAGTATATGTTGAACACAGTGACAAAAAATGATAGTGTGCGCACTTCTGCTGTTGTATTACTACCCGTAGTAACTACAATCATAAAGAAGAGTCTTCTTTTTACCACGTATCATCTTTCTTGTCAGCATTTTCAGTAGTTTATATCGTATCTGAGTAATTTGGATTTGCTTGCGATCCAGGATGTTCTACACTCTCTCCCTCTCTCTCTCTCTCACACACCTACAGTGAATGGCTTCCTCTTTTCACTCAATGTGAGCGTGGTTATTTAACTTCTAATGTATAATGAATTTGTTTTCCAGGGGAAAAAGATACTCATATGAAAAAGTTCATGTTAAATGAGACAGGTATGTACATCAGATGTTATGTGTTTCACACATTCATTTTGTACAACTTCTTTGAGTGCATAATTTCAGTTGTTGTTTTTCCTTTAATGTTTTAAAAAAAGAATTACATTTTGTAATTATGTTCAAGTGTTGTTGTTACCTTAATCTGCCAATCTCCTCCTCTTTTTGTTTTCCTTATTTGAATAAAGTTACCAAATGGTTTAGATATTATGGCTGCATCTGTTAAAATGTCCTCAGTACCACCACCAGGTGGTAGTGATAACCAGTTTTTACAAAAGAAAAGTAGTACTGTTGTCCAATCAGGTATCTCACCAAGTTCTAGTGATATGGAGAATCCTGAACCATTGGTTAGTTACCGTTGTTATTGTGTTTTTTATTTCACTATTCATATGTAGTCTTATAGCTGCTTTTTCTTTAAAGTTGATTAATTGATTGGTGTGTATTGTATTTACGTGCGTGTATTTCCGGTTTTCGAATCCCCATTTATCCATATGCATTCACCATGTGTTAATTTGCCCATTATATGTTGCTGTCGGCACAAAAAAGGAGGGTAGTCAATTTATAGTAGGTGATAGTAGTTGGCGCTGTGTCAACAGAAAGTCCTTGGTCCAGGTTTGCATGTTTATTGGTACTCATCTGTATTACAACCTCGAAGGCATCGTTGTCTTCTTGAAGATGTGGATCCGATTTGTTCATTACCGGAGAAAGAGGCGTTGCCAGTGAGCAGTTTGTACTCACGTTTGACCTCCTATAGAGCTGTCAGAGTAACAGTCCATGTCACAATGCTGATAATATATCTGTTATTGTATTATCCAGGTGTTAATTCAGAAATAGTTCGTACTTCTGATAATATGCTATTCCAAAGAGATTGATTTTTAGTTTGATAACCACAATAATAACGTTAGTCAGGTCACTTGTATCTTCAGAGTAACTGCAGTAACGTTTGATATGTGACTAAGAACTTATTATCTGATCTTCGATGGCCCTATCATAACTCTCTGATGGCGAAAAATACATTAATGTTGTGTGAACGCAGAGTTCGGGGCATAAATATTCAGTTTCAGCTATACACGATTTGTTTAAAGATAGAATTTCGATAGTTTCGTCCTTACAGAAAAAATTATCGCCAGCTACGTATAATTGTAGGGCACGTCAGGATGTAAAATTGTAGCAGTTGACTTCGAATTACCTCATATATGTATTTCATTGGCGTGACGTAATCACAGGTTATGCCACAAGTAACTTTGTATATATATATGTTAGTTGACATGCAGGGGACTGTTTTAGTCATATTGTGAACTGTTTAATCAACAGGTAGTAAAGCGTACTCATTAATAAACGTTGGAAAATACCTCTCCATTTTCTTTTATAAACAAATGAAGAGAAAAAACAGTGCATGTCAATTGAGACTGGGCTAGTACTGATGTCAGAATGCTGAAGTCAGTCGGCAGGAAGGCCTGCGCTTGGGTTGAGTTAGTACTATTGATTTATTCACTAACTGATTGAATATTGTTTCCGTTTGTGTCTCAAGGTTGTATTTTATCGGAACATGCATTTTCAATAATAAAATGTTCTTAGTTTCATTTCGCTCACTTTTCTCTCTCATTCTGTCTCCTTATTTGTACTATTATTATTATTATTATTATATTATTATTATTATCTTTATTGATGCATCTTTTCGTTGATGTCTACTTCATTCAGACTGATATGGAGTTACGTGATGAAATGAATGTTTTATCCCGAGAAATACCATCATTAGATCTTCATAACTCATCATCAGATTCCCAGAACAACAACTATTCACATAGAACAAATGAATCAAGACAGAGAAGTGGTAATATCAGTAATAATGATAATAATAATAGTAATCAGTGTCCACTATCTAAAGTCTCCTCGCCAATTGTTAAAGATGACGATGATCAAGTTTCAACAAAATTACAGAATGGTTGGTGGAATAACTCACCTCCTGCTATACCGCCGCGTCGATCCTCAGTGACACCTAGACGGCAGTCTTTTGGAAGTATAAAATCAGGTATGGATAAAAAATGTCAGTAATTTTATTCTCTCTTGTTTTAAGTTTTACAATGCCTTCGTTTTCTGTGTGTGAATGTCTGTATGTACCCCTCTTGTATTTTCTGTGATAGGATGCATGGAACATATGTAACAACTTCTGTGCTAACATTTCGAAAAGTACTGATTTTCAATTTGAATTCCCTTGTAATCCCATGGTTAGTTAGTTTGTTTGTTTATGTTGTTCTCATGGTGGTGATTGTGTCGGCTGCTTAAATAATCGATATTACATCCGAAATCAGTTTACAAAGCTATATGACTCATATTAAGATTCCAAAAGTGTTAGATTAAGTCAAATATGTGACTTTATAGTTGTTTATATTCATACTCATCGCTTTTCGTTTTCCTCTATTAATGTCGATTTTATTGCCTCATTATGGTGTACACCAAGCCGCCAGCTAATTCAGTTCAGGGCCAGAATTAATAGTTAATCGAAGCCAATTTTCTATTGTTTTCAAGATGTGTCGTGTAGTTTACGTTTTCTGAATTATGGACCATTATCTAACGCATAACATTTTGTGATTTCGTAATTGTGAACAAATATGTGTGCAGTAGGAGGGGGGGAAACATTATTTCCAGGAAATAAGGTATTTTTCAAACACAAACGTTGTCGGAGATGAGAAATAAAGGTTTCAGTAAAGAATGAGATTGTGTAGTCTACGTGAATATTTTGTGTGATCTCCATACATACGAGTTAAATTTCAGTTAAGTTTATTTACCTGGATATACTGTTATAGGAGCTTTCGAATTATTATTATTATTATTGTTTCCTTTAATTCCTACAGGAACATAGGGCTTCAGCCGTGCGTCTCCATTGCATTCGGTTCTCTGCTAGAGTCTTCACCTGGCTCCAAGTCTGCCCACATTTTCTCATCTCCTCTTCACATGACCTCCTCCAAGTCACCCTTGGACGACCAACTCGCCGCTTCCCTTGTCTAGTGATGTCACTTGATGGTTTCCTCAGAGTATGGCCAATCCATCTCCATTTCTTCCTGCCTATTTGTTTCACAATCGGTTCCTGGTTGGTTCGCTCCCAGAGATCTCTGTTTCTGATCTTTTCTGGCCATCTGATCTTGAGTATTGAGCGAAGGCAACTGTTAATGAAGGTCTGTAATTTGTTTGAGATGCTCTTTATGACGCGCCAAGTCTCTGATCCGCATAGTAGCACTGACTTCATATTGGAGTTGAAAATCTGGATCTTACTTTTGATGCTGAGTGCTGTTGACCTCCACACAGACTTGAGAGTAGTGAAAGCTTGTCTTGCTTTTCCGATTCTTGCTTTGATATCCTCGTCAGTTCCGCCTGTAGTTGAAACGATGCTTCCCAGGTAGGTAAAGGATGTTGTTTGTTTCAGGTTCCTTCCATTTATGCCGATTGTTGTCTGTTGTTGTTGCTGTTGGTGGTGTTGCCCAGGAATCTTCATCACCTCTGTTTTCTCTATGTTCACCTGAAGGCCTATCTCCTCTAGATGCTTCTTCTGCCAACTTGTTGCTTTTCACTTGCATATCTTCCAGTTTGTGGGAAATCAGACATATATCATCGGCGAAGTCCAGATCCTCCAAGTTTTTTGTGTGAGTCCATTTTATACCTATTTCCTCATTGCCCGCTATTTGTCGCATTATCCAATCTACTGCAATCAGGAAAATCATTGGCGATAGTAGGCAGCCTTGTCTTACTCCTGTCCTCACTTCGAAGGATTCCATAAGTTTTCTGTTGTGGATTACTTGGCATGCAGCATTGTCGTACATCTGTTGGATGAGATGTATAATTGTCGGTGGCACCCCGTAGTAGCGAAGTAGTTTCCAAAGCACCTCTCGATCGATGCTGTCGAAGGCCTTTTCAAAGTTGATGAAGTTGAGATAGAGAGGTGACTGCCATTCCAAGCTTTGTTCAATGATGATCCGTAATGTAGAGATCTGATCAATACATGACTTGTTTCTCCTGAATCCAGCCTGTTCCGGTCGAAGTTTTTCATCCAGAGCTTGTTTGATTCTCTCCAGGATGATGCGGCTTAGTATTTTGCTTGGGATGGACAGGAGCATAATTCCGCGCCAGTTCTTGCATTGACTTAAGTCTCCTTTCTTTGGTAGTTTGAATAAGTATCCTTTCTTCCAATCCTCGGGTACTTTGCCTTCTTTCCACACCTTCTCCAGTAGTGGCGTCATCAAGTCCGCTGTTGTCTCTGGGTCCGTTTTCAATGCTTCTGCTGGGATTCCATCTGGTCCTGCTGCTTTTCCAGCTTTTAGCATCTTGATTGCCTTCAGGACTTCTGATTTCGTCGGGGGGTTGGTGTTCACTGGTAGCTCTGTCTCCGTTGTTGGTATTGTTGGGCGCGTTGTAGGTGGTGGTCGATTTAGGAGTCTTTTGAAGTGTTCAGCCCAGTGTTTCCTTTGATCCACTTCTTTGGTGAGTGACTTTCCATTGTCATCCCACACTGGCTTAATTTGTGTCAAACTTTTGCCCGATAGGTACCTAGTTGTTTGGTAGAGTGTTGTGAGGTCTCCTTTGCCTGCAGCTTGTTCTGCTTCACTTGCCATGGTTTCATAATACTTTCTTTTGTCTTCTCTGGCACTCTTCTTTACTCTTTTGTTCAGTGTCTTGTAGTTTGTATTCAAATCCTGTTTTTGTTGCTCGTCGGTGCACTGGATAATCTTTTGTTTCACCATCTCTCTCTCTCTTCTATCAGTCTCCAAGTGTCCGTAGTGAGCCACTGTTTGTCCTGTCTCTTCTTTCTGACCAGAACTTCCATGCAGGTTTGACTCTACATTGTTTTCAAGTTGTTCCAGTGCTTTTCGACGCTGACCTCTTCGCTAGTGTTGATTTGTGTCCCGGCTTTTTCCGTTATGCTTGCAGTGAAGATGTCCTTTATGTCCTGGTCCTTCAGTTTTTGAGTGTTGAACTTGGCTTGTGGTCTATCTGTAGCTCCTGTTTCTCTTTTAATTTGATTTAGGTTGTCCCTTGTACGAGATAATGGTCTGAGCCAACGTCTGCTCCTCTTCTTTCTTTTGTTTCCAGTAGGCTGCTCCTCCACTTCCTTGAGATTGAGATGAAGTCAATTTGGTTTTTGGTTCGCTCATATGGTGACACCCATGTAGCTTTGTGGATATCTTTGTGTTTGTATGCGCTGCCACCAATCACTAGTCCATTGAAGGCGCAGAAGTCAGTGAATAGTTCTCCATTTTCATTCATCTCTCCAAGAGCTTCTTTACCCATGATGATTTCTCTTCCTGTGTTGTCTGGTCCTAGTTTGGCGTTCATTTCTCCCATTAGTATCTTAATGTCACCAACTGGAGTATTGTCCATTGTTGCCTGTAGTTGTGTGTAGAACTCTTCTTTCTTCTCCAGATCTGAGTTGTTTGTGGGTGCATAGCATTGTATAACTGACACCTTCCTTCCTTTGGAGTTGAATCTGGCGGTCATTATCCTGGGTGAGATCGCCTCCCATTGTATCAGGGCTTTCGTTGCCGTTGGTGAAATCATGATAGCCACGCCCTTGGTGTGCATGTGGTTATCCTCTGGGTGACCGGAGTAGATCACTGACTTACCCGTTGACAATTTGGTGAGTCCATTCCCGTTCCATCAGCTTTCACATATCCCCAGTACTTGAATTCTGTGTCTTTTCATTTCGTTTGCAATCTGTGCAGCTTTGCCAATCTCGTACATGGTACGGACATTCCTCGTCCCCACACAGACTTTTTCTTTTGGCACAAGGAGATTCATCGTGCTGAAGTTTCTGTAGCAACTTTGTTTACAGCTTGGGGTTACTAGCCTCATGGCTGAGGAGGGGATTGTTACGTTAAAATATAGTTTAGAGAGAGGCGACCTTGTTGGTTGCTCCCCTTAAAACCAGGAAAAAAAGGAATAAAACAATCAGAACAACATCAGCACAGGAAAATAATTCACAACAAGAAGGGTAACAAGCGACAACAACAAATAAGTACAGTTAACCAAAATGATACCAAAATCATAGACTCACTGACTTGAGCCATCTTGAACATGTAAATCTATTAATATATGCAATTTTAGATATTAGGTAGTGTTAAACAAGCACAGAGTGGCAAATAGATAGTTATAGGTATTATCTATGAACAATATTATATCCAAAGATTCAGTGTTTCAAAGGCAAATAATTGCAATAGTTTTTTGCAACTTTTTGGCAAGATATTCCACAGAAATTATAGTTTTAGGTAAATATGTAAATGTAACGTAGTAATCGAAAAGCGCTTCAAGGTCAAAGATAAATTAAGAGCAATAAAGTGATCACTTTGATAGCACAGAACATTCTTTTTGGGTTAACTTCTATCGTATACCTTCGTTCACTCAAGGTAAACAGATGTATTTCATATATCAATTTCCCCTTATTTCAATTTGAGAAGAACGCTGAAAGAGATAATGTGGACACGATTCATTTCACTTCGTTGATATCTTGTTAACAACATTGAAATGAATACATCTCTTGTCAGTTACGATCTTATGCTCCACTTTATCTACTTCAACTTGGATAACTATATAGTATAATAAGCAGTCATGTGTCGAATGTGACTTCTTAGTTGATAGACGTTCAACAGCTGAAATTAAGTTGCACACATATGAATATGGCGTGGATGTAACAAAGTAAATCATACCCACCAACATTACTTACTTTTACTAAGGCTACTACTGAACATGATAGTAATAATGATATATTGTAACATGGATAAGAAGATAAAGGGGTTTTTTCAAGAGTCTGAACATGTTATGGTTGGTCAGGCGAATTTTATTTTGAACACAGAGGTTTGCTTAATTCATGGGAGATTCTTATTGATTCTGTTATGACTTTTTCTTAAATGTTGAACTTCTGAAGCATGAGTAAGAGTAGATAAGATAACTTTAAAAGTTTTGCGTTTTACTGAAAAAAGTATCTGATATATAATGAACGATGTCTATATGGTTTTTGCTTATAAGTATGCAATGGATGGTGTTCAGATGGTTTACTGATGTGAAACCTATCTAATTACATCAATAACATTTAAAGATATGAGAAATTAGTAAAGAAATGTAACACAAATATCTGCCTTGCTCACTTGCTCATTTTTCTTCAATTTTGATTTCTCAAAAAGATGAAAACCATTTTTACAAGCGTGAATATATGTACATTACTATTAGTTATCAGTAATCATGATATGAATTCTTAACTGGAAATTCGAACGAACACCGATTTGAATAACGAAAATATTGAAAGGTGTACGAATAATGTGATAAATTTCTGGTAAAATTAGTTCTTAATAGAATAACTTATAAGAAAACGGTTTATATCATAGTTCTAAACTATAGTATACCTATTACTTGTCGATCTTAAGCAGGAGTTTCAAAAGTTTGCGTTATTAGGAGATAAGCAGTGGTCTGAAATGACTGGTCCTAAAGCGAAATAGTAATAATAGTAATTTCAAAGCTTTGTTCGATTAATACTAATGTATAAGATACCATTGCTTTCTCAGTGTTGTAATCCAGGGCAGTACCTGTGAAAAGAGAAGAAGAGAGAAAACTGCAAGAGAAGAGCAGATGCAGCTAACAAGCGTTAATAACTTAAAGCATGCAATATCTGATAAACACAGGGTTCATATTTTGTTTACTGAGATGTCAATGACTACCTATTTTTGGGGTTAATCATTAGAAGGGGTGGTGGAAACGAAGTTAACCCCCTCCCTATTTGTTACTTATTGATGCAATGTTTACTCCTTTTTATTTTTATTTATTTTCTTTTGTCTTCTGTTGCTTTTTTACATTACAGTGAATTATGATAAACAGTATTCACGTAATGATCAGGATAAGATACTGGTCATGCGTATACCGCTACCATACTCTAAACTGAACAATAGTAATAACAATATTACTTATAGTGATGATATTGAAGGAACATTTAATCTGGGCATACATTTAATCACTTGTCGAACTAATGAAACTACTATGGCTAATTTCATCTCAGAATTTCAACCGAATTCATTTGTGGTGCATCATAATAATACTGCTGTTGATGCTGATAATAGTCTTCAAATTGGAGATGAAATTGTCCACGTAAGTGTGGTAGTAAAAATGGAAAATATGTGTTTGCACGGAATTTTCCACAGTAATTTTTTCGTTTGTTTAATTTGTTTGCGTTCCTATGATGAGATTTTGATTGAATTGATGTTTTAGAGACTTTCTGAATCATTGAAAGTATTTCCTATAAATGTAAACTTGGAATTTTTAAAACACTAGTTATGGAAACGAAGAAAATTAGTTACGGTATGAAGTATTAGCGAAATTAGTCCCTACATTTACGCAGTAATTTGGTTTGCATATTGGTCAGTGAGCAAACGAGCTATGTTGGCTGGGACAAATAAATGTTCCTCAAGGTTCTACTATGAGAATACACTGTGCACTTAAAACCACGTTGACATATTCACATAGAAACTTTTAACATTTGAACTCTATGTCTCAATGAACGATTGCAACACTAGTCGGAAGCTCTCGAAAGCTATATTTAGATGTGAAGTGCGCATACAAGAGCCAAATGTGGTTATTGACTTAACCCAACATGGTCTTACAGGTACCCAATAACATGCAGTCCAACAAATATGCCGAAAAAAATGGTGGTAGATTAGATATACCTACCCCATGCCCTCAAATAGATGCCAAATGAGAGGCGATGAGTTGAGATTCCGAGGGTGATATGAAGAGAAAATTAAGGACTCTGGGCAGTCGTGAAGCCAGTTGTAAGTGTTAACAGGGAACTGAGTGCAACAGAAATATAACCCTGAGTCCCTGTGTTCCATTTGGAACGTAAGGAATGAATAATAACAAATAATACTTAGAAAAAGAATCAGTAAAACTGTTGATCTTCAGACTTTACTGAATATTGATATGCTAGCACTGAGTTTTTATCTCTCATAGGGATCTCACGGTAGCAATTTTCAGAACATTAAACTAATATATATATATATATATATATGCAATTTCTACAGATTCCATGGCCCAGTGAACGGATCAGGTTACGTTTCGTATATACAGGCACCCAACTATGAAAGTTAGTGAGTTGTCCGATCCATATTGGCTTTCTGTAGATGGATCTTGTTAGCGTTCCATCTTGTTCACGTCTTGTTAATTGAATTTCCAGAAAAGAGTACATAATACCTATCAAAGCTATCTGTTAGGTGTTAACCAGATAAACTGTTAACTGTACATAAGTAAGGACTACAGAAGTAAAATTGTGATCATGCTATCCGATGAATGATTATTCACAAAACTGGTCAATGAAAAGAACATGACGGATCAAGCCGAAGAAAAACCCATATTTCTAGATTTACTGCAGGCTAGCACACTAGACAAGCTCTATAAGTTCAGTGACTGAGAATTGACTCTGTGCCTCCCATTTACCCGGCGATTACTCTACGGTGGAACCATCGCCGTATGCAAAGCCAGTGTTATGCGTGATATTGTAATATTGGCTAGCACTCTCTACATACAGTTATTAGTAAGCATCCTGCCATTGAACTGTTGAGGTACGTATATATATATATATATATATATATATATATATATCGTTTTCCTTTTGTTTTTTGTTTAAAACTTTTGTTACAACTTCTTTCTTGTGATAATCAATCTATGTACCCAATGTTTGTGTAGGTGGAAGATATCAGTGTTTGTGGTATGCATCAGTCAACTGTACAACAAATCATCCAGTCGAAGATTAGTCAAATACTACTCATGGCCTCGGTGAATGACGTTAAGAGCAACAATAATAATAACAATGATATGGATAATAATTATATAAATAATGCTGATCCTTCCTCAGTTCTTTCTAAAACAAAACCTTTTATCTCCTTGATTATTCGGCGGAATCCAATGAATTTGTCGATTATGGCAACTAATTCACAAATATCATCTCCTTCATCACCTATAAAAGTGATAAGTAAATTACCTGAAGATTATTCTCCATCGAGTGAAAATCACATCATTTCTGTAAGCGATTTATATTTTTTGTACTTTAGAGTAACTTGTTTTCAAGAAATTTCATTCATTACATAAATGAAATTTCATTGTTTCACTTTTAAGTTGGTGGATAACGCACGGACACACACAAAATATGCTTATAATAACTGCGTATGACACAGTTCATAAGGAGGAGAGTTATCTACAGAAAAAAGTTCGACTAGTAAATAGTCAATTTGTGTAATCTTTTATCGATATTTGGAGATTACTCATCAAGTGCATATATATATATATATATTGACTAGCTGTCGACACTACAGTAAGTGAAAAATAGTGGTATTGGACTGCTGTGAGAACACGAGGTGGAAGTTGATCATACCGTTTTGAAAACAACATTTCTCGTTCGATTGTTGAAGTTAAGTGGTTCATTGGCATGTGCACTCAGCATTCAGGCAACGGGTTATGGGTTCAAGTCCTACTTTACCTACTTGAGTTTAGAGGAACTGACTAGTAATCATTAGCTCTCATACGACAAGTGTGACTCAGTCGGTCTCTAGGTAACTCTGTTCAAACATTGATTTGATCAATAAGTCACACACACACAGTCTTATTTTTGGATCTTTTTACCAAAGAATGATTTTGGTGAATTGTACCTAACTAATGGACAATATAGTGTTTAAAAGTAATTTAACGACATCATCACCATCTTGTATCATTTGTGAAGACTTTCAGTCGGGGATGCATTTCTTAAATCATTACTGGATAATATTTATGTCTTTATGTTAAATAACACTAATGTCTCTCTAGTTCTCTGCATTTATACATAAAGAATTCCTAAGGTGAATAGTAGTATTCGATATATCAACGTAGATTTCATCCTCTAGACCCCTCTGTGAGAATTCATCGCTGGTGGATGAGGTTCACTATGTTGGATGTGATGAACTGGATGCTCATCGATGGCATTGGCTTGTGATAGCACTATATTGGGTGAATTGATAGACGTCAGAATTTATGGGTCATCGGATTCCAAACACACTCACCTCATAACCTCGACAGATCTTGGATTCGATGTCTGGTGGAGTTGTGGATGCTCAACTGTATGGTGTTCCTTGGTTTTCAATGATCGGCTGACTCATTTTGGTTCACTGTGAGATTTACACCGAAATAAATCAAAACCCGTATAAAATCTAAATCTAGTCATCAGTGTGCACAATAGCCTTTCATCACTGTTTTCATAAGCCTCATTCGGATTATGCTGAAAGATTGTTTTAATTTGAGTGCTCTGGATACAGATCTTGGTGTTGAGCTGTTATTTCATATAACCTGAGGACTAGGTCTTTCATTCTTTATAGTGAAGTGAAGAAAAATCGCGTCTATGTTTAGGATTTTACAGTTTCTAACATATCAGGAACTTCACTTGGGAAAGGTATATTTCTCTGTGTCAGTTATGCAGGAGGAGGTAATCACCGATCTTGAAAGGTGTTATGTTGATGTATTTCCGCTAAATAGCTTTTATTCAATCAACTCACTATTCAACTACTCAGTATGTGTTGAATAAATAACTAATGTTTTGGTTATGTCATTGGTCTAATTTTCGTGTATAATGCGTTATCTCGTAACACATGCACACACACTGACTACTACTGACTATTCTCCATGACGAACGACTATTTTATAGATAAGTTGAAATGGTCAATGGATAGAAGACTTAGTGTGTGTGCGTGCGTCTAATTTTCCGTATATCTGGTGCACCCACCTTATATGAGTGAGTGGGTGAGAGTGAGTATCATTTGCACAAAATCTTTAAATTTCATAATTGTCTATCATATTTCAAATATTGTTTATATGCTTTTCTCTTAATAACTGCTGTACACAGAATCCAACTTCAGATATACTGTCTTCAGCATCATCAGATTTACTTCCAACAGGTTCCAAACCAATCCCACATTCATTTTTAAAACAAATTATGCTTGAATTGAAAGAAGACTTCAATAAGCTTCAATTATTCGATATTATTTTGGAGAGAGTAAGTTTCAAAATGAATAAATGAAATGTACATTATTACTGGGCACGCAAATAGCGCACTCTAAAATAATTTTCTCCCATTAAAACATTGAACAAGTTAATGGCGGGGAAATCAAATTCACAATTCACACAGTTTGAGGTGAAATCTTACCGCACTTTTCTGTGGAGACTGAAATTATTCAGATCAAAATATATATGCGTACCTAGTTTGGCTCAATTATTCGAATCAATTAAAACTCTCTGATATCTGGTTAGCTGCTTGTATTTTTCCTCCTGTTTGAAATCCATCACAACTCTGATATACCTGAAGGCCAGTCAGCTGTAATTTCCAATTTAACGGTTGGAATAAGCAAAGAAGTGTGTTGGAATATCAGCATAGAGGGATGGTTCCATTTCAACTAAATAAAATGGCGAAAAGTTACACAAGATCAACGAATATGTTTTGAAAATTGTGAGAAAAACGTTCTAGGAGGGTAGTGATGACTTGAAAACTGGTTTTACAGTGCGATTTGAATTAGCTGCTGTTGTTTGGGTTAACTAGCACTTTTGATATTCCCTTTCCTACCTCATGTAGGCGAGAAAACTCGGTCACTAATCAAATCTCAGCTTCTGTTTACTTTCTTTAGAATTTTTCGTCCGATTTTTTTTATTCCTTAACGTTCCAAGTGGAACATAGGGCTTCAAGCTAGAGGCTTGAAGTTTCGATAGCAGTGATGTTTATTTTTACAAGATGGGTTTGCTAGCCTCATGACCAACCTTCCCTCTTTACCAGCCTTATTACTGGCTTAGCGAGGTAAAGGAGTACGTCAGCTGGGGGATCGAACTCCGGACCACTTGCGTGGTTGGCGAGCATTCTACCGCTGTGCCACCGACGCACATTCGATGGCTGATAGTTACTCTTACATCTTACAAGTGAGGTTTCCTTTTCTTTGGGTAGTTTATTGATAGAACTCAGTGCTTGGCTGCAGTAGCTTGGGGTGGATATGATGTAGAGGTTTAGCCTTTAGACCATGTCAAATTTCTTCTGGTATCTAAAGAAAGCTATTTCGTAGACTCATAATCATTCATGTGGACGTTACATTGTTGATATGACTAGAAGTTGACCACTATGGTACAGATGCAGTTGGTTTTTAGGCATATATATATATATATATATATATATATATATATATATATAGTTGATATACGTATAAAACTTGGGCACTGTGGCAGAGTATGTCTCCATTATAGATAAGATTTTATTTTGACAAATCACACAGTGTTATACAGTAATATTAACTGATGACATTTCGAGCACACGCTATTGCTCATAATCATATCAAGTCACTCACACAACTTTTTACTTCATTTATATGTATACATATATATATATATATTATTTCAATGACCTTTGCTTTCAGTTTTAATTAAGTTTATTATTAGTCCATTTCACTACAGGCAGTTTTGTTTTCGCGAACAGTCATTATTTACTGATTTTCATCATAAATCAACATTAGGTTGTGAAATATTATTAACCTCCGAACATTTCCAGATAGATAATCTCTTCTGACCCGGAGTTTTGCAATAGCATCGAAATGGTATTGTCATATTTCACGATGAGCGTATTGCAATTCACTCCTGAATCAAATGAGCGGTGATTTGCTGATTCTGTTCATGATTTCATGATGTATATTCATTATCAAGAATCATTTGGTGTACAACTGTGTTCCAATTGACTTGAACATCTGCATTTCAGATTTAAGTTCTTAGAGTGCAAAGTTTATCGTTTCTGCTACTATGGTCCGAGCAACCAATTTGTAGTGTTATAAGACTTAATCCATCAAATACCGTTTGTAGCTTTTACGTACTATCTTATGTAAAATACTTTCATTGTTTCTGTGACCCATTATTTATTGGGCTAAGCGTGAAAGTGCCCAATGGTTTTCAGTCACTTTGGACGTACTGTTGATTGTTATTCAAATCAATACAATAATATTAGCTAGCAGTAGTATTATCAATAAGATTAATGGTGAACTGCAGTACGTTTTTGTGTGCAACTGTTAAAGGAAGACGTGTAGGCATAGTTTTTCTTTGCTTCCCATATTTTTCGAACCTACTTTAAGTTGTATTTCATCACGAATCAGCATCAGTTTGAGAACCATTGAAGCTCAGGAAGTACTGGACAGCTGTGTTATTGGTCTAGTTTTGGACTTACGACCCCACTGGCAATCCAGACCAGCACTTCGTAACCTGAAGGTTAATTTGATTGATTCTAAACCGGATTTCATCACAAATCGACATCTGCGGTATGGTCATAGGTGCATGCGTAATGATATAAGTGTCCAGTACTCTCTGCCGTTGAATAGTTCTCTCAATAATTTCCGATGAGTGATGAAACGCCACTTGAAATCAGTTATATCCTGTTACACTCAAAAACTGAAGGACCAGGACATAAAGGACATCTTCACTGCAAGCATAACGGAAAAAGCCGGGACACAAATCAACACTAGCGAAGAGGTCAGCGTCGAAAAGCACTGGAACAACTTGAAAACAATGTAGAGTCAAACCTGCATGGAAGTTCTGGTCAGAAAGAAGAGACAGGACAAACAGTGGCTCACTACGGACACTTGGAGACTGATAGAAGAGAGAGAGAGATGGTGAAACAAAAGATTATCCAGTGCACCGACGAGCAACAAAAACAGGATTTGAATACAAACTACAAGACACTGAACAAAAGAGTAAAGAAGAGTGCCAGAGAAGACAAAAGAAAGTATTATGAAACCATGGCAAGTGAAGCAGAACAAGCTGCAGGCAAAGGAGACCTCACAACACTCTACCAAACAACTAGGTACCTATCGGGCAAAAGTTTGACACAAATTAAGCCAGTGTGGGATGACAATGGAAAGTCACTCACCAAAGAAGTGGATCAAAGGAAACACTGGGCTGAACACTTCAAAAGACTCCTAAATCGACCACCACCTACAACGCGCCCAACAATACCAACAACGGAGACAGAGCTACCAGTGAACACCAACCCCCCGACGAAATCAGAAGTCCTGAAGGCAATCAAGATGCTAAAAGCTGGAAAAGCAGCAGGACCAGATGGAATCCCAGCAGAAGCATTGAAAACGGACCCAGAGACAACAGCGGACTTGATGACGCCACTACTGGAGAAGGTGTGGAAAGAAGGCAAAGTTAAGGCATAGCTGTAAATGCAAGTTTGCCTACAGTTCTAATCATTGTTTTTGAATGAGAAAGGAAACTCCAGTGTATCATATAAATGTTTGTAAGCCACACGTTAAAAAAATATAAAGATTAATATTATTATTATCCCACCAGCTAGTGCCAAAGTGAATTGTAATTTCACACGAGGTGCAGTTAATCGAACACACTGATGGTTCAACTACTCGTGTTATCTTTCGCCAATATACAATAAACATTGGATGAATTCAGCCTTTTTTTTTACTTCCGGGATATATTATTTTAAATGGAAAAGAGTTCATTCATCAGCGAAATTCTCTTGACGTAAAAATAATGATCATAATAATAATCGTATGAACCAATATTATCATGCACTTGAATATTTCTACTCACTGTCGAATTTTAATATATATATATATGAAACCGTCGTAAAAAGAATTCTCTTCATCGATGAAATTAAATTTAGATAAAATAATTATTAGTAGGCGGACTTATAATAAATCATACAAATTGATTAGAAATCTGTGAATCCTTTAAGTTGTCTAAGGTTTTTTTTGATGACCTACCACTAAGTCTTGATTATCCCATTTTTCTCCTGTTTTCTTGTTACATCACTTTCTCAAATTTCATTTATCCCTCCTTCTCATCAATAATTTTGAAGGGCCCTGATGGTTTTGGCATTTTCATTGTAAATCTGGGTCCAAACAATGAGTCTGGTGTATTTGTTACTGAAATTCGTCCAAACAGTCCTGCCTTTCTGGTAAGTATATGTGAATATTCTTACTATATACTGGATATTTAATGTTTTAAGCAAAATTTCTTATTCGTAGTAATATCGGTGTGACGGCAAATATAAAGTTGACTGTGTGTATTATAGTTAGAAGAGTTGTGATCAAGCGCATGTTGGCAATTTCTAAGTTGAACCCTAGAAACCCTAAAGTCATCATACAAAATAAAATAATTTCCTCATTCGGAGACATGTCTTTTTTTTCTTTTAAGTGTCTAAGTGGTGACTTTCACCATGTTAAAGTTTTCGAAGCAACAGTTTGCATTAGGGGTTCTCAATGGGGAGTATCTGAAGTACAGCACAAGATTCAGTGAACCGAGAACTTATGTAGGCTTTATTCTATTTGAAACAAGCAACAAAGGTCGATAAAGCAGGATTTAATGAATTCATCAAATTTCGGTAGGACTGGTCAGCTGAATACTCTACACACGGGGATAAATATACTATTGAAATTACATTTGGAGATATAAGACTGATAAGCATGCTATTTGGTCTTGTTAAATATAACTGTTTTCTTCCCAAATGAAGTCATACATTCTCTACCTTTTTTCATGTTGTTTTATTATTATTGTGTGGCGCATCTTCTTGGTGAATATATTGTACCAGGTTTTGTTTTAAATTATTAAATAAATTTGAATAAAGTAAGAACAACAGTTTTCGCAAAATAACATGACACCACCATTTTGTCGACTTCTCATCAGCTGCTTACTGACCAAAGTCATTATTAAGCATATCTACAGAAACAATTTTAACATGTGTGCACAGAGTTCATTTTCAAACAAAAATCAATGTATACATACAGTATATATATATATATATATATATATATATATAATATTAGACACTATTCCGAACAATACACAATGGAATCTTTCAACATTACGTAATCAGATGAAAGAGGTGAAAATAACTAGTTACCAGGGCAAAGAAAGACTGATAACTGCTTCTTTCTGAACGCATAAATCAGGTTTCGGGCACTTGATAGAGATCGCTTCGGCACATTTGAGGAGAATTGAACTCTTTTGCCTATTGATAATTTTGAACGATCATGCGACGTCCACCTCATGACCCTTGTCAAGGAGATGTCTGGTTATGGCACTGCTTGAAGCATTTGTTCCCTTTAGACATAGGCTTTTTGGTACATGTTCAGAAAATCGTAGATGTGTTCTTCTTTCTGTTCTTCCAATGTAACTGCTCCCTGAGATACATGTACAGTTGGAGTTAACATGAGAAGGATATCTATCGATTTTCGATTGCACCAAAGCACAAGTTGTTCGATAGATGGGAACGAGCTTAGCTGCAGTATAGGCTCTGCCTAATGACTTCCTCAATCTTCTGTTGACAATTGCTGTAATATTTTCACCTTTATAATCAAGTTGAATGTAGGTGGTCTTTTTCTCCACTGTGATTTGTTTAACATTTGAGACTTCAGGTCTTCCGTAGTTGTTAATGAAGCTTTGAGGGTAACCGTTGCTTTTCAACATCTTTTCGAGAAACATAAATTATTCTTGTAATTTCTCGAAAAGATGTTGAAAAGCAACGGTTACCCTCAAAGCTTCATTAACAACTACGGAAGACCTGAAGTCTCAAATGTCAAGCAAATCACAGTGGAGAAAAAGCCCATCAGAAAGGGAATAATATCCCAGTGAACAAATATTTACGTAAGATAACAGTGAAAACTCAGATAAAACTTTGTCATGTATTCCGAATTTCGGTAATGATTAGAAGTGTATAAATCTGTGTCATTTTGGATTATTTTGAACTATGTCATCTTCATCATTACAAGAAATTCTCTCTACCAGGCAACTTATATCTCTCTTAATAGTTCACACTAGCAATGCGATATTTTATGTGTCAGTGTGAGATATTTTAATCGCCAAAGTTAAACTTTCGATACTACTAACAGCCAATCAGCAAACGACCTTGAACGGACCAATCACATTAAAGATGCATTTCTGATAAATGGAAACGTGTATTTATTGAAAAAACGCATAAAACGACTACAGGGGGTATCTTTCCCTAACATGTGAAAGAAACATCTCCCAGTTAAGCATCGGACTGTCAACAGAAAAGTTACACCACATTCTGTACATATATTCATCTAAATGACTATAATGATATCCTCTTTAGATCCATTTATAGCCCTTATTCTATTTTTCAACCGGCCCCAAAATCCCTTAATATAATATGTATGAGTCCTCGTAACAGGATCCACAAAATCACTTGAATGGTTAACTCTGTGATGAATATATACCAGAGATGACAGGGGATTGTAACCTTTCCATTCGTCCGTGTGTATTATTGATCCCCGTTTTACAAGTCTCGTAATAATAGGTATTAAAGTAGTCGCCTTTCTATCTGCTATTCTTTCCATGAATCCTTTTCGGAGGGAGGTGTCGTATGAACCTATTACCCAAATATTGTTCGCTTGCTGGCGACCATGGTTGTATTTCTTTTTCACAAACACAGTTTCATCCACGTGCATAACAACTTTTTTTCCACCCAACAAAGAATTGATTTTCTCGATTTTCCAAGAAGCAATATCTCTGCAATGCCGGAATGTTTGAACTGTTGAGAAGAGGCTCTTCTCCGTCTCCGCAGCTACGGCTCTCACTAGCCGTTTCAATACCCAGTAGCTGTAGATATACAAAATTTGCGTCAAGGAGAGGTGTGACCTTGCAAAAAAGTTCCTACGAAATATTAAAATTATCAGCTTACCCTCTCTAATGCTAACTCGCGTCAAGCATACAGCACAACGATGGACAAATCCATCAGTTGACCTGCTATAGCTTCTTAAAGTCATGACACCACCACAGGAACAAGTTCGCTCCTTCCGGAGCAACCCTAAATCCAGGCAATACTGGAAAACACTGTCCTCCTCGAATTGCAACCGTAACCTTGTTAGGGCACGCATTTGAAATGAATCAAGCGCTATACAACGTTGAACTAACGTTCGTGAATCTCATTGGATAATTCGACGTCGTTCGCTGATTGGTAGTTAGTGGTGCTTAAAGTTTAATTTGGCCTTTTAATATTATCAAATGTGATTTTATCCAGCTTAATCTTGTACTAGTTAAAATTGCTCTTTAGGAGAAAACCACTGTGTCTTGGTTCATCGTTATACACAGATGCCTCAACCATTTTGAGTCGATTAGGGTTTACAACCTCTTTGTCTGATTCGAACATGGTTGAACTCGTACTTTATTGCACTTGAATTGTGCAGTGTTAGAAAGAAACCTACATTAAAAATATCATTTTCATCAGTCCAGTAGTTGGATGTAGCTCAATGTAGCCTGTAACAGGAATTCCGCTTCACTATTAGTAAGTCGCATTAGCCTTACCTGTTTATGATATGTGTATAACTGGACATAATGGTATGTGTTCTCGTCATTTTGTTGCATAAATATAAACCTTTTGTTTCCCTCCCTTCCTTTCTTCTTCTGCCGCCCCCTCTTCAAATATTTCATTGTTTCTAGCAGGGTGTACTGAAACCTCACGATCGTATTCTAGCCATTAATGGTCACCTACAATATGATTATGAGAAAACACTTGAATTATTACAACAGTCGAGAAAGTCTGTTCGTCTGACAATCGGTAGGCAAATAAATGATAAGCTAATCAATTCAACACAACTTGACCCAACAAGAACTTCTGACCAGTCCAGCGGTGGTGATAATGGGGATAAAGATGCAAAAAAGAATGAACTGAAACAAGCTAAATTGTCGATTGTCCCTGGGATTCCAGCTACGGTTACATTGTATAAAAATTGTGGTGGTCTTGGCTTTTCAATTGTCGGTGGAAGTGATACAGTTCTGGTGGGTGCTATTTTGGTAGGATTCTTTTTTCATACTCCTTTATGATACGAATTTAGAATTGGGTTACCTGAAACACATTTCGTGTTAACCATCAGCCATCTCCTATGAAGGTTGGTGATACCATACAGCTGTCGTAGCTGAAGTAAAGATTGTGCTGGAGTCGACCCCAGGAAGTATTGGGTGAATCAAATTAACCGTATCTCCGATAGACAGTGTTTTTGTATCCGCCGTTGGTATTTTATTAGTGAGAGGTATGCATGAATAAGTGGTCTATAAGATGATATTCACGAAAGTAATGATAATAGTTGATTATCATTTTCATTGTGTGGGGATAGATAAGAGAGTTTGGTCAATCGTGAACCTAGCTGAAGACGACTAAAGAAAACAGTAAAAACCCGAGATGTGTTGTTGAAGCCCTATGTTCCACTCGGAAGGCAAGGGAATAAATATAATAATAATATAATAATCATTGTCAATCATTGAATAAATGAGAAATCTGTTCACCTTCCATTGGCATCAAAAATAGAAATAAATACCCACTATATCTACCTACTGGTGTGAATATGGTACACAGTGGTAAGTTAGCTTGTCTTTCAGAACCTGTTAACTGTTGAATACCTTATGCATAAGATTTCATTTTGATAAATCACACAGTGTTATACAGTAATATTAACTGATGACGTTTCGAGCACACACTATTGCTCATAATCATATCAAGTCACTCACACAACTTTTTACTTCATTTATATACATGAGTGAAAGTGATTAGACATTTGAATAAAAATCAATATATGATAATGTACATTCAGAAATAATAATATGAGTGTTATTGATCAAATACAATCAGACAGGAAATAAGATGTTTTTATAGTCAAAATAAGTTACTTGTTAGAATGTTATGATGTACGTGAATTGAAATAGGATTTTTAGATTATTTATTATCCTCCTCTGACTTGACTGGTGGTAATAATATCTTCCATATCTCTAGTATTTGCATTGAGTCATTTCCGTTGCATGTGTTGGAGGAAGACTCAATGAACCAGGATTCAGTTACCAATCTCTGTGTCCACCTACTTGTATTACTTCTTAGAATTTTAACCCTCTCCCACCCTATTGTGTGATTGCGTGTTAGTGCATGCAGTGCTATAGCTGAGCTTTTCTTCAAATTACTTATCTTCTCGAGGTCAACCATTCTTACTTTAGCTAAATTCTTATGTTCCGACAATCTGACTACCGCTGGCCTACCAGTTTGACCTATGTAGTTCACCTAACTCACAGTCATTGCAAGGTATTTTGTAAATTATATTATTTTGTCTAATTGGGTCAACTGGGTCCTTCAAGCTACAGAGCTTGTCTCTGAGTGAGGTTGTAGGTTTAAATGCCACTCTAATTCCTGCTTTACTAAGAATCCTACGTAGGGTCTCAGATGTCACCTCCTTATATGGTATAACATTAGATGCCTTATATTCTCTTGTTTATGTCATCATTATTAGTTCCACCATTATTTTTATTTTGCTTTTCGCCTTTTCTGATATTCCTAATGAATTTTATAGGATAGTTATTCAACACCAACGCCCCTTCTATCTGTTTCATTTCATCATTTGGGTCTTTTTCGTGCTACTTAGTGCTATTGCTCGGTTTGTTAGACATTTAACTAAGCCTGACTTAACAGACACCGGATGAGATGAAATGAAGTCTAAATATCTATTAGAATGCATTGGCTTTTTATAAACGCTAGTGTGCAGTTTACCTTCTTCTGTTCGTTTGATTTTGCAGTCTAACATGGCTAGTTCTCCTTGTTCCTCTTCCGACTCGAATGTGAATTTTATTCCCTCCACTAGTGAGTTTATGTGTGTCAAGAAGCCAGAGATATGTTCTGTTTGTAACACTGTGAGAGTGTCATCCACATATCTCTGAATCCTGGTTCATTGAGTCTTCCTCCAACACATGCAACGGAAATGACTCAATGCAAATACTAGAGAAATGGAAGATATTATTACCACCAGTCAAGTCAGAGGAGGATAATAAATAATCTAAAAATCCTATTTCAATTCACGTACATCATAACATTCTAACAAGTAACTTATTTTGACTATAAAAACATCTTATTTCCTGTCTGATTGTATTTGATCAATAACACTCATATTATTATTTCTGAATGTACATTATCATATATTGATTTTTATTCAAATGTCTAATCACTTCCACTCATGTATATAAATGAAGTAAAAAGTTGTGTGAGTGACTTGATATGATTATGAGCAATAGTGTGTGCTCGAAACGTCATCAGTTAATATTACTGTATAACACTGTGTGATTTATCAAAATAGAATCTTATCTATAATGGAGACATACTCTACCACAGTGCCTAAGTTTTATACCTATGTTGAATCCGTTGTTATGAAACTGGTAATTTGTTAGGTCGGAAGGATTGATTGACATGTTTTAGCGAACCATTGGAGCAATGAGGCATTGGACAACTATTGCATCCTGGTTTGACACTTCAATAGTGTACCAAATGATCAACAGACTTAGTCTGTAAAATGTATGTTGTAGGTGCGACTCCTGATGCGGTCTTGGGTGCGCACTTCTAAAGAGTCTTAGACTGCCTAGTGCTTCGTGGTTGTTTATTTTGTATTCGCATAAAGTCGTAGGTAATGCAGAACGTCAAAGACATGTAGAAGGTAAATTGGTAGTAGTCAGTGACTGACTGACTGGTTTCCACATAGAACCTTTGCCCCAATGTGCAGCAGTTCGCATCGCCATACTTCACTCAGCACACAAAGCCAAAGAAGAAGAAGAAAGGAAAAAGAAATGCAAAATAGAGACAGTAAACAGAGATGTGAGGCAAAACGAATATCGAATGATATCGACTAACAATATAGTTTTATTGGGTAATATAAGTCACAAGGAGTGGATGCATCTGCGCCCTTGACAACGATTTTGAGCCATATCACCTATTGTCTGCAGCTTTCATTGCTTTTTACCATCCCAACGAACCCAACCAGTCAGGATGTCTATACCTCCCTACGTGACCTAAACTAACTGTTGTGGATTTCATTGACCTATGAGGTTATTTTTTCGTTTGACCACCATTAGCTCTTTTCCAACCTGACCCCATATCAACTAGCATTGACGGTTGAGAAAGACTATGACTAGGCAGGCATGCGCAACACATATCCTAACCATCTCAACCGATATAACTTCACAACCTCATCAATTGACTTCCTCTCCTTACCTAGCATTCGACACCTAACCTCAATATTGCTCATCTTATTGTACCGCCACTCAACACGGGAGATAGAACGCAGACACATGTGGTCAAAGACAGCTAGCCAGGCTTTTCAAGTTTTCCACACTCAATAGCCATGTCTCACTACCATAAAGGAGGTCAGAGCGGACTGCTGAACAGTACACGCATCTTCTGGTCGACAGCCAGCCATATATCACAATAATATTGCAAATGGCGAACGAGCCTCCTGTATGTCTTGCATTGACAAGTCAATCCCTGAGTCACTGAAGTCACTTAGGGTTAAGTCCATTAGTATATTTATGATGAAATTGAATAGAAATAGGGATAGTGGGCATCCCTGACGGACATCACTAGTTGTCACCACTTTAGATAACAACTCTCCGTAGGCTCTCATGTGGCTGGCTGCATGAGTTCGAGTACAGTGCCTTGATCAGCGCGATGTACTTGGCATTCACTTCACGGCGAAACATTGCCATAGTACCTGTCAGTCGACAGAATCAAATGCCGCTTTCAGGTTAAAAAATGTGACGATTGTTAGACGCCGGTAAGTATGCCTGTGTTCCAGAATCTGTCGAAGGGTGGAGATATGATCAATACACCCTCTCCCTGGCCTAAAGTCTGCCTGGTTCTCTTGTGTTTGTTCCTCCCGAGAATCACTTAGTCTACTCATGATTATTGAACCTAGAACTTTGATACCAAATTAGTCAAGCTAATCCCCCTGTGATTATCACAGGAAGACTTGTCTCCCTTCTTGTATATCGGGATAATCAATGACTTACACCAACCCGACGGGACTTCCTCTGATTCCCAGACGCTGCCTAGTACCTTAGTTAACGCAGACAGTAAACTGTCTCCACCGTACTTAAATGCCTCTGGAGTCATTCCATCAGGTCTCGCTGCTTTGCCTCGTTTCAGCCTAGTGACAGCCTTAGTAACCTCAGTTAGGAACAGAGGATCGGTGTTTATATCCCATTCAGGGAGGTGTTGGATGTTCGGTAAGTTGAGCGTGGCTGTAGGCCGATTGAATTGCTCCTCAAAGTGTTCTTTGCAACGTTCTAGTCGTCTATCCTAGGAGCTAATTATGGTGACTTTTTCCTCAGAGATTGTCTCACTTATTGTTTGCCTTTTACCACCTGTTTCCCTGATAAGTCTAAATAGTTGTCTGGTGTTACCAATCGCCGATGCCTTTTCCATCTCTTTCGCTTTTGCCGCCCACCACTGTTCACAGTCGTTTCGGAGTCTTCTGGTAAGTTCGCGTTTAAGTAGCTTTCGATCCCCATCATAATCGGGGCTCGCCGGAATCACTCTTCTTGCGTCAGTCAGTTTGGATGAGGTGGTAGAAATACAGTGACTCTTACTAACTTTAGGTTTCAGCTTATTAACAGCTTTTACCACTATGTCTACAGCTGACTGTATGTTGTGCCAGGCTACCGCAGGAGGAGTCCTGCTGTCAACCTCAGGTACTCGTTTCGCTATTTCTTCCTTAAATAGGGACTCAGAGACTCGATCTAGTTGGGGACGCAACTGCTTCGTTTCCGGTTTTTTACTTCCGTCTCATCGGAAGCATAAGCCTAAGAGAACCGGAGCATGAACGCAGTCTACGCACGTCTTCCAGAAAGAGCAGCCATCTCCTACTGACCCTCAGTAACGTTGGCCTATTGCTGTGGTCTATTTGAGTCCAGCGTTGATTTTGTGATGGAAGTCGCCAGGTTGCGCAGTGTCTCTCTTTGTGCCTTAAGTTAGAGGTGACTAGGAACAGATGATTATGTGAACAGAACTGTAGAAGACGATCACCGTTGTCAATTCGTCGGCAGGGAACTTCATACGTGTCACCTACATACTTCTCAGTCTGACACAAATTCCTTACTTGGGCATTGACGCCGCCTGCTGAAACAACTATATCTGTATGTTTTGCTTTTTTCAACAAGAGTCAGTCGGTAGAAACAATTCCTGTGCTGTCTCTGTGGCAAACGTATGGGCTTTTGTTGAGAAAGTGCGCATCCTTTAGGAGACATTTCCATGGAGACTACCGGCTGTATGATTGAGCTCTCAACTCTTCTACGTTAATATGTATATATATATATATATATATATTACGGCAGAATACAGGAGACTTGTCAAAGGAATGTTCATTTGGGATTTGGTATCGCTATATGACGAAATTATATACTCATTATCTTCAAATCACCATTTGCACAGATCTTCTGTATTGTGTCTGCTACTTCTGCCCTTCATATTGTATTTCTTTGTCTTCTTTTTGTGTCTCGCATATTTTTCTGCTACGCTGAATCACTTGCTTTCTCTGACTTCATATCTTTCTCTCCGCTATTCGATATGTTTTATGTTGATGAACGTCTCTTTATATACTACTGATGAATCCTGTCAGTATCACACGTCATATATTTGCATTCTGATGTCTTTTAAATTATGTCTTACGTGGTGGATATATTTCTGGAATATCTAATGCAATATACATACAGCTAAAATTGTTTTCAGGCATAAGTTGACGACTTTTTTTCTATATTCTCTCTTTCCAAATCGCAGATCAAAAGTGCTTTGCGATGAAAGTGTCTTCTACTTCGAGGAACACTTTGGGAATTGGTTTGATAGTATTCAGTCTATACTTAAGGTAGTGGAAAAGACCGTACCAGTTGCTTACTGCACATTGAGTATAGTTTATTCACTTTGTCAATGTCTGTAGGATTCCTATTTTTCAAACGACTGATTAGTGAGTGAACAAACAATTTTCTTGATAACTGTTTTCTCCATCGGGTATTACAGTTATGTATCCATGATAATTAAAGAATAATGATTTCCGCAACATTGTTTTAAAAAAGATATAATATCGAATGATTCAGATCAAAATTGCAGTTAGCAAATGTGAATAGGTTATTAGTTGATTATAGTCCCCAAAATTGTGTGTTAATAAGCTATAAATATACTACTTAACTGAATATCAGATAAACTAGGGGAAGTAATGCAGAAATGGTGAATTTTGTAGGTTCTACAGCAGTCGAGAGTAGCGTTATTGGCTAGACCTGTTACCTTTGTTTGCAGAGTTCCCATTGTTTAAATCGGATTACAATGACTTCTGCTGTTTGGAGTGTTCACTTTCTAGAGCTCCTTTGGCAATTTATTTGTTTCATCACAGAATATAGAAAAAGATTCTTCAGTGTTCACTTTATGATCTTTTTGGATCAGGTGATTTAATATCAAACTGTTAATGCTTTTTACTGCACCTTTATTTAACCATACTGAGAGATGTTTTTGATTGCGAAAAATTACGTCCCTAGAGCCAATAGCCATAGGAACACCTGGATTTATAGGTACAGGAAAGAGGTGGTTGGCCTAGGTACTTCGTCTTTCTGTTTCTGAATCACAACGGGTGTGTGCAGAAAATATGAGCTGCAGCCTACTATCATTGAAGTTCTTTGAATTGATTGTCTTAACTCGTTGATTATTACTTCAAACTTAGTACATCACCCTTGAATTACATTCTCACATAGGAGAAGCTTCTTGTTCACAGATACAGATTTCTTTTCTACTTTCTTGGTTGATGTGTTTCGTGATGAATTTTTCTGGATAACTATTCTCAATTAAGGTGTCATTCGTAGTCTTAAGTCCATGCTTAATCGCATCATCTGAATATATATGACTGTGAATCTGTAACTGAATGTGTTTATCAAATTTCTTTTGTACTGGAGAGGAACAAGGTTATGGATGTCTATTTTATTCGATGAGTTAATCAACAGAAATTATTTGTGAATCATCTTCCCCTTTCTTTATTCTATTTCAAAAGGGTAACATCTTAATACATGAAATACACACTAATGGGGCTGCTGCTTATGACGGTCGACTTCAAGTTGGTGATCGTTTATTAGCTGCCAATGGGATTGATCTTCGTGAAGCTACTCAAAAAGATGCGACAAAAGTAAGTGTACGGTTGATTGATACAAAAAAGGAGGATATAAAAAATAATAACTAACAATAGTTTTGGTAATATAAACAGATAACTACATATTAATATAGGTTAAGCATAGTGATAAACTGTTTTCATACACACCGAGGGTAGGGCTTAATTTTACGGATGACAGTCTCTTTAGAGTATTTCAGTATGCACGCCTGGCAGGCTTTATAGGTAAACCTAAAAGGTGTTTTGATATTAATCTTGCTATTTATATCAATTACATATTTTTTTATGGACAAGGTTGGTAATCTACCATCTGTGTGTGTGTGTGTGTGTAATTTGACGGTTCCCGGTGCCAATAGTCTTTCGAAGTATTTGGTGTATGTCTACTTTGTTCCAAAGAAAGATGTGTGTATCAAATTACCTTACAATGGGGAAATAAATAGTATGATTTTCAGACAAAAACTAAATATTCTGTGATCTATAAAACTCGCTATCCAGTCCCGCTTGTGATTATCAATAAAGCCAGAAACATGCTCTGCTACAAGCCTCAATATTTTACAAGTAACTATGTGCATATCCAAGTCTGCGATCCTCTATATACATGTCTGAGTGGACATATATATGTAGAGAGAAAGAGAGAGGAGTAGTCGCACCTTTCATGAGAAGATGGAGGAGAAAACATACCCGATCGGTTTGAAAAACAACAGAACTCCAAAACCTCTCTATCTTTAAGTTACACCTAATCTGTCTTGGTAAAATTCTTATCTGATTACATTACCAAAAAGTGTTAATTATTATCTTTTATATTTTTAAACCCGATATCATTTTGTTTATTTTAATTAGCCTTTCACTTTTCATATAAACTGATTTGACAAGTTAATGTCTGCGTGATCAGATTGTTCGAAAATGCATTGCGCAAATACGTCACATGTTTCAGATAAATTCCGTATTCCAATAACACTGTTGAAATATATAATGTTTGTTTATTATCCATGTTTATTCACCTTTTAAAACGAATATACACTTACTGTCTTAGCCATTCGTTAGTAATATAGCAATATTCATAGGGCTGAACACAGTTGTCTTACTTCACAATGGTTAATCCTGTCCACTTTTCATGTTTCATACTTTTATTCTTTCCTTTCCTGTACTTTATTGCAGTGATTATTATTCTTATTAAAACACAAGCTTGATACATTATGGGCACCAAAACATATAACACACTAAAACTCAGTTTGTTCGATAGCTGGGTTATTTTAATGGTTTACCCCTCTCCGAGCCTTTGACTTGAAGTCTAATGTACATGTCATTGGAATAGCATCAGGAGCTGCATTCCTATGGTTGTCAGTGTCCAAAAATGACTCATACGCCATCCGGTCATTCTGGATTCTGGAACCCATGTATGCCATAGGTTTAGAATCAGGGTTTTTCAACTCCCCTAGTTAGACTAGTCGGGTTGTAAGCGTCAGATATTCGTATTCGCTTTTTCACTTTTGTGAAGAAGATCCCGCCACCTGAAGGCAGTGAATAGGAGTTAACTTGCGGAGGCTAAGAAGGCGTGTAGCTACATGAGCGTGTTTGGACTGGAAGACCAAGTTCTACCCTTCCCCGAGGGTGTACCAGGTTATTTATGGGGTATTCCATCGAATGCTATGTTGACTTATTAGAACCCATACATTTCGTTGTGCCAAATTGATATTCAGCTGAGAGCTTTATGATCTTTTTTCTTTATACATTAGACATGGATTACGCAGTGGAATTAATCAGTGGTAATGTGACAGCAGAACACAGTAGTACTTAGTCGGGGAATTGTTTATTGAGGAAAATGATGTACAGTTATGGCGGAATACAGAAACCCTACGCATTGGAATCTTCATTTTGCGCTTCTCTTTTGCTCTTTCCTTTCATGCATCTATCATTTCTCCTTTCCCCATATAACGTGTTTCTTCCTGCATTCAATATTTTTTATAAAGGACGCCACAGATAATATACTATCTACAAAATTATTTCAATAGCACACCACGAGGATTCATGGTTACGAATGAAATAGACATGCATATATTTATGTAGGTAATTGTTATTCTGCCTCTATCTCTCCCTTCCAGTCTTCTTTAATATTCTGTTTTCTTCCTTTTTTCATATTCATTAGGTAATTTGAGATTTCACTAAAACTTCTGAAATCTCCTAATTTTTTAGAGTCACATGTGTAACTGAAATGTTCAAGAGGACCACAGTATCTGTTGTAACGAGTGAATGAGTGTAACCGCGAGAACTATGGTCGTATTCTCATGCATATAAGCAGCAACTGTTACTCGATAACCACTTGCATTTCTATGTAGTTGACAATGTGCCATGCCTATTGTAGAGGTTAGAACCCATGATCTAGTAGTTGGAAGTCAGGCATCTAGACCAACGAGTCACATCTGCACCATGTAACCACTGTCTAGGTATTCGCATATCACTTTCTGTTTTTTTTGGGGGGGAGGGGGTGCATTTGAACCCTTCGTCCTGGAAGACTGGCAAACGTTCTTACATAACTCAATATTATAATTATAATAGGAATAAAAAAATTGAGTTTACAGTTGTTTTCAAATAATTTCTTCTACAGTTATAAAGATGTGAATTTTAGAATAGAAATAGCCAGGGTAAAGACAAATCAAATTATATCAGAAAGTGTATTACTGTACAAGTACAAGGTAGAATAATAGTCAGTGAGTTATGAATATCATTTAAATGTATTCAAAGTCATTAAGACTGTAAGATAAAATGTGGATACACGATGAAATAAGTGACATGCTAATGTATATATAATCAACAGAAATATGAACGGTACAAAAATATAAACTGAAACTTATTTTCTTTTTATAACTACAAATACAAGCATGTCTTTTAATTGTTTATTCACATTTTATCTTAATTTTTAATTACTGTACGTTTTATATGCATTCAGTGGATAATGTTAACTGATAGACTATTATTCCATCTTATACTTTTACACCACAATACACTTCCGTATATCAGTTTCATTTATATAGGCTGTCACTGCTGTATTCCCACTTCTATATATTTATAACTGTAGTGCCTGAAGAATAATTTGGTGGAACCACGATTGTTTGCTCAATTTTTTCTTGTTCTTAACGTAGTTAGAATATTTAATAATTCAAAATTGCAGGTTCTTTTCTAAGGAAATGGAATAAAATATTTCGATTTTTTTAAATTATAGATTATACGTGCAGCTGGTGATTGTATTCAGTTATTGGTTTATCGAGATCCTGAACCACAATATTTAAATCAAGGTGTATTCGAGTGTCATAATGTTACATTGAGACGTGATATGCCTGGACAAAGTTTCGGTTTATCGTTAATCGATCGACCGCATTATTCAACTGGTACGGCAATTGGTGGCATTGTAAGTGTAAATTTTCCTTTTCATCTGTTCCCTGAGTCGTTACCAATTAATAAACAGCAGTAGAGAGAGGTTTTGCTTGATTGTCATTGCCCGTTCTTATGTAAAACCCTGTTTCACTAGAAAAAGCATGGTTCGCTTTGTTGGGATGCAAGAACACATGACAAGAAAACTACTGGTTGTTAAGTTTCATATATTTATGGATATCGCTTTGTTTATGCAACTATAATCTTTTGAATAGTTGTCGAATTAATAATTAAGGATGGTATAAATCAACAAGCAGTCAATGGGAGATTTTAGTTATATTCGAGGAGATTAGATTATATATCTAATAAGATAAGCGAAAATTGAGCTAATTGAACAACAAAACGAACATGTGTTGGAAAGCATTATCACTTTGTGCTATTGTAACAACAGAAGACAAGGGCCAGGCAACAGAACGTTTATTACGGAAAATCAACACGTATTTATAGATTTTGATGTACATTATTGTAGGTTAATGTTAGTAGAAAATACAGTCTGTTGATTGGTTGTTTCTCACACAAAGTTAACCTTGCATCTCTTGTGGTTGTGTCAGTTCATCAATATGTTAACTGTATCCGCCTGTCCATCTTGACCTTTGACCTCAATTACTGTCAACCAATTTCGCTAGCAACCATTTCTCACCACAACATGACTAATATTTGATACATAAACATTGACCTCAATTACTGTCAACCAATTGGCTAGTAGACAGCTCTCACCACGCTATCACCATGTTTATTTTTTCGGATAATATAGGACAGACTTAGCTTCACTTTCCTTCCTCTGAGAAAATTGTGGTGCATTAACAAATGTTAACTCAACACGACTATCATTCCTATGCCATTTACTTTGGGGTTTTCCAAGCCATTGTGTGGTGAGAGCTGTCTACTAGCCAATTGGTTGACAGTAATTGGGGTCAAGGTCAAGATGGACAGGTGGATACAGTTAACATATTAGATGGTTGGAGGCAATCGGCAGGAAGCCTTGGACCTAGGTTTCGTGCTAGTTGGCACTCATCAGCAAGGCGTATCTGCAACCTTGAAGGAACTGATGTCCCTTCTGAGATTCGAACCCGCGTCACCCAGTACTGCAGTCAGAGACGTTACCACTGAGCTATTCAGGCTCGCGACTGACCTCCTGTAGGACTGTATTGGATATTTTTGATTGGACACTAGTCAGTAACTAGTGTAATGCGTCTAGTCCTATCTTCGGTGCAGACTGAATTCTATCAGTCATGTTTGCCTCCAACCATCTAATACCAACAGTTCACAGTGCACCGTTATGGCGAGCCACCTAGCATGGTGGCCACATTGCAAACATGACTGATAGAATTCAGTCTGCACCGAAGATAGGACTAGACGCATTACACTAGTTACTGAGTAGTGTGCAATCAAAAATACAGTTAACATATAGATGAACTGACACAACCACAAGAGATGCAAGGTTAACTTTGTGTGAGAAACAACCAATCAACAGACTGTATTTTCTACTAACATTAACCTACAATAATGTACATCAAAATCTATAAATACGTGTTGATTTTCCGTAATAAACGTTCTGTTGCCTGGCCCTTGTCTTCTGTTGTTACAATTGAACACTAATACTGTTCTGGTAGCCATGTGCATAGTTTACTCACAAAATCCATTGTATACTATAGATAGATATAGATATATCTGCTTATCTTGCTTACTCTGTCGTATTTAACACGGACTATTGATTCATAAATCAGTCGAGCAAATTAAAATACTGATAGGTTTTCATATCAGGGGATTAGAGGCAGCATTTAACTTGAAGTCGTGGACCTTGGTTTCATGTGTATATTTGACACTTGTCGTCAAGGTTTGTCTGGAAAGTCGAAACGAACTGATACCCCTCCTCATAAATATATAGATTCATTGACGAAGGTGACCAGTAACTTGTAATACGAATGCCTATCCTCCGTTTGCTTCAATGTGCGATGTTAATGAAGATAAAAGAGCAGTGAACCAAGAAATGATATACACTCTATTTGGTGTGTGTGTGTGTGTGTGTTGGGGGGGGGGAGTGTAATCTGACAATCGAAACCAAAAAGTATGAGGTTTCGGGTAAGTTGACGAACAGTTGATTTCAGTGTTATGCACATTCACTTCAGGCTTTATCTTTTATGATAGTCTTCCCTTCATTTTCATTAGTATAAAAGTGAAGAAAAGATTATGGGTTATAATGGTTAGTCATTTTTGTTAGTTCTTCATTGTTTCTGTTTAGCATTATCTTTACTTTGTCCTTTTTTTTAAAAGATTCTTTCTCTTGTTGCACAATCACTTGTAGACTGAGAATAGTCCTGCAGCTCGATCGAATTTGCTGGAAGTTGGTGATATTATCTTGGAAATTAACGGTTGGGATATGCGATTAGCCAAATCAGATGAAGTTGTCAATCTGTTGAAGGTCAGTTTATATGTCATATTACATAGGCCTTCGCTTCTTTGTGGGTACGCATAGTTTTCTGTATTGAATTTTTCATCAGGAAAGTTCCTCATTCTTCCTTCACACCCTTCAGGTTCCCTCAATATAAATCAAAAGATCATACAAGATAACTTTATCCCGCTTTCTCTGAATAGAAGTTACTTACGTTGTAGCCTGTCTTATACGTCTTGTTGATGATGATGACGAATAGATCAAAAGCGAAATTCGCAAAACTTCTACACCCCCTTCGAACCCCCTAAGTATAAAACAAATTTTAAACTGTCAAGATTAACATTAATGCGCAATTATAATCAGACGACTTCGAAACTTGAGTTTTATAGTTTTCTTTGTCCTCTCCTATTTGTCGTAGGAGTAGTAGAATCTTCCAGATATCTGGGACAGGTGTTGAATCGTTCCTATTGCATTTATTTGCAGTTGATTCGATAAACAAAGCTTCTGTTATCGATCTCTCCCTCCATCCTGTGACATTAGATTTGGAAATTGTCATCCTATCCCATCCTTAAAGGATCCTATGGAGCCTTTAAAACAAAACAATTTAGTTTATCTAATACCCTGCAATGATTGTCAGGTCAAATACATAGGTCAAACTAGTAGAACAAGGGCAGTCAGACTAGCCGAGCCTAAAATCCTAGCAAAATCTAGATTAGTTGACCCAAAAAAGAGAATAGTTCAGTTATAGCAGTACATGCAGTCACACACAACCATACAATAGGATAACAGTTTCCAAATCTAATGTCACAGGATGAAGGGAGAGATCGATAACAGAAGCTTTGTTTATCGAATCAACTGCGAATACATGTAATAGGAATGATTCAACACCTGTCCCAGATATCTAGAATATTCTACTACCCCTACGACAAATGGGAGAGGACAAAGAAAACTATAAAACTCAAGTTTCGAAGTCGTGTGACTATAATTGATATGATTATGAACAATAAATTTTGTTCGAAACGTCATCTAGTAAATACTACTGTCTCACTGTGTGATACATTTAATAAATAAACTAATATGGAATGTACGTTTTGATGAAACACTCTTATACTATGAGAAATTTCTGATTTAATTTTTAAAATCTAGCAGCAAAAGTAATGCAGTTGGCATTTGTTTAAGTGTTTTAATATATTATGTTTCTGAAGGTATTATTATATGTATTTTTCAAGCCTTCATTTTCCTTTACGCAGGCTTCTAAGATTTTCAACATTCCTTTCAGATTGAAAAATCAATTGATTCTCCTAGTTGTTTTTATCGTTCTTTTATAATTTCTTTTCTTCTTCTGCACTGCTGTTAGACTAGACTGTTTCTTCTTTTGTGTGTTTGCATCTCTACTGCAATTGCTTTACTCTGAAAATCACAGTATAATGCTAACTAAATGAATTTCAAGATAGAAATTTGCATAGGATTGCAGCAGTTCAGACTGCCACATTGTAATGAAAAGTGTGCAGGAGAAAGAATAATTTCTTGGAGAATAACAGGGGTTTAATGGATCTGGGGAAGATGACAAAGAGTAAGTGCATCTGCGACATTGAGAGCGGTTTTTAGCCGTCATCATCAGCAGTCTAAAGCCATTGGCTCTTAAAGTCCTGACAACCCTAGATAGAGAGTGTAGCTGAAAATGACAGTCGAAGATTTGGTTGTTTGATGGCATGTTTCGATTTGACCACTCTTAAGCGTCTTCCAACCTAATCCACTATCATCTGTTGCATTTTCATTTGAATTGTTAGTTTTTTTTGTTAGATGATTATAACTTACCTTTTTATTCCCTGTACAAATTTTATCACTTGACTTAGCATAATTTCTCCATGTGGAGTGTCATTTCATGCCGTAAGGAGGAACAAAGTGTGAATAAAGTCTGTCAATAAATGTACCGAATTCACTGTCTTGAAAAGCAATGCTTAAAATGATGTATGTTGAAAACTATTCTATTTAGTTAAAATATAAATTAAAACTCCTAGAGTAATAATGCAGTACTGTTGGAATACCTGTCAGTATCCACCTCCCTTATGATAAATGAAGTCTTTATAGTCATTTCGCCATTGTCTTATGCAATAGTTTCAACCGCATATGTTTTCTCTTCTTTCTTTCCCTTGCCTTTTCTTGAATAGAATGCTCCTAGTGAAGTGAAATTATTGATTGGACGGCATAAAACTGCACCAACTCGTCATGGTATGTTTTAAAGAGGAAAAAAGTTTTTGTTTCTAAAAATATCTATTTTTTCTGATTACTGATGCAAAACGTCTAAACCCCAATGTTCAGTCATCGATATTTTGTGAGACTAGCTTTTACCAGAAGTCATGGTCATATAGCGAAGTTCGAATTCTTTTTTTACAAGAATTCAAGTGATTTAATGTTTTTACGATGTCTTTCACAGGATGATAATTTTAAGGTTATTTAATTAATTATGGATATGTGGATGCCCATATATATATATATATATATATATATATATATATTGCCGTTATGACAGAATCCCCATTGGTGTTCAGAGTATTTTATTCTTTTGTCGAATACTATTTTACAGTTGCTTCAAAGAGATTTTGATTTCAGTTATTCGATCTAAAAGTAATTGTGATTAGTCAAGATGTTTCTTTCTTCTGATTGGTTGGTTTTATCAACTTTACATTAGTACTTAGTTTGCCTTTTCCCTCAGTATTTTACTTAATCCTAAATGCTTCGCTATAATCGTGAGAGATGATGTTCAATCAAAGACGTTTCACTCCTATTGTGGATTTCAGCTTACTTTGTCTGCCCCTACTTCATTCATCTTTAAGCCTAATGGCAAAGTATTTGTAGAATCATTCTCAGTTTGCAAATTACACGATTTGAGGTGGGAATTCACCATGTTTTCTTTTGGAAACGGAAATTATTCAGATCACATTTATGTGATATTCCGTGTCAATTAGGTAAAAGTATAAAACTTGGGCACTGTGATAGAGTATAATTCCATAATGGATAAGATTTTATTTTGATAAATCACACAGTGTAGTACAGTTATATTAACTGATGACGTTTCGAGCACAAATTATTGCTCATAATCATATCAAGTTGATATGATTATAAGCAATAGTTTGTGCTCGAAACGTCATCAGTTAATATAACTGTACTACACTGTGTGATTTATCAAAATAAAATCTTATCCATTGTGTCAATTAGGTGTCTGGTAATTGCACTTGAGGACAATTTTCTGCCTTTCAAACGGAGACTTTAAGTGATATGCTTGGAAAATCTAGTAGACGATCTCCTCTTGGTCCTTCATGTGCACTTGCTGCCGCAAGTGCAGGTGAACTGGTAAATACAATTGGAGTTGACATGTGAGCAGGATACTTATCTACTGTTGACTGTGTTAACGAGAAATTTTATTTTTTGTTAAACGTATGCAGTGAATAGGATAATGTGCAGGTTAAACGCCGAGAGTGTTTGATAGCTAACATGAATCTTATGATGAAATTTGGAAATCTTCACGCTTGATGAACTACTGCCATAGAATCACTCTTAACGTGCAAATTATTAGCGACCGGTAATTTACACAGTTCCAGGTGGAATTTTTTGTAGACTAAAATTGTTCTGATCACGATTTGATTCAGTATGTTACTGTAACGATAGAAGACAAGAGACTTGGCAAAGGAATGTTCATTTGGGATTTGGTATCGCTATATGACGAAATTATATACTCATTATCTTCAAATCACCATTTGCACAGATCTTCTGTATTGTGTCTGCTACTTCTGCCCTTCATATTGTATTTCTTTGTCTTCTTTTTGTGTCTCGCATATTTTTCTGCTACGCTGAATCACTTGCTTTCTCTGACTTCATATCTTTCTCTCCGCTATTCGATATGTTTTATGTTGATGAACGTCTCTTTATATACTACTGATGAATCCTGTCAGTATCACACGTCACATTACTGCCAGAATTTGGGCAGTTTGAAGTGATTTGGCTCTTTGAGCTAATGAGCTGATGTGCTTTGTCCTGAACGAGTTAAATAGTCGTCAGCATGTTCACATCACTTCCGTCTGGCTAGCAAGCACTACTGGATGTGTTGTGACTGGTAGCTAACTACTCATCCCAATCAATCAGTAGTATTTAGCATCTGGGACGTACTACTCTCCTGACGTCTAATATTAACTAGATTGCGATATAATTGGAGAAATTTCATAAAATTGTATTATAACATTATCTTTTTTATATCCTATTTGTAAAGAATTTACTTTTCTTTCTTTTTTGTCTTCTTTGTTTCCCCGTCCCCTCTCTCTCTCTGTCTGTCTTTTTAATTCTCTTGATATGATCTACTAACATTATATTGTCTTGTTGTAACACTGTTGTCTGCGCATTCCGCGTGTTTATCACACTCTGGTCATCCCGTCGCTGTGCATTTATTTCTTTTGTTTTGGTGCATTGCATGCCAATGCATTCAACTGTTTGCCTGCCAATTTATTTGTATGTTATTTATATGTGTATACATTTATACACACACATACATAATCGCACGCAATATATTGCATTATTAATGTGGGCCCCTTTTTTTTCTCTGATGTGTTTTGTGGATGACATCCTCATGGTGTATGATGTTATACTTGGCCATGTTCTTATCGTTGACGTCGTCATTGTTACCTTCGTCATTATTATTATTATTATTATTACTCATAGGTTCAGAATGCCAATTTACTACAGCCTATGCATCTCATTATTAGTTATCTCTATTATTATAATTAAAAAACAAATGTAGGCATATTAGTAATACTAATATCAGAGATAACAGCACCAGTTGTGTTGATGTATAAAACAGACAGGCAAAAAAAAATGGAATACACTCAACATGACAATACTTCCAAAAATACATACTGATGAAAGAAGCAGTGGAAATAGACGGTTCAAGTGATGATGATGAAGAAGGCTTTAGTCTTGTTTGTTGACGGTGATTTTAATAGCCACCTCTCTGCCTGTTGCACTTACCGTCTTCACTTAGAAGAATAGAAGAGTCAGAAAGCATATAAACAAACATTTAGATTTAGATATACACATATGTACGCTCAAAGAATATTTGTGTTTGTATGCTTTGTGTGTGTGTGTGTGTGTGTGCCAGATAGTATAGTACTCACTTTTTTAATAATGATACATATGCACATGATACATACTGCTGTGTTACACATAATTCACTTGATTTTCGTATAAACGTTGCTTTTCCTCTCCTTTTTTTCTCTACTCAAAAATGTACGTGTATCTATTTCGTGTTATTCAATTCTCTACTAAAACTGTGATAAACAGTTGGTTGTAAAAGGAATCAGCGGTAATAGTAGTAGTGTTGATAGTATTAGTAGTAGTAGTAGTATCATACCTTCCAAGTAGGATTTTCTCTCTTTCTCCATGATGTTCTTTATCATTGACTTAGGTTCCACAACTGTTGAACACTATCTACTACACAACTCATTACTATTATTATCATTATGAATGTGTGTGTATGCATGAAATGCTACTGTGCATTGTATAGACGAACAGAATCGATCCGTACATACAGGCATGCATGCATATCTACATAGCTACACAGAGTATCCTATATATCTTTTATCTATACTGCTGAGTGATTTTCCTTATTTTGTAGAAAAACTTTGGACAAAAAATTGTATTTTCTGAAGTGTCTCTAATTCCCTTCTTATTCTATATATGTTTGTGTTGTAGATAAGCCTTAATACATTATATAATTTCTGCTGAGCATAGATTTCAGTAAAAAAAAACACAACAATTCTACTCACCTGTTGGTTTGTTTCATTGTCTCTAAACATCTTTTAAGTTGAATAATAAAAAATAATAATAATGATACTGTCTTGTCAGTTTTTAAAAAAAAAGAAATGGGATTTGATAAATAGTCAGTCCGAATAATTTAAGACCGTTTTCTCGAGCATGCTTTAGTGTGTGCGTGCGTATGTGTGTATCCTGTTTTCTATTTGCATTATTACATAATTCAATCGGAGGGGGGAAAATGCTTCTGTTCCGTTTTCTAAAATAAGTTTTATTCCACTCAAAATACTTTAGCCTATCCAAGAAATCGATTACATGTTTATGTCGTTGTGTTGGAACGTCGTCAATGTCAGTCAGAGGGTATAAATGCTCCTTGTGGAGCAGCAGCAGCAGGAGTATTGCCGATTCTTTCATCAAATGATCAAAGAGAAGTTACTGGCGTCACTGATGATGTTGTTGCTGCTGCTGATGATGACGATATAGCTATGGCAGCATTCGGTCTACGTGTACGTAAAGCAAATCAACAAGAATTATGGGATTCTCATAGTCGACTGATTGTAGAGAGTATACAACCATGTAGTCCAGCTGATCGCTCTGGCATGATTATGGTAAGCGTTAATATCAAGATGCATAGTCCACTGATTGAATTTATTTTCATAGAATGATTTCTATTCGACACATACAAAACACTAGTATTATTTTTTACTTACTAATGACACTGAAAACACCAATGTATTACTCTTAATCAGCAAGATAACAACACAATCACATTGAACACCTTTGAGATATTGAAGAAAAGAATAAGTAAAGGAGTCATTTTGACACTAAATCATCCGTACAAATTTATACGAAATCAGCAGTAAAACTACAAGTTCACCAGTAACCTATCTATTTTTTAGTCGAAGAAGTAGTTGCATGACCGAAATTGAGGTCATCGACTCGAGCACTTTACTTCCAGCCAACTGGTTTTCAGGTTGATTCTCCCTCCATCCATCTCAGCCTAATGCTGCTTCACTGCCTTGTAGATCAGACTTCATGTCCGAGTAAGACACTAGCCGTCGCACAGACTATCAGATTTTGAGTGAAGCATGTTTTGTTGCCCATGGTGTACCAAGTTTTTGCTTTATTAATAATAGTAGTTTTAAAAAATTCCAGCCTCAGCAACTAGGTAGTACCATCCCCCTTCATAGACTGACACACGAAATAGCTGTCTTGGTCAGTTGACTTGCAATTCATTATATTTATATAACAAACCAATCAGATTATCACTGGACGAATAATATGTGTACAGAATGTACATGTCTGTTTTGAATGTGTGCATTTGGTTGACTGATTTTAGGCTGCTTAGCAATTCAATTTTAAAATTACAGAACAAATTAATTTTGAGGATTGTTCATTCAACAATAAATTTGTGTTTTTTTACATTGGTTTCTCATCAAGAGCAGTGTCGTTGTTGTATATGAACGGTGAAGATTATAAATATACTTGTGCATATTTTCCATTGTTATATATTCACAGACATACAATATATCACTTCATATGGATTGTATAAGCAGGTGTATGTTCCCAATAACACGGTAGTTATAACTTCAGGTGAATAATCACTTATAATGCACAGAACTACTGACTAACTAACTGAGTAATATGTACATACAATAGCATAAGGATTTACTTCCTGAGACAGAAAGTAATTATTCGACAATAGAACGAGATAGTGTCCGAACAAATTCTCACTCATAATGATAAGGCTACATATATCTTTGTTCACTTCAACATATACTTGTGCTTATTTTGTATGTCATGCGCTTTCTTTATTGTGATATCATCTATATACAGGTTTAGGTTAAATATCTGATTAGTCCATTTGACATTTAACTTTTAATGAAAGTAGACGATTTTTACAGCTTTCAAGGAGTGGAGATTTTACTTGTACTGCTTTCTTTTCTAAACTAGTTGTAAAGCTTTTTATTACCTAGATAAAGTTGAACTTCAGTTAGAAGAATGATAATATGTATACTTCACATCTGTAAACCGTCCAGCTGAGAGAATACAACACTCACTATTTAGCCATTACTTTGATGTCTTAAAATATTTATTGAGCATAGATGCGATGCGTCGGTGATTCAGTAATAGAATGCCCCCCCCCCCCAGTCTCACTGGGCGTGGTCAATTCTGCATTCCTGGGCGACTCATTCATAAACTTTACCTAGTTTACTAGAAAATAACAAGTTTGGAAAAAAGTAAAAGGTTGAGCGTGAGGCTAACAACTCCAGCCAGTAAAAACCGCTGCTGAAACTGCAAACGGTGTTTGATGCCCTATGCTCCACTTAAAACACAAAAGGGTTGAAAAAGGAAAAGATATTCAGAGATGAATTAATAATCACCGGCCCCAGGCCTCGTTTATTTTTCCATTAAGTTCTCTAACTGATGCTTGTTCTTGATTGGAACTAATCAAATGTTGTAATCATCGCTTCTCTCTTATTCTTGCCTTTCTTCATTTCTAATTTCAGCCTGGTGATCGTCTATTAACAATAGATCGTGAGCCAGTGGATTGGTTGAATCCAAGTGAAGTTGTTCAATTATTGTCTACTTTACCATACTGTACAATTGAATTAGGTCGTCTACCGTATACGAATCCCTTGGCAATTGTTAAAAATCATAATCATACACTTAAGAAGAAGAACACTACTACTATTACTAATGGTGCCAACGAAAATCCTTCATCATTACCATCATCTCTGTCACAACAACTTCATCAGTCAGAAGAGTATGACATTTGTCCACCATATCCACCTCCATCAGAAGAATTACCAGCCTTATTCGGTGGCATTATGCCGTATATTGAACCACCAGCTTTTATACGTGATATGGATACAGTACCGGAACAACAAGATGATGAAGAGGAGGAGAACAAGGATAAACGAAGTAGGACTAATCAACTTGGCTTTGAGAAATTCACTGAAACATTGAATAATAACAATAATATAATATCAACAGGACATGAAAACCCGTTGACAAATACTAATAGTAGAACTACTACTACTACTATAATCCTTATCAGAAAGAACAGATCGACAAATCGATTGACAACCATAAATCCGCTTCTCTGACTAAAGATGAAATTGACAAAGCCTTAGAATTAACTGAAAGATTTAATGGGGGATTTTATGTTCGACAAATCTATCTACCAATAGCCCCTGTGTTAACAAATGATGATAATGTCACAACGCAGAATCGTTTAGGCCTACGATTAATTGATGGTCCAGGTGTAAGTGGACCCGTAGTTGTACGCATTGAACCTAACTCATGTGCATCTAGAACTGATATTCAAATTGGTGATCGCATTCTCGGGTTAGATGATAAATTATTACTATCTTTAGGTCATGGAAATAATTGTTCAGCTGATAATATTCTAAGTACTATTGAAAATGTGTGGATTACACGTTCAGTGAATAATAGTAGTGTTGGAGGTAGTGACTATGAACAGAATCCTTGTTGTTTAACAATTATCAGTAATCGTAGTCTAACACCACCGAAACCGTTACCATCCCCGCCGACGCCTCCACCCGCATTATCAACAGTGACGACATTTTATTCTCTTGGTGGCAATAGTAGTGAGTACACAAAAGAAGACAATACTGAACCACTGGTTGAAAAAAACCACATTATGATGCTGAAGATGACATCACCCCTGAAACAAGCAAATCAAGGTGAAGGTGCAGATGGCGATGCACAACTTGTGAATGGTAGTCATCAAATTGTTACTCCTATTTCTAGTACTACTACTATTGACAAGAATAAAAATATGATGAATTCTATAAATCTTGTCAATCATAATAATAATAACATGGCTATTTCTTCTTCACCATCTTGTGATTCGTCATCTATGTTATCTGGTGAGTTTCAATATCTCATCTTTTGTGTTTAAAATTACTAGACGATTATTACTGATATTTAACAGTAGTTAATTATGTAGTCTTTAAGGGACTAGTCAGAATCTATTTGTCTATCCATCACCAAGCGTGGATATGATGTAGTCTATTTTCACTGTATACATATATCCTTCATAACTGTAGCTCTAGTGTTTGGTCATAGTATAGAGTAATCTTAAAGTCAATCATAACAAGGGGTAACTTAATGGATTCGAATGTGACAAGGTCGAGTCATTGTTTTTCTGAATGAGTAACATTAGTTGAAGAGGAGCTAAACTTCATTTTTGATAGATCCTTAACGATATGACCGGAAGTCGATCGCAGCAGTACTGTTGTATTCATTATTTATCATGTTCGACACGATATAATTATCCTTTCATTTACCGTTTAGCCGTTTCATTCCATTCTTTCCTCCTCTGTTCTTGTAAATTCTTAAAAAGTGTGCAGATATCCTGTGTTATCCTCTCATGGACATATTTAATGAATCTTTTTCCAGAAATGTCGTGCTAGCCGTTTGGAAGGACATTAAAATTTTACCTATACCTAAGTCGTCTACTGGAACATGTTTTAAATTTAGACCTATTGCTATTACCTCTCCTTTTCTAAAAACCATGGAAAAGTTACTCTTAATTAATCTTCAACCTTCACTTAAAGCCTTCAACAATCCCAAACAATTCACCTATAAACACAGTAGAAGTACTTTAAATGAAGCTGCAGTCTTGCACCATAAAATTATCTCCAGCTTAGACAAGGGGGCTAAATTTGTTCGCTGCACCTTCCTAGATTACACATCTGCTTTCGACTCAGTACCTATGGACATTTTGTTAAACAAGCTTGCTGAAACTCAAACTGACTGTTGGGTTGTAAAATGGCTGCATTCTTATTTCTCAGGAAGAAAGCAGTACACTATGTCAGGGAAAGTCGTCCAATCCATTGCTTACTGACGCTGGTGTCCCTCAAGGCGCTGTCCTTTCTCCTTTTCTGTTTTCTTTCTTCTTGCATGACTTGCCTCACTCTGATGACGAAATAAAGTTTGTTAAGTATGCCGACGATCTAACTATTTCAATGTCTGTTAACTCCCAGCTAGACTGTACTAAGATGAACAGCTTTTTTTTGAAACTAACGGAGAAATTAGTGTTACTACAACTTGTTCCCTCCCTAAGCTTCTCAAACGATCCAAAGCAGTTTGCTTACAAATAGGGTAGAAGTACTTTAGACGCTGCTGCTGTGTTTCGTCACAACATTGTATCCTCCTTAGACAAAGGGGCCAAGTATGTCCGTTGTACGTTCCTTGAATATACAGCTGCTTTCAACTCTGTTCCTAGAGGCATTTTAATAAACAAGCTTAGCCTTACACAAACTGAGCCCTGGGCTATCAACTGGCTACACTCTTACTTCTCAAATAGGATGCAGTACACGGTATATAATGGTGTATCTTCCTCTCCTTTACTTACTGAAGCTGGAGTTCCTCAGGGTGCTGTTCTTTCTCCGTTTCTCTTTTCCTTCTCCTAACATGATTTACCTCTCTCAGATGAAATCAACTTCGTCAAATATGCAGATGACCTATCTGTATCGTTTCCCATTAAGTCTCAGTCAGACTATTTCAAATTAAATAGCTTCCTGTCAGACATCAGTGAGTGGTTCAAACTAAATGATCTCATGCAGAATCTCTCAAAATGCCAGACCATTGACTTCTCCCTTAGGCATAAACGAGATCTACAAACACTAGTAGGTTCTCATGAAGCCTGTTTCATTGAGGGGACTAAAATTGAAACTAAGTCTAATGCAAAATACCTCGGTCTAGTTCTATCTTCCGACCTTACTTGGACATCTCATATCCTAACGATTTCTAAAAAAGTGTTCTGTCTTACCTACTACATTAAGAAACTTAGACAATCTGGAATCACCCAACCTCTACTTTCACAATTTGTCAACTCTTGCATCTTACCTATTCCACTTTACTGCTCCCTGTTAGTCTTTCCTGGGCTACTGAAAAAGGACTACACCATCCTGAGAAGGATGTTGAAGGTAGTCAGTAGGACTAGTGGTGTGAAACTCAGTCAGCTAGTCACTACATTAGTTGATAGGCATCTGAATACATGCGAAAAATGGTCAAAAACCATACTCTCCGACCCCCAACACCCCCTCTATTCCCAACTCCCGCCTTGTATCTCATCAAGTAAAACCAGAAATCAGTATAAAATAATCTATGCTCGTACAACCAAGTGCAGGAACTCAACGATACCATACTTGGCCCGTGTTCTAAGCGACAGAGACAATGTTAAGCGTGAAACCTATGACTTGCTTTGTTATTAACAACATAATTTTAGGCTCTTTTATTTCTCTCTTATTTTGTATTCTATAGTGAACTCCTTCTCAAACACACTTAGCTACCTAAATTATAAACATTGGCTTCCTTTTTTGTACTTTACTATATTCATTCTTTTGTGTGTTTACTGGTTCCGACTCTATTAGCACTATGAGTATTACAAAATTGTCCTGTCATTAACCATCATGTAATTGCATGGAGGATTTCATCATGAGCTGACATCAGTTAGAGAACCACTGGAAAACGTGGGAGTACTGTACAGCTGTTTCGTCCTAGTTTTGGACTCTTCATGTAATTATTAGTTTTGTGGTTATTTTTTCTTATTCTCTATACTTTTCGTCAATATTAAGCTGACAATCATTGGTTGTGAACGCCATTGTCACCACCTTAAAAATTTGTATTATTCAGGATTACTCACACTACCACTACAAACACTGCATTAGACCTGACAATAAAAAACAAAACAACAACCCTGAAATGTTATTTTATGATTGTTTAGAGTTATTTCAACCAAATTAACTGACTATCTTGGCAATAAACATTCTTAAATATCATTTCATAAATTCCTGTATGACCATAGCGTTACTGTCACCATGCATAATCATATCATAGCTTCCACTACCCAATTACTGAGTTATTATTATATGCTATTTATTCTCCTTTCTACGCCTTGGTATTTTTTCTTGGTATTATTTTTGTGTTTTTCCTGTTTTTTTGTTGTTTTTTTGATGTTAGTTTCTTTAGATTTATTTTTTCTAAATACTCCCTTTGAATGTTTGTAAAATTAGATGTGGATATGTGCTGAAAATTCCACACTGTACAACTAGTACTGTTTCTGGAATAAAGCAAATTATTATTATTTCTATCAAGAGTTAGCAAATGATCTTCATCTAATGTCCTTATACTAAATTCTTCCAAATGTCAGACTGTTAATTTCAGTTTCCGATGCAAAAGAAAGTTAAATGAAGCTGTTGGTTCCTATGACCCTTGCAAAAATTGATGATACTGAAATAGAAACCAAGTCTGAAGTTAAGTATCTTGGATTAATTCTTTCTTCTCACCTATCGTGTCTTAGCGATTTCTAAATGGATATTTCGTCTGACGTTTTACATTTAGAAGTTAAGGCACTCAGGTATAACCCAACCCCCTCCTCTCACAGTTTGTCAACTCGTGTATTTTACCCATTCTTCTTTACTATTCACCCTTATTCTTTCCTGGATTGCTTAGAAAAGACTATTTCATACTTCGTAGAACTCTGAAGACTGCCAGTAAGGCGAGTGGTATCCCATTGGGCCATATCGTTGACATTGTCACTGATAGGCACTTGATGTTATGCAAATAATTTGCTAAAGGAATTTTTTCAGACTGTGAGCACACACTTTACCCGCAGCTCCAACCTTGTGTGTCCTCAGATAAAACAAGAAGTCTTTTCAGGAGACTTTATGCCCGTACGTCTTAGTATAAAAATTCCACTATACCATATTTGGCACGTACTTTATGTGATGAAAATAGTGTTAGGCATGAACTAACTAACCTTCTTTGCACTAGTAAATAAACCATTTCCTCCACCCTTGAAACATCAAACTTTATTGTTATTGTACTTCTTATATTTATAATCCTCTCAATTTTTTGTTTTTATTTGTTTATTTTTTCATAAGTGTGTGTATGATAACTGATAATTTTGTATTTCCCTCACCATACTATATCAACAGAACATTAGGTCCAATAATCTATAACATGCTAAAATTTCCAAACTGAATCGACAATAATGTTTGAAACAAACTCACCGTTATTATTATTATATTTAATACTCTCAATTCGTACTTCGAATATTTTTGATTTTATATCGTAAACGTGAACAAACTCCTCTGGTTAATTTTGTTTTAATTTTAAATTTTATTTATATTTTGAGTAAATCAGATGAAATATTGTGACAAATGCTCAGAAATCCATTCTGTATTATAATTACTGTTTTTGGAATAAAGTAGATTATTATTATTATTAACTAGATCTGAAAACATTTTTCTTTTGCATGTTTGAACCTGTCTCTGAGTCCAGTAACCGTCTTACTCAATTCATGTGAAGAAGTATTAGTCCGTACACTTGTTTGTTTATGGATGTATGGAAGTAAAGGTGAAACAGCTGAGCGAAGGAGGGAGTTATCTGCACATTTATCTGACTATGATAGTGACAATCATCCTAAAGAACTCTATTGTAGAAACAGTAGTGAAGGTAGTTGACAAATTGTAGGCAAAGGTTTGTAAAATACGAGTGGATGTTTCTATCTTCATCTGAATCGTTTCTGACAGACTCCAGATATAGCGGGGATGGAGGTGGGGGTCGGGAAATAAGGATAAAAGACCAGTAGGTGAGATAAGAAATAATCGTTAAATTTTTAGGCCGCTGTCACACTATTGAAGTGAAGTGACCCTCAAGAAGGATGTAACTCCGTTAACTTCTCAAAAGTGACAGCTGGAATGTTGGGCATACAAATTCGGAGAGGAGTTAAGTTTGTTTACAATTGCATTGCAGTTGACCACTATCTAGTTTAAATACGAAAGTGACAAAGGGATTAGTCTTCCGAATTTGTAAAAACTGTCTTAAATCTACAGCAAGTTAAAAAAGCAAAGCAGTCTAATAGTTTGGCTCAAAAATAAGTTAGGTATGATGCTGCTGAATTATTGACTAAGTTAACTGAATTACTAGTTAGTGTTTTATAAACCCGAGATAGCTTCATCAAACTTTTCCAGATTATATGTCAAAGCAGTTTACGAAAAAAAGAGCTAATATTCTTGGGATTACCACAGAGGATCAACTGGAATAATAGTGATGTTAGGGCCCTGAATGTGGGCATATGGCTAAGTGACTCGAGTGAACCAATCCGGTTTCAAATCGCGACAGAATTAGATTGAATGAATATTTTATCTTTTGCCATACTACTCCATCTGTCCAGCCAGCCATCGCCTATCCACATTTAGGAATGTTAGCTGACATATGATTGAGTTTGAAAAGTGGTCAAACCAAAACCTGACATCGATTCATGAAATCTTTCACAACTCGTTTGAGTCACGTCGGTTGGAGTCTGGGATGGTAAGACCCAATGGTTAGAGACTGTTTGTGTTATATGGCTCAAAATTGTTCCCACTGGCACAGTTGCATTAAACCCTTATGTTTTTCGTTGTTGTTATTCCTTCTCCCGCATATATATGCTTACTATATTTCTTTTGAAATTCTTTTTTTTCTCTTTTCACTATCTTTATGGCAACTTGAACTGCTACACTACTGTGCAAAGTTTTAGGTTGAAACTCAGTCAGACAGACTATGGAGCTATGCAACTATTCCGTGGGAGCTGATGATACTACACAGTAGTAGAAGTTGCCCAGGTTGAAGTAGGAACAGTAGGATTTGAAACCCTGAAACGTATAGATTTCTATTGTTGTATGGTTTTTCGTAATAGTGCCAACTTTGGATACGTCTCTGGAAAAGCCTATTTTTATTCTTCAATCAGTCAGTCGGTTAGTAATTTGTGTTATTCAGTGTGTAAAATGAGATTGAACACAAGATTGTATGTTTCAGCAGAAGAATAAATTTACCTGTAGGAAAGATCACTTTTAGCTTAACCTGCCAAAATTATATATATATATATATATATATAATATTTGTTTCATTATTATTATTATCTTTTATATTAGTATTTAGTAAAAGTTGGATACAGTGTTCCTTCATGTTTATTTTAGAGAGTTAATTATATTGTAGTTTTTGTTCCGCCCGTTACCTAGAGTTGTTAGTGGCAATTATTCTAAATCAGCTAGTGTACTTTTTTTCAAAGTAATCGGTCAGTTTATTTCGTATTCTTTACCGCTGTGTTGTTTCTTGTTTATAATACACAGATTGTATACAATCGAAGAGGTTGAGTTTCAACTATGCTCAACACAACGGGAAACATCATTCAAGCTTAAATGATGAAGTGTCAGAGGACTTTCCCCTCTCTATCCATAATGATGGTGGTGATGATCATGCATCTTTTGAACCAAACGAAGATGTAATCCATCATCTGCCGAATAAAGATCCTTTTTCAGATAATGCTGTTTGTCATACTATTATCCCTGCGAAGTCTCCGACATCCTTAAAAACGATCTCATCTCCGCTGTCATCTAATACGACAATTTGAAGATAATAACATATATCTATTGGATGACGGGAAATGAAATAAAATTCATTCTACAAGATCTCATAGTGAAATGCAGAACAACTTTTCCTTGCTAAGAGTATATAACAAAACAAATATTACAACATGTATTCAACTGTGTGTATTATTACTCTATTACTCATTTAAACATAGAAACTTAATTTCTTATTTATGATCAATCTTTTTCTTTATAACATTGAATAAAATATTTAATAATAACAATGAAAATATACCCTGTGATATTCAATATGATGAATTGCATAGTGTTACACATTTCTCCTCCATTTTTTATTATACAATCCTCCATTCCATCCCAGGCCGCCAACACACACATCATATATATTTATATTTTTAGTGAATTCTAATTTAGTAGTACTCACTCACTCAGTTGATTGATTCGGATATTTTATGTACATTTTTTCCTTCTATCTTTGTCTTCCTCATTTTTCTGTATCACTCTGATATTTTTATTTGCAATCAGTCAGTATTATTGTTATTAATTCATACAATTTGATTTCTTAGATAATATACATATGTCTGTATGAATCTGAAGAAGTCACTGAGAGCAAAGAAAATCATTCACTCTTCGTTTACTTTCAATCATCAGTGGTTTATATTGTAATTACTACTATTATAGTTCCTAGTGGAACATAGGGCTTCAACTGCACGTCTCCACTTGCTTCTGTCTTCTGCTGTACTTTTCACTTGCATCCATGTCAGTCCATACTGTTTCAACTCTTCTACACACGATCTCTTCCATGTCACCCTTGGACGTCCCACTCGCCGCTTCCCTTTCGGGTTCCACTCGAGGGCCTGACGCGCGATGTCACCCAGCGGCCTCCTCAGCGAGTGAGTGTCCAATCCATCTGCACTTTCTCCTGCATATTTGTTGAGCGATTGGTTCTTGTTTTGTTTGTTCTCATAGTTTCTTGTTGGTGATTCTTTCCGGCCATCTGATCTTCAGTATAGAGCGAAGACAGTTGTTGATAAAGGTCTGCAACCTGTTGGAAATATTCTTTGGGACCCGCCAAGTTTCTGATCCGTATAGCAAAACTGACTTGACGTTTGTATTGAAAATCCGAATTTTGTTGTTGATGCTGAGTGACGAAGATTTCCAGATTGGTTTCAGGTTGATGAATGTGTTTCTCACCTTCCCAATTCTCGATTTGACATCCTCGTCCGTTCCTCCTGTAGTTGAGATAATGCTCCCTAGATAAGTGAATGAAGTAACCTCTTTCAAATCCCTCCCGTTGATGGTGATTGGCGCTGGATGTTGCTGCTGCTGTTGTTGTTGGTTGGTTATTTTCATAACCTCGGTCTTGTCTATGTTCACCTGGAGTCCTATCTTTACTGCTTCTTCGACCAGTTTGTCAGTTTTCGCTTGTAAGTCTTCGATTTTGTGTGACATCAAACATAAATCATCCACGCGCGAAATCCAGGTCTTCTAGGTTCTTCACGTCGGTCCAGGATATCCCTGTCTTCTCGTTTCCCACTGTCTGACGCATAATCCAGTCCACCACAATTAAGAATATCATTGGTGATAATAAGCACCCTTGTCTGACTCCTGTGTTTACTCCAAACGCCTCGCTGAGTTTTCCGTTGTGGATCACTTGACATGTGCCGTTGTCGTACAGCTGTTGAATAAGGTTGATGAATATTTGGGGTACGCTGTAGTACTCGAGTAGTTTCCAAATTACTTCGCGGTCAACGCTGTCGAAGGCCTTCTCAAAGTCTATAAAGTTGAGGTAAAAGTTTGATTACCATTCCATGCTTCGTTCGATGATGATGCGTAGAGTTGCAATTTGGTCAGAATATGATTTGCCTTTCCTGAATCCAGCTTGTTTTGGTCAGAATTCTCCATCCAATGCGTCCTTTATTCTCTCCAGGATGATGTGACTCAGAATTTTACTTGGCGTCGACAGGAGCATGATTCCTCGCCAGTTCTCGTAGAGTCCTAAGTCGCCCTTCTTTGGTAGTTTCACAAGGTAACCTTTCCTCCAGTCAGTAGGCACTTTTCCCTCCTTCCAGACCTTTTGCAATAATGGAGTCAGCATATCTGCTGTCGTCTCTGTGTCCGCTTTCAGTGCTTCAGGGGGTATTCCGTCTAGTCCAGCTGCTTTCCCAGCTTTCAGAAGCTTGATTGCATTCAAGACTTCAGCTTTCGTTGGAGGATTGGTGTCAACTTGCAGTTGTGTACGCGCTGTTGTTGGTATTTCTGGACAAGTTGCAGGTGGTGGTAGAGACTTGGTTATCTGATATAATGTCCTCAGGTCCCTTTTCCCTGCTGCCTTCTCAGCTTCAGTAGCCAGGTTGTCGTAGAATTGTCTTTTGTCCTTCCTGGCACTCTCCTTCACTTCTTTGTCCAGTGCTGTGTAAGTTGAGCTCAGCGTATCTTTCTCTTGTCCATCTTTGCATTGAATCATTTTCTCTTTCACCATTCTCCTCTCCTCTATTAGCTTCCAAGTGTCCGTTGAGAGACATTCCTTGTCTTATCTCTTCTTTTTTCCTAAAACCGTTGAACACGTTTCGTTGAAAATCACCTTCAGAGAGTTCCAATGGTCTTCCACGCATGTTTCCTCAATGATGCCACGTGGTGTTTCCTGCTTTGCTCTGACAGTTGCAGTGAAAGTGTCCTTTGTGGTTTTGTCCTTCAGTTTTTGAGTGTTGAACTTGCATTGCGCCGTATCCCCAGCTATCCTCAAGGCTTTTAGCTTCATCGTGAAAGTCCTTTGTACTATATAGTGGTCTGAACCCACATCTGCTCCTCTCGTCGATCTTGTGTCCAGTAGGCTCCGTCTCCACTTCCTTGAGGTTGAAACGAAGTCTATCTGGTTTTTGGTGTGTCCATTTGGTGAAATCCATGTCGTCACCGGTCACCAAATCATTGAAGGCGCAGAAGTCTGAGAAGAGTTCACCATTGTCGTTCATTGCACCAAGGACCTCACGACCCATGGTGAGTTCTCTCCCAGTTTCGCATTCATATCACCCATCAGGACGTTGTCCATTACTGTTTGTAGTTGTCTGTAGAAATCCTCCTTCTTCTCTTATTCTGAGACGTTTGTAGGCGCGTAGCATTGAATGATTGTAACCTTCCTTCCTTTTGAGTTGAACCTAGCTGTCATTATCCTGGAGGAGATTGGTTCCCACTGCATGAGAGCTTTGGCTGCTGTTGGTGACATCATGATGGCCACTCTCTCGGTGTGCTCGTGGTTGTCCTCTGGGTGACCGGAATAGATTACTGTCTCTCCAGTTGATATTTCGCACCTTCCACATCCGTTCCATCTGCTCTCGCAGATTCCCAAAACTTCTATTTTATATCTTCTCATTTCTGCGGCTACCTGAGCAGCCTTTCCAGCTTCGTACATTGTACGAACATTCCACGTCCCCATCCTTATTTTTGCTTTCATCGAAAGGAAGCACATCGGCTGACCGGTGTCCCGAAGGCTTTCACCAGCCTGCGTCATTTCACTTCCCCGATTCCGGCGAAAAATAAGGTTATTGTTTATATTTTTAATATATTTATGCGTTGAAGTTTCTGTAGCAATTTGGTTAAGTTTTAGGAGTGGAGTTACTAGCACCACGCCCCAACCCTCCCCCTTTATCCGGGCTTGGGACCGGCTACAAAACTAGCGAGGTAGTAATCTAGGCGAGATTTATGGTTTATATACAGCACATATAAAAATATCCTTTTATTTAAATCAATAGGAAGTTTTTTTTAATAGCTTCTGGTATGTTTAACTTTTCTTTTTCAACTGAGAAATAATCAAGTTTTCTTTTGTTGAGTAGCACATGATGTGACAGCGAAGCAAATTATTGTATTTGAAAGAGTTCTATAGGATACTGTCGAATACCTCTGTATATAGTGGTTAGTGGCATTTGAGTCAGTTGTAGTGTGAATGGACATGCATTGATTAGTCGATAAAGTGATACTAATATATGTTTCTTTTAGCGTTGGTGCTGAATGAATTCTCCCAAACAAGTGTAATAATGTCGTCTCCGAGGAGTAGTCATCAGTTCCTTACTAACAAAATCAGGAATCAAGAAATTCCTGCTGACTGACTGCCTGAAGCCAATTTACATGAATAAACATGTTTTGAAGTGGGAAATCGCTTAGTAAACTTGAAATCAGTTAAATCCCCCCCACTGGCAAACACCAACACATGAAAATTAACATAGACATCACTGGTAGTGAATGACAACAAGGTGCAATCGAAATGACGCAACGCCCATACCGGTTATGTTGTAAATTGCAGTAAGGAAGAAGAGGGGGAAAGAGTACATAAACCAAGTTAAAAAGTCGTGTGAATATGTCAGTAAGATTATAACCAATATATTGTGCTCGATACTTCATCCAATTATTAATACTCTATCACATTCACTGCGTGTGTGATGAGTTTGCCTATCATATTTTGGCCTTTCGATTCAATCGGTGACAATAGTTTTAGGAATTTACCTTTATGCTTCATATCCGTTTACCACATCATCTGTGACAATAGTACGCAGAAGTTGGGCAACAATATGCCACTGTGTTGTTTGACATTCTACGCCCGCCCACTCAAAAAAGCTGGCGGCATGAGTATTATTATTTATTATCGCGAGGAGTAACAACCTGAAATGATGCCTGAGATTTCAGAAAGTATAAGTCTGAAGGAAAGTTTCACAGGAAATATCTATTCTCATCAAATATGTTCGTAATAGAAAAACCCCTTTCAATCAATAGAATGTTATCGTCAACACATCACAGTTGTGTAGATAATCTTTAAAAAAATCATATATTGAAAACAAGAAGTGCTAATGTGTGAATCAGTCAACTAAGTAGAAAAGCAAATACATACACACACACACAAATGAGTCAAATAGACAGACAAAGAAAAGTAAAACACTACTGAAACCGATTATCAGTAACATGATTCAGAAAACGTGAAACAACATCGAATTTGAAGTCAAACCTGTTCATCATGAAGGAAATTGTCACAGCTTTTTTCTGTCATATCACAAACACAAGATTGCACAAACTGCATTCAGTAACCTATAGCAACAAAATCCTTCTTCTGAGAAAACAATTATGTCAATTTAAAGCAGATGTGTTTTTTAAATAAAAAGAATTGAGGAAAAAGGAATAAATTGACGATCGTATTTGCATAATGTTTGCTCATTTACTTCAACGTAAACTGGCAAGTTCTTTAGTCCGGAAAAAATCGTGGCCGATCGACAAAATCTTCACCGTAGGTAAATATTGCAAGAGCAGAAAGGACTGATGCTCCACCCCAGAATAGCACGTAAGTGGCTTTTTCAGTCCAGTGAGCTGAAATGAAATGATAAAGTTATAGACAGAACAATGAGAATCCTACTCTGTTTTATCTATTAACTGATGAAGTAATTATTGAAGTTAGAAAACTGCGTAATTTAGTCACGACTGAATGTGGAGAGGAGTGTAGAAACATCTTTCGACATTCATTATGCAAGCAAATCAATCCTGTTGTACGTTAACAAACAGCTTTTCGCAATTGGTTACTGTCTGTAGGCATGCTCTGTATTGTCGTCAACCACCTTCATATGTAAACCGTTATAAAGGTGAAAACCAATCTAGGTTATTACTGATACCGATTTGATGTTAGTCTGATCATTGAAGGTAGGAGTTACAGGGTTTCATTTGTGAAATTTGGCCTCTCCAAGGTGCACGCTGAATACAGTGGCTGCAACTTTTTCCTTCCATTTCTCAAAGTAGGAAGTCACGGACGATCTTGAATGTTCTTGCTAGGTATGTTTACCTGCTTTGACGCTGTTGCCTCCAAACAGTCACTGGCTCTCACAAAATATGCAAAGTTCACTATTCTGTATGTGTCAGTCGTTCAGTGATAGGATGCCCGCCAGCCACTCAGAGGCTCCGGGTTCGATTTCCGGCTGACACACTCCCGAAAAGAGAGAAGATTGGACGCGTAGAGCTAGTGACCCCACCATGCATAACGAGACAACACCACCACCGCTTGTAATCCTATCTGTTTCACTCAGGACGCAAAAATATAGGAAAAATTGTTCAATACACAAGTTTCAATATGACCGTTAAGATACACTCCAACCAGGTGTCTAATAGAAACCTATTAAAACAAAAGGATAACAGTGTTCGTTTTGTTAAATGCTAAAGTGTCTCTCTTTCTCACCTGTAGGAAAAATGCAACATAATACAGACATGGCCAAAGTGAAACTGAATATCAACGGTAGAAATTGTGTTAACCATTCAGAATCAGAATTGCCTCGACGACATCTTAATCCATTTGATCCATGAAGTGGTTTTGGATTACCATTAGAATCGCATACTTTATATTGACCAAGTAGTAGGTGCATTGAATCTTGACGAAATCCATCATTGAAATTGTTTAAATAATATCGAATAGCTGAATGATAACCATCCATTAGCATACCATAGAATGTCCTTTTACCTGCTCGTTCAAAATAAAAATAATAATGATAATACACCACATAGACATATTATTTGCTTCACAAGAATGCCAAAAACATTGGAAATAGTGCTGTTTGAACTGATTCACTCGGTGCACAATTTCGAAGTACCAGGCTATGAGGCATACTTCTTGTATGCTCACTGATGGTTCTACTCAGTTGTCGACTAGTTTTATGTAGATGGAGCGGGACTCGAACCCAAGACCTATTGGTTGTAAGTCAAGTGTTTGAGTCGGTGGGCCGCAAACTCCATTAGAATAAGTGAAACGTGACAAACACAAAACTACTACTGTTTGCCTAACCAAAATAAAGTAATACTGATATAAGAAGCGAATTCCTATTGAAATGAATATCATTAATTAAAACCAATTGATGCCATTTGGAAACCTATTATTTTAAAGTTTCAAAGGGGGAAAAGATGAACATCGATTTAGTATTTACGTAAGTCATTTTACATATCGATTAAAATAAAGGTTTTTTGTATTTCCCAATGAATGAAAAACAAAACAATATCGTCTTTACTGACGTTTCGCTACTTAATACTGCTAATAGCTTTATCAAAGCACTATTAAACCAGAGCTTACAAAATCTCAGCTCATATATAACAACTCAATCATCGTTCCTCAGCATGGGGTCATTTTCGCGTTGTCAACATGGCCAATTGGTAAAGATAACAAAACCAGGTGTAGGTTGTTGGATTTGATGAGTGTATGAAATTATAAAAGCAGTGTGTGTTTACATAATGAAATTGCTTATCACATTTGTGTTGATTTTGTCATTTCATGGGGGAGGGTGGGATGTAGTAACCAGGTCAAACTCTGTTTTAGTAAATCGTTCCTATTCAGACAATTTGGATTCCACTTGATATGAAGTGCTTCTGATATTAGACGTTCTTCGTGATTTCTGAAATTCTTCTGAATTATTTCAATATTGTCAAAATCGATTTTGTGACCTGATTCTAAAGTGTGTAGACCTATGGCTGATGATTTTTCAAGCTTTTCTAGTTCAACTGGATTTCTCGGTGGTCGAACAGATGCTCTACGGTGTTCGATTCTCTCTCTCTCTCTCTCTCTCTATATATATATATATATATATATATATAGAATCGAACACCAAATTGTCTGAATAGGAACGATTTACTAAAACAGAGTTTGACCTGGTTACAACATCCTACCCTCCCCCATGAAATGACAAAATCAACACAAATGTGATAAGCAATTTCATTATGTAAACACACACTGCTTTTGTAATTTCATACACTCATCAAATCCAACAACCTACACCTGGTTTTGTTATCTTTACCAATTGGCCATGTTGACAACGCGAAAATGACCCCATGCTGAGGAACGATGATTGAGTTGTTATATATGAGCTGAGATTTTGTAAGCTCTGGTTTAATAGTGCTTTGATAAAGCTATTAGCAGTATTAAGTAGCGAAACGTCAGTAAAGACGATATTGTTTTGTTTTTCATTCATTGGGAAATACAAAAAACCTTTATCATGATGCATATGTAACCAATGCCCCAATTTCTTCACTGTTAAAAGTGAACTTTGTTTCGACATATGCAATTTCACATGTCTTTTTATTTCTGTCACCTCACTTATTGATTAATGACCTAATTTTCTCTCCCCCAAATCATGACCTTTGAAATCCTATTGATTGTTCACTTTTTAATTCATCAACGACATTAGTGCCTCTCATGGTCATTTTTAACATATATATAGTCAGGTGCTGTCAATTTCTTTTGACTGTAGTTTCGAGACACTAAAAACTCTCCTATAAACGTTCAGTCTTTCCTTCTATCTTCGCGTGCCGGTGGTATTATTTTTGTTGACGTGCGAGTAGGACAGACCAGCCAGCGCATTAAATTAGTATTCACTCATAGTTTACTAGGCCGTAGTTCCGGTCATAACACAGGTAAACCAAATTCTTGTGTTTACTTTCTAGTGAGTGTGTTACCACGGTTATATATCCGATTAGTTTTAACATTGCAGCATAAAACTAAGTATGAACGACTTTTGCTAAAAGTGATTGGTTTAGAAATACAGATACATTAGTAAGGGAATGGTCATAGTGAAATCGAATTCTCAATTTGCACTCTACACAGTTCAGGTAGTGAAATTTCACCGTAGTTTCCTTTGAAAACCAAGTCAATCAGATCACAACATGTCATCTGCTTGATACCACCGTAAATGGTAATCAAGAGAGAAAGCATAATTGAATGAAACCATATACTGATTGAGATAAGTAGTTGCATACCACTTATGTTTACCAATAGTGCTTGCTAGCTAGATCGATGTGATCTAAATACCGGACAGCCATCTCGCTCGTTTGAAACCAAATCAAACCGGACACACCACTGATGAGCTCGGCAAATCACTGGGGTTATTAAGCTGGAAGGAAACTATAGTCTGAGTCTTGCTGCAAATTAAACTTTCATTTCATTTTGTAATCATTGCTCACTACATTAAAACAGAAAGATAGGCTTACAACTTATTAGTGTGAAATTATCCACTCTACGTGTCTAGTGTCCTTTACTGTTATTCACGTTGCATAGTTTTATTTCACTTTATTCAGGCATAACTGTATAATTTCACTAACTAGTGAAATTAATGACCGATTTCTCTCTCTCTCTCTTAGTCGTCTTATTGATCATTATTCAATTTGCATTTTAACTAAACAAAGATATATGAAAAATATTAATATGTTTGCCTGATGATTTCGTTTTATCATTTGGCTATTACATACATCATTTCATTTTCAGTTGTTCTCAAAAATAAATAGAGTATAAAGTCATCATATTGACCGAACTTCTGTCATGTTAACTTTCTGAGCTGAGTCGATCAGGGTCTACTGTTAGTGAGCTCGGCTTCAACCGAGCGAAACAGCCTTGCGGCCTTCTAGCTCGGACCTTCCGCGTGGCTGGAGACCATGCTACCGTTGGTCCACCGTCCGGTGTTTAGATCACCATTAATCTGTCTAAATACTACTGATTGACACTTGGATGATTCCCAGCTACTCATACCAGTCAGAAGTATATAACAACTTTGGTCATTTTCTTAATGCTGTTTGTGGTGTCAAACAGGTCAAATAATCTGGTCGAATATTTTAAGCTCCCCCCCCACCCAAATAAATAAACAACTAAAAAGTGCGTAGTTTGCAAATGATTAATTTCATGATGTATTCTTGTATTAGCCAACTGTTTGCGTGTACAATGTGAACAAATAACAGAGGATGCTTCAATGTGAAGTAAAAACCTGACTACTGGTAGGATTCGAACCAGAGACCAATAGTTCAACTCTTCAAAACTTTGGAAGGCAACACTTCCAACAGGAGAGAATCTGATGTTTCGATTATATCGATAGTATCAACTAGGTTTAAATGACACTGAAGCTTTGACTAGTTGACTTAGTGTTTGTTTAACAAACCCCTCTTTCCCTCTATCTGCTTTGTATGTGTTTATGTTCACAGGTAGGTGTGTGGGTGAACTGACGGATGAAATCGGGAGTCACTAAGATTCAGAATTTGAACCTGTTTAATTGTACCTACACTGAGACGATTTTTGCATTTTAGCATATTCTGGATACTGTGTTCTTCAGAAATAAATGAGTGAAGTCTTAATTCAGATTCATTAAGAGTTAAAAATGCTAGGTGTTTTTTATGTTATCATGCAATAATTCCCTTTTTCTATATATGATAGGAAGTGGTTGGGACTAGAATCGACAAATTAAGGCATTAGCTGAAGAGGTAGAAGATTTTGTGTTTCAGCCTTAAATTCTTTTTGTTACATGAACATAATGTTTTTATTGGATAATCTTTGTCTTCTGATATTTTTTTGGTTCAGTGAAGTAGAAAGTAGTCAAGGAAGAAAAGTCATATTCGATGTACAGTCGACTTGTCGATTTTATTTCGGTATCTTTATATCGGGGTATCAAATCACCTGATTGCTGCAATACTTTCACAGTATTTCAGTAGAAATTCAATCTGAATTTATTCATGTTTCACCTAAATTCAACAAAACTACACTTTCGATATAGCAAATATCCCCATTTGGTCATTTAAAAGACATAAATGGAGATTGAGCAAGAGAATAGTCCTTTTCGATAACCTCCTCATAAGGTCATATATATATATATGTATAAGGTTATTCATTTTCTTGATGTCATTTGTAATGTCCAAAAGACCACATAAATAGGTGTAACTCCGGTTAACTAAGCTTTTCTGTAACAGGACTTCATCGTGAGCTGACATCGGTTAGAGAACCACTGGAAAACCTGGGAGTGCCGCACAGCTGTCTTGTCAGACTAGTTTGAGACTCTTCATCAGCACGCACCCACTGTCGGGGTTCGAACCAGGACCTTCTGGTTACAAGGCGAGCTCGTAGACTATTAAGCCGATGGGATCCGATCCAATGGCCCATGAATTCTAACTTCTGTCAATTCACGACATAGCGTGACCACAAGCCAATGTCTTCGTCGAGTATTTATCCTAACACCTGACTTGCTGCGCCCTACTGGTCACGACTCCTCACTAGAAACCCAGGTAACTACCTACCTGTATAGGGCCAGTCGCTAGTGGGCATCTCATTGATATTCAAGCAATGGTTTGTAGGGATTTGATTGATTGGTCGTGAGTTGACAGAAGTTGGAATACATGGGCCATTGGATCCGGTTTAAGTGGCTTAATGGTTTACGAGCTCGGCTTATAACCAGAAGGTACTGGTTCGAACCCTGGCGATGGGTGCGTACTGATGAAGACTCTCAAACTAGGACGAAACAGTTGTCCAGTACTCCCAGGTTTTCCAGTGGTTCTCTAACCGATGTCAGCTCATGATGAAATCCTGTAACCAATCAATCAAATCCTTACAAAACAATACTTAAACTTTTCTGATACAGAATTAGGAATAAACGATTTGTTGAGAGTGATTGGTTTAAAACTGCATTTGCTTAGGAAAGGGACAAACTGCAATGAGACCTACTTATTTTTAAGCTTCAATAACAGAGGAACAACAGTGAGTTGTATTTAGCAGTCTGACTGCTCCAATGGAGATAGTTACACTGGGTGTACAATTAGTTATGTTCATCATCTGATAACTGAACATCATCGATCTGTGTGGTTAGGCAAGCGACAAAACAAGGTCTATTCACAGCTCTGTTTTACCTTACTTTGTAAATACTGAGCATAAAGTTGATGTCAGCAACGTGTTCACAGTTATATATTGTATTCTGAATGATGTCTATTTTGCTCTCCAAGTTCATCTTTCACATCCGGCTATGGGCATCAGAATCCACCAGAAAGAAGAACCCAAACTTATGTGTTGAGAAAATATTCGTGATTTTAAAAATCGGCACTGTCCCCTTCTCTCTAAGTCTTTTGCAAGTTATCTTTGATTGTTTCATTAGTATTCTTCTTAATTTGTGTCTGATATTATATTTAGTGATGCATCCGATGCACATTATCACTTTTATACATGCTTTTGAAATGTAATACTCTTGATCTTAACAACTTGATATGCTTTGAATAACAGTTACTCTTTATATATTGTGTGCATATATAACTGGAGAGTTAGATGAAAAAGTTATGGGAAAGAATATTCTTTTCTCAATCTTCTTTTTTTGTTTACTATAAGCGTTCAGTAAAGTAATACATTCTTATAGCAGATAACATTTGTAGATTGCTCCGTAGATTAGTATTATTGATTCGAATGAAATTTTTCATTACTTCTTCACACACAAAAATGTTTCTGGACTAGAGTGAAGATTTAAACACTCGACTTTCCATTTAGAAGATCCTAGATTCGAATGTCTTGTTATCTGCTTCATCTTAAGGAACAAATTAGGTGACATCATCAACATCTATATGATAACTGGAACTCATAGTCCTCCTGGTAGATGAAAAATCTGTCCCTAGAACTGTGTCCTAGACTAGAGTTGAATAAGTCCTGTTTCTCTCTAGTTTAAAATGCTTCAGTAGTAGATGCTTGTGAATTCATTGGGAATTGAACTCATAACCTGCCTCCTCTCACAACAAGGAGGGGCCGTTAACCCTACGGTTCATATTTTTAACAATACTTATTCGCTTTATCCTTCACATTATGTATTACTGATGAGTAGACAGCCATAGACAGATTAATTTACGACTTTGCATAGAAGCATAACAGTTCACGTTTGTACCTGTCATGACAATCCATAAGAAGGAATAGAGTAGAAACTGGACAAGTATACGAGAACGGGATGAAATACAAGCAGTCTACATATATATATATATATATATATATATCATTCTATGGACAATTTTTTTATTCAGCTCATAATTAAATGCAGGCAGAAAAGAAGGAAAAAAGAACGCGAAAGGCGTTTAATGATCAAACTATTCATCGCTATTGATTATTCGATAATTAGACTACAAAAAGAACAACACTGTAACAACAAATTTACTACTCGTTATCTATCATAATGAAGGAAATTAGCTACGGTATGATGAATTACAAGTGAATTTAGTCGCCAGATGGTAATTATTATTGATCGGATACTAGGCAGTAACCAATGTTATGCATTAAATCTTTCGTTTGATGCACACTGAATTCTATCATTCAAGTTTGCCATGGTGTCACCCTACTGAGTGGTTCACCATCACGGTGCACTCTGAATCGTTGCTAAATAGTTGACAGCAATCGGTAGGAAGTCTTGGAGCTAGGTTTCGTGTTTGTTGCCACTCGTCAACACAGAATATCTACAATGTTAAAAGAACTCGTGTCCCTTCTGAGATTCCAACTCGGGTTAGCTAGTGCAACAGCAGTCAGAAATGGTACTACTGGGGCTTGCGATTGACTTTCCATAAGACTATAATGGATACTTTTGTTGGACACTAGTGTCATGCGTCTAATCCTTGGTGTTGGTGCCAGCTGAATATGGTGGTCTGGTTCTCAGTGTACATGTATGTGTGTGTCCTGATCGAAATTTATCAATAAGATGAATAAATGAGAGCTGCATTAAGTCTCCCACTTCACCACTAAATGAAGTTTGAATATCAGAGGGCCCAACCAATAGCTGCTACCTCAACGTGGTAATCTAGTTTGTATATCCCCACGAATTATGTTGGATAGAGAAAATGTTCTATAACGTTTTACTATCAATAAGCGCTAAACTAAAAAGAATAACTGATAACATAGCTAACACTCAGACCACTGCTAACAAATTGAGTCACAGAAATACTACTACTTCTATTGCCACTACTACTATGTAATTGAAACCACTCTGACAAATTCCCACTGGAACTTTCAATGCTTGAACCCTTGCCTCGTCTATAGAGGAAGAACTGATATCGGGATAAAAATCACAGGGTATATATATATATATATATATCAGCCCAGTTTGTTCTGTTCCATTTCATGAATATGAGATGTAATTGTTGAAGACAGGAGGCAGTAAGTGATGAGACGATTTCTGTTTACATGGGCCTACGTTTAATTGTTTACCTTCAGTACACTAGTATGTTAAGTGATAATAAGGTCAAGTATAAAATGTTATTTAAGCAGAGGAAAACAACTGATATCATTGTGAAGCCGCATCGATTGAGATGGCTAGGATATGTGTTATGCATATTGAACCACCACTTTCCTCAGGAGAGCTGAGATAGGATTAAGTTGGGTCAGAGTTAAGAATGGTCAAATGAAAACGTGATACCATATGATGAGGTGTCACTGACTGTCTGTGTGACTCATACAGGGAGTTGTAGATTATGCAGATGGGATATTACCAATTAATGGTTGAAGACTTAGTGATAAGGCTATAATTCGTGTAAATTGGCATAGATATATCCACATCTTTTTTGTCGTAGTGGTGTTTGTCTATCATAGTACCATCTATTTAATCCCTTATTTATGTGCCTTTTCGAAGTATGAGATCTTGAACTGATGCGATTCTGTTCTAGGTTCTAAGTTGATTCATCAGTCAGGTAGAATTTTGGAAGAAATATTTCTTCCCTAACGTCACCTGTACACCTAATGAACGTCGATAAGGAAAAAATACAAACCTACAGCGTCCTTGTGATAAACTCTTTAAAATTTAATTGAAAAAGTATGCATATTCAAGTAATGGTTGATGATATTGTCCGAAAAGACAATGAAACTTTCGCTAAGAAAACATAACTACCCCAGGTTGGGAATATTTAGTGTTCTGCGCTAGTGTGTTACTTGTTGAGTTTCGAAAGGATATAATTTATGACTGTGAGTCATATCCAGGCCAATAAACTAAATGAACATCCACAATAGTTCTACTTTTATTGGTTCACATGTTTCTGATTAATAGCATTATTTGAGGCATATTAATAAGTAAGCGTACTAAACGTATGTCCCAACAACCTCAGGCACCTTACACTCATGATCTTGTTGACTGACTAACTTACTTTCACTACTAGAAACTTTACATTTCACCTAAGAAATGATCCCTCTAAGTTTTTCTAGGTTAAAAATGAGTTGTTCCAGGAAAATAATTTGTTAGAAAAATCTTTACCCGCTCCCATAAACGACGTGGTACGGTCGAGGGTGGAGAGACCTAGGTCTGCTTTTCGAAATTCCTTCATATGGCCATGAGTTTATAACCTCTGATAGGTGACTCCTACCCACTGCTTACACGTGTTGAGGGTTTTTCTTACGAAAGTGAAAGGGTGGATTTGAACACTTGGCGCTTACAACGGGACTGGTGGAAATGCTGATTTGCCCAAGGGAGCTGGATAACCCTGATTCCAACCTATGGAGACATGGGCTCCAGAATCCGGATGTCATATGAACCTGTTTTGGTTTACACGGGGATGTAGTTCTACTGCCCTGTGGATCTGATTTCGATTCAGATGTTTGGGGTGTGGTTATTTAGGACAACCGCCTGCTTTGGTATGGGTATTCGGACAGTATCTTAGTCCTTGCTCATCTATGAGATTTTGTGTGGCGCATTTCTTGGTGCTCATGATGTACCAAGTTTGTTTCAATAAATAAATGAAATAAATGATCTTCAGTGTACACATCTCACCATGTCGGTGTTGCGATATTATTAATGTTATTATTATTATACTATCTGTATCACAATTTACTGACCAACACCTCAACAGAGCTGAAGAAACTATTTCAAATAAATGAAACAACCAATTGACTTAATCAACTCACTATATAAAAAATGATATATTATCGAAAGAGAGCAGCTTTCAAAATAAAATTTATATTTGAAAGATGAAAAACAAAGTCTAAATATTTGTGGCAGTAAATGATTCCTCCATCACTAAACACTAAATGCTGGCGTTTAAGTTGACTTGTTAAGCTGAAGGTATGCAGTTAAACATTCTTGCCACCTGGCATGCTGTCATGTTACGACGTCCGGTCATTCATGAATGATCTTTAGTAAGCTGCTCGCTGCTCAACAGTACCGATTCCGAAATACTTATTCTGATTTTGCTTACTAACTGTTCTACGTAGAACAAGTACATTGGTGAGGATATATTAAGCACGTATTACTATTATATATTGTCTATTCAAGTTGACTTTCTTCATCATTTGAAACATACTTAAATCATTTCCAAAGTATTGAAAAATCTCTGGATATCATTAAAGTACTCTGCATCAACCAAGTAATTGTCTTTGATGAAATTAAGTAGAAACAGAAAGGAAACTATTAGTTCGAAACCTGATATCGCACTGGTTTCCATGCCAACTTTATCCAATGTTCTGTTATTATCTCTCTCTCTCTCTCTCTCTATATATATATATATATATATACTTCAACCCTATTCGTTTTGAGTCAACTCACCTGTTCTAGTGAAATCTGTTTTTAAGGCACGTGTTCCAGTATACTGAAGTGAACAGTAATCAGCATTATCAGCCCATACTGACTTGAAACGAAATCCAAAACCTGGCCATAATTGTGACAAATGTGATGTAGTACTTGCATCAGCTGTTTGAGATATTGGACCTTGCAACAGACCGAGTTCAATAACAGCCTGTTCTAATGCACACCAACCAAGCATAGACTGGACTACATTTGTCCTATCTAAACAATCGATACAATTTGATCGGAATGTTCCAGTTTGACGACTAACAATTGTTGATGAATTATTCATATCCAAATGAAATTGTCTAAATATAATGAAGAGGGGTAAGTACACAGAAGAAGAAGTAATTTTTTATCAACAATAACAAACTTAACGTGTTCAAAGTAACTTGATAGGTAATTAGATTTCCCTGTATTAGCGAAGTAGACCGATGACAAGACTATCCGGACACACATCCAAAGTGATCTCAGTCGACTGAAAAGTAGTTCTGGGGTAACCTACATATTATCACCAAATAAACATTACCATCAAATAAAGGTATTCTTCCCAGTACATGATCAAATGATGAAAATGTTCTTTAGAAATTCCCTCATACAACCATACTACATCCATATTATAAGGAAATTTTCACAAATATGATTTTGTTTGATGGTGTGTAGAGGCGCATATCATCCTATTTGGAACTCGTCAGCTGATGGATTTACCTACATTCTGAGTGAGTGGGTAGTATTCCAGCCGGGTCTCATACCCAGTACTTATCGTTCCGAACACTAAAAGAATATCAAGCATTTTGGTGTGCTATAACCAATCAACAGGAAATACAAACTAACTTAATGACTGATACGAATTACACAAGAGGTGGTTCTCATGATCCAGTGGCCTAGAAGATAACGCTTTGGCTTTTGGAACAATGGATGGTGGGTTAGAATCTAAGTGGGAATACTATCACTCACTGGGGATGCGCAGGCACATTCAGCTGACAAGTCCCATATAGGACCAAATAAGCATCACCGTCAACCAAATGGAATCATATTAATCTTCTGACACCACCACAGTGTTTTTACCAGAAGCCAATATATAAACAAAGGTACACTATACTCAGTCAACAGGAAATACAAGTCAATGTAAACTAATATTTTCACAAATGTGAAAGTATCGGACTAATGGATGCGGAAAATCCACCTCATGAAATAGCTACTTAACAATAAATTATTACAGGTCTATTCACCAGCTGACATCAGTTAGAGAATCACGGAAAACCAGGGAATAGTAGAAGCCTGTTTCGTCCTAGTTTGAGACTCTTCACACCGCATCCACAGGGTCCCAAACCCAGAAGCCTCCGGTTGCAAGGTGAGTTCGTAGAACATTCAGCCACTGGGATCCAATTCTATGGCCTATGAATTCCAACTACTGTCAATTCACGATATATACCGCAACCGCTAGCCGGTGTCATTTGGATACTTGACTTAGTGGACAAAAAGCTGTCCAGTACTCCCTGGTTTCCTGATGGTTCTCAGACTGGTGTCAGCTCATGGTCAAACTTGTAACCAATCGAATTTCTGCACACCAACACCTGCAGATACATGACTAATTATCTCTGAACACTAATTACTGGGCAAAGAATATTCTTTTTGATACCATCTGCTTCAGGTTTTACATTTACATATCCATAATAACTAGAGAATAATTGTTACCGACAACACTAATGTTTTATAAAGAACATCGAATTACTGACATCAAAATCCCACGAGGTATTTATAAATATTCAAAAGTTAGTTTGTTGGGATTTGATTCGTTTCAAGTTTGACCACGGATTTATACCAGTTAGAGAACCACTGAAAACCAGCTGTTTCGTCCTAGATCGGGACTCATCTTCGGCACACACACACCAGGGCTCGAACCAAGGACCTTCTGATTACAATGCGAGCTCGTAGACTATTCAACGACTGGGTTCCGACATGTGTATGTCATAATATGCAAAAATATAGTACCAAATATAAGGTTAGATGTAAAAGCAAATGATTATGAGTAACAATGAATGTATGGTAGTGAATGCTCATGATTAATATTCACGTTAAATTTTATTCAGGCTGAATATAAACTTCATATGAATGAATGATATAGCATCAAAGACAAGCAGAAAAAACAAATGGTTTACTCGTACATGTGTAGTAAAGGATAGGGAGAATTTGTACACAAAGGACGAAAAGCCATAGCCTAAAAGGTTTGAAGTAACACAGTATTTATGAATTTACAGACTCTACTGCAGGCCAACGTAGTAACAGTGACTGAACTTGTTTCATTTGTATATAAATTATTGGCAATTTTAAGCGGATTACAATGGATTCTGCTGTTTGGAGTATGTTACCCCGTGACTTTATTCGCTTAGCGTGTTCGTTCAATTTGAATGACAACGGTTCTTTTGTTTAGTTTGAGCAAAGAAAGAACGAACATATTTACAGAATAATACGAATTTAGTTTATTTCGTAGATTCTGTCTTGTCAACTGCATACAACTTAAACAATATCAAAATGTAAGTTACAAAAGAACTAACTCTGGACATACTTTGATCACAGTGTGTTCGAGTTATCGATACAAAGTATAAGCAACATAATTCCAAAATGATATAAGTAGACAAATTATCCTGCAAGAAGAAAGTGTCTCCTAGATTTTCTTCGTATAAAACGCAGCAAAGTGTTTTCATGCGCAATCACCATACACTCAATTAACACAGGACAAGCAGTTGAAATTGGTCAAGCTTTGGAAATAATCAATATATGGAAAAAAAAACTTGGTTACTTCGTTTTACAGGAGCCAGAGCTATCAAAAGATTTCCATCCAACCTCTGTATACAGAAAGATTGGATGATTAAATTGTTACTGCCCAGGTAACTTTTATCGTTTTGTTTTAGTTTTTTGTATTTGGTTTCATTGCATTATACTCTGCTTAGTTTTGATATTCACTCACTGAGTTGCACACACTATAAATATTCCAGTTTTACTCAATTATTTTATGTCAAAACTGTAGTTTTAATTTTCACTGTTATCCTCTTGAACCTTACATCATAGTATATATAAGTTGATTCTGTTGTTCAGTTTTGTATTTCATCTCTATTCAATCCTTGGTTTTATGCTAAATTTGAACTCTGTACACCCACTTTCAATCTAGTCTAATACTATAAAATAGCCCTCTTATAATACAGAATAATTTGTCTACTTATATCATTTTGGAATTATGTTGCTTATACTTTGTATCGATAACTCGAACACACTGTGATCAAAGTATGTCCAGAGTTAGTTCTTTTGTAACTTACATTTTGATATTGTTTAAGTTGTATGCAGTTGACAAGACAGAATCTACGAAATAAACTAAATTCGTATTATTCTGTAAATATGTTCGTTCTTTCTTTGTTCAAACAAATTATGTTATCAAGTAATTGTGAAAATCAGAGAAACATAGTTGTAACTTAATAACCAGTTAGAAAACCATGGATTCGGCTATAAAGAACGTCACTATTTTCAATTAATTCAATATTACTACTGAAATACTTTAAGTACACTCACCAAAGTGGAACATGTATACATATGATGAACTTCTAAACAGTTAGCCTTTAAATTGGAAAGAATTATTAAAACTGAAAAATGTATGCACATAAACAAACTAACTTTGATTTCAGTAATTCTGGTATAAGTCGTTCCAACAAAATACCAAGTCGATCCCAACGAGTTGAACCGCACTCTCGGTGGAAGTCAAAACTTTCATATCTTATATATGAGGGAACAGAAAAACAATAGCCATAAAGTAAATTGTTCATTTTGAAATTTTACTCATAATAATATAGTTATGCGTTCGGCTGCGGGCCATACATTTTCTGAGAGCTTATAATGCAACATAGTTGCATAGGCTAGAGTAGACGGGCCAGGAATCGAACTTGTGCGTCGTGCACAGTGGTTAGGACTCTCGCCGACCATACATGGTCGAGTTATCCCTCCGGGCCATACTAGGTACAATTTGACCTATTCTTTAAAAGAAAAAAAAATAAATACTTATTCATCTGTCGGTAAGAAATCAAACTAAGTGACGTGTTAATACATGTTTCCTTGCAAGTAGCTTTTACCGTTGCACACACATAAGCTCAATAGTAGACAGAATCCAATTCATTTCTGAGTTACAAAATGAACATGGTGGGCTGGCCATGCTACACTGTAAAATAAGACGAAAACAAGATGGTAGGTTAGATACCACCATCTAAACCGACACACCAATAAATACTTACATTTTAGTCCAGTCCAGCCAGAATGGGTAAAGATATATTTAATTAAATGTCTGTATAATTGGACCAAAAGCCTAACTAGGAAGCCAGAAGATTTAATAATGAAGTCAAACAAATAAAGAAAATATTACTAGTGAATAAATACTCCCCAGAATTTGTTCAGAAGCTTATAAAGAGTCATAAAAAAACAAGATCAGTAATGATAACGACAATAACAAAATATAGAATCCAAAGCCTCTGTAGTACCGCCACATAAAGAAGAAACGTCAGAGGCCGGAATTAGGGCGCCATTTAAACCAGCCAATTTTCTCAGAGATCAACTTTATTGCCTTAAGGACCCAATAGATTTAATTAAGAAAAATAATATAATTTACCAAATACCTTTCAGTGACTGTTATTGAGGTCAACTGCATAGGTCAAACTAGTAGATAGGGGTCAACTAGATTATTGGAACTTAACAATTTAGCTAGACCTTAAGTGACTGACCCTGTTAAGTGAAATAACTTAGAAAAAAGCTCGGTCATCGCATTGTATTTACTTGCATGTAATCACAAAACAGGGTTGGACAGGGTGGAAGTATCAAAAAGTAATATAGCTAGGTGGAGAAAGAGGTTGATCACTGAAGCTTTGTCCAACACAGCACACTTGCAATCAAAATAACAAAACGTCTATACCGGAGATATGGTAAGTAGCAACAAACAACATGGGGAGGAGGGAGAGAAAGATATAAAAATATTTAAAGCAAACTATGAAGCCGTGTGAATAAACCGATACGATTATGAGCAATAATTTATGCTCGAAACGTCCTCCAGTTATTAATACTGCATCACTGTGTGATATTTGAAATAAACTCTACCTAATATGGAATAAAATTTTACCACAATTCACGTTTATCCTGTGCATAACACAGAAGAGGTATTATTGGCACTAAAATGTCCCGATCGGTATACAATGTCTCAAACAAGTCGTCAGATTGAAAGCAAAATAAGTCAAAAACACAATGCACCTACAGTTATGTTTACTCATATTCTATAGCAAAATCTTTTCACGGATTGGTCTTCATTAAAAAACAATGACAAATAAGCAGCACCAGTTAGCGCCATTCCTTTCAAATACTCATCCGTAATCTAACCTGTAATCAATCAAATCTCTGTACACCAACACTTAAAAATCTCTCTAATGCTCACTAGCAACTGACTACAGGACAAAGCTGCCTGAAGTTTACGTGAGAAGTGTTTACCAGAGGGGTCTACCGAGTCGAAAATGTGCGGACAAATTCTTATCGATGAAATTCGCTAGAGGTGGCGTTGTTGGTCACGAATGGACAGGGGTTATAACTCATGGGCCATCGGATTCCGTCCCAGTGGCTGAACGGTCAACAGGCTGGCCTTGTGAGTTGTAGGTCCTGGGGTCGATCTCTAGTGGGGTGATGGGCGCGTGCTTCTGAAGAGTCCCAAAGAAAGAAGAAACTGGTATCAAGCACTTCCTGATTCTCCGTGGTTCTCTAACTAATATCAGTCTGTGATCTAACTAGGAATCAATCAAGTCCCTACAGACTGACACTCGAAAATATACAATCCTCTTTAAAGTGTAGCTTTTCCAATTCGCGACCAACAGCCCAGCATCTAATCAATGTCATCGGAGAGTATTTGTCCTCCCATCCAACTTGAGGTAGATTTCTTCACTCAGTTTGTCGCCTCCCTAATGTGCGAATGGGAATTTTTAAATTCATAAAATATAATGTGAAAAAGATAATTCACGTAAGCTTACTTAACTTCCTTTTCATCTAATTGTAAAGTAGCCATAGCATAAGCATGTCCTAAAGGATATTCCATACCCTTTTGATTTAGTAAATTTATTATTATCTGTCTCCCATAACCATAATCATAAACAAGACTGTGAAAGTGTTGACGAGCAATATTCGCTTGTATTGCCTCTAAATTCTCTTCGCTGACCATCTTGCCAATTTCATTACTTATCATATTATTTGACTGACTGATATGTGAAGATAATAATTGGCTTCCACCGAGTAGGACAGCTGGTTTATATCTTAGATTGGGTTTCTGACTCCAGTATATTGGCACAGAACCACGAAGCTGAATTAAAACAGACGGATGTATACAGCTAGCATATAAATAAATAGCACAGATTACTGAATATCATCAACGAGGCACAGTGGAGGCACTTATAAAAAAGATAACACAATATAAGTATGCACAACCAATATCCAGCTATATTACTATTATTATTGTTCCCTTGGGTTCCTAGTGGAACATAGGGCTTCAACTGCACGTCTCCACTTGCTTCTGTCTTCTGCTGTACTTTTCACTTGCATCCATGTCAGTCCATACTGTTTCAACTCTTCTACACACGATCTCTTCCATGTCACCCTTGGACGTCCCACTCGCCGCTTCCCTTTCGGGTTCCACTCGAGGGCCTGACGCGCGATGTCACCCAGCGGCCTCCTCAGCGAGTGAGTGTCCAATCCATCTGCACTTTCTCCTGCATATTTGTTGAGCGATTGGTTCTTGTTTTGTTTGTTCCCATAGTTTCTTGTTGGTGATTCTTTCCGGCCATCTGATCTTCAGTATAGAGCGAAGACAGTTGTTGATAAAGGTCTGCAACCTGTTGGAAATATTCTTTGGGACCCGCCAAGTTTCTGATCCGTATAGCAAAACTGACGTTTGTATTGAAAATCCGAATTTTGTTGTTGATGCTGAGTGACGAAGATTTCCAGATTGGTTTCAGGTTGATGAATGTGTTTCTCACCTTCCCAATTCTCGATTTGACATCCTCGTCCGTTCCTCCTGTAGTTGAGATAATGCTCCCTAGATAAGTGAATGAAGTAACCTCTTTCAAATCCCTCCCGTTGATGGTGATTGGCGCTGGATGTTGCTGCTGCTGTTGTTGTTGGTTGGTTATTTTCATAACCTCGGTCTTGTCTATGTTCACCTGGAGTCCTATCTTTACTGCTTCTTCGACCAGTTTGTCAGTTTCCGCTTGTAAGTCTTCGATTTTGTGTGACATCAAACATAAATCATCCACGCGCGAAATCCAGGTCTTCTAGGTTCTTCACGTCGGTCCAGGATATCCCTGTCTTCTCGTTTCCCACTGTCTGACGCATAATCCAGTCCACCACAATTAAGAATATCATTGGTGATAATAAGCACCAGCTATAAGTCAAACTTAATAAATGAGAACTAACATTACTACCTAGTTGCCCTAGTTGATGGTAGGGTGAGGAATTGAAGTGTGAAACCCCAGATTTAGTGACTAAAGGTCTAGTCTGTTGTAGTTAATAAACTGTACCTCAACGATCACACACACACACACATTTTTTCATTCCTTTGCGTTTCAAGTGGAGCATATGGTTTCTAGTTTCAGTCTTGAAGTTTAAGCAGTGGTAGTTTTGTTGCTTTTACGAGGTGGGGTTGCTAGCCCCCCCTCTCTTTACCGGGATTACTCGAGGCTATGCGGGTTTTCAATACAAACGTCAAGTCAGTTTTGCTATACGGATCAGAAACTTGGCGGGTCCCAAAGAATATTTCCAACAGGTTGCAGACCTTTATCAACAACTGTCTTCGCTCTATACTGAAGATCAGATGGCCGGAAAGAATCACCAACAAGAAACTATGAGAACAAACAAAACAAGAACCAATCGCTCAACAAATATGCAGGAGAAAGTGCAGATGGATTGGACACTCACTCGCTGAGGAGGCCGCTGGGTGACATCGCGCGTCAGGCCCTCGAGTGGAACCCGAAAGGGAAGCGGCGAGTGGGACGTCCAAGGGTGACATGGAAGAGATCGTGTGTAGAAGAGTTGAAACAGTATGGACTGACATGGATGCAAGTGAAAAGTACAGCAGAAGACAGAAGCAAGTGGAGACGTGCAGTTGAAGCCCTATGTTCCACTAGGAACCCAAGGGAACAATAACAATAATATAATATAATGCGAAGTTTAGGACTTTGCCGGCTGAGAACTGAACCCAGACGACGAGCAAAATATCTCCGTGACAGTATGAATTTGAAGCACTATATTTGAAAACCTATTAATAAGAGATGATCCCAGTTTCTGGATTTTGAAACAAACTTGTCATATAAAGTAAGTGGATCTGACAAGCGTGTTGAGGTTTTGCCAACCGCTAACCTACTGCAGTTGATGAGGCTTATCTTGCAAGTAACGTAAGCATGCAACCACTTCACTCTCCTCCACCAGACAAGATATGAAATTAATGATTAACATTCTAGAATTTCAAAATATACCCCAAAAACACGGCAATAATCCCACTACAACTACGATCTTCATAGAGTTGTGGATTTTATTTACTTACGATGTATCACTGATTAACTAGTAAGCCTTATTTCAGAGACTTAGTAGGTGGTTACCGCGAGATCTTGATATAGCGGCGTTCACTTAAGTATCGACATATAATGTGAACCCAAAGTTCTTGTCAAATTAGGATGGTGTTAACTATGCGCTTAATTTCTTGGACAATTGGCTTTCATACAACAAATCCGTCTATTTCAAATCAGGTAACCAATCATTACTGTCAGCTCTCGTACACAGCCTGAATATTCAGTCTACAAGAAGTAGTTATTAAGTGAAACGAACCTGGACAAAAGAGAATCTATGCCCCAAAATTTCAACCAACTGTTCTGTCTCCACAGTATTTGCACAATTTCCTGCTTCATCAATCCCACGTGTATTAAACCTGGTTCCAGTACGATAGACACTACGTCTTGAGATAAGTGAATATACTGGATTCCCCTTAGCAATATTGGAGAGACTTTCGGGATAAGCTATTATTCCAACGTATCCTTGGATTATAGGTATACAGTAATCGAAGCGATTCCAGCCAGCCATTTGCTTATGTTTAAACGATGTTGCTGAATTCAGTAAAGATTCCCATTCATTCAGCAAAGCTTTATTCCATGTGAAGCGTGTATCTGCCTAAACAAACAAATCAGAATTTAAGAAGAAATACAGAGATAGAAATAAGAGTAAAATAAATAAAACGGCACAGAACGGTCACAATTTCAAACATAACCCCAATATACCTGTATACGATAATGACCCAATGAGCTATACTGAAAAAAATGACTGTTTTTAAGTACTTAAACATGAAGGAAGGTAGGCTAACGATAAGACTGAAAGCGGTTACCATTATACGTCGAAACTATACCAATTACCTGGTAATGTTATATTCAATGAGAAATACCGATTTTGTGGTATAGGAGAGATGGCAATGACTGCCGACATTGAGACCATATAATATGCAGGAATTAGCTATGTGTTAGTGCAAAATCGATAACTAAGATAATGATAATTAAAGAGAATGATGAATAAACCTGTTAATAATTACGTAAGCAAACCAAGAAGCGAAGCGGTCAATATACTTAGCTAAAAGATATTATTAATAAAAAGTAATAACAATATCGACTGACAGTTAAAAGGATAGCAGAAACGATCATTTGTAAGACTACATATTATGTACATGACCACAACCAAGGAAGGAAACGTGTAGATTCCTTTCTAACCTACGAATTTCATTTATTCTCATGAATTCCGATTGCCTTTGCTGTATGTTAAAATTAGAACTTGCATAGCATGAGGAACGTCAGGTGAAGCGCCACAACTGCAGAAGCTCTGTTAGTTTTGACTTTATGTCCTGTATAGACGAACTGAGATAATTAAAGCTACGCATCGCTTTGTTCTGCGTCAGTGGCATAGTGGTTACGATGGTCGCCGACCATGCACATGGTCCGAGGTTCGATCCCCGGCCGACGCACTCCTTCACCTCGCTAAGCCAGAAATAAAGCTGGTAAGGGGGAAAGGTTGGGCATGAGGCTAGCAACCTCATCCTGTAAAAATAAACACTGCTAAAGAAACTTCAAGACTCTAGCTTGAAGCCCTATGTTCCACTGGGAACGTGAAGGAATAAAAAAATCGCTTTGTTCGATCCTTCTTCTGACTATGATGAGTGGTGCTCAGATGAAATTACCTAAGTCCAAGCATAACGTACATAGGTCCACATGAGAAATTAAACTGGTAAGTATGTATAGAAGAAACTAAAGTCAGGCGGTTTGTCTTTATTTTGCGAAGTGAATACTGGCTGCTTGAAGAATAAAAAACAACCTAGCTACGTTAAAAGTCCTTCTGAGGGTAATTCTCACCATATGATTGATTTAAATTTGATGCATCCTTTTAAAAGTATATATAATGGTATATTTTTTTTCGCTCAATTAGTGGCTTAAATTAACAAAATTCAAAGGGCATATGCACACTAAATGATGCAACAGTGAAGGTCAACTAGTAGGATTACGAAGCTTCATCAACTGAGATGAATAGGATATGTTATGCACACGGATCCAGCGCCTCCGGCCAGCAACGCTAGTCGAAGTCGAATCAGTTTGGAAATATGCTAGGAATAGATTAAAACATGATATCAGTCCAAGTTGATGTTCAGTTTATGAGTCACACTTTTGGTGTGAGGGCTGGTGATGCCACCCAACTGTTCAGGCTGAAATAGGTGAGGCAGGATTCGAATTAGGCACCTATTGTTTGAAAGCCTTTGCCTTTGCCAACGAGACACTGAAGTGAGTTATTCACTATCGGTAGTAAGTTGCCTAAAAGAGAAGTGGGTGATGTCACTGGTTAAACTATTAACAAAATTGCAGTTGCACCCATCATATTTGAAAATCTGAATAGCAGATGACTTCGGAAATACGTACAAGGCTAAATGGGTGTCACCACACGGGCGAACCAAAAACCAAATTGACTTCATCTCAACAGTGCTCAAGGAAGTGGAGACACAGCTTACTGGACACAGAAGTAAGAAGAGGAGCAGACGTTGGCTAAGACCATTATCTCGTACAAGGAACACTCCAAATCAAATTAAAAAATATTCAAGGAAACAGAAGCTGCAGACCACAAGCCAAGTTCAATACTCAAAAGCTGAAGGATCACGATACAAAGGATATCTTCACTGCAAACATAAGGAAAAAGGCGGAGACACAAATCAACACTAGCGAAGTGACCAGCGTTGAAAAGCACTGGAACGACGTGGAAGCCGTGTGGAGCCACACCTGTATGGAAGTTCTAGGCAGAGAGAAGAGACGGGACAAACAGTGGCTCACTACGGACACGTAAAGACTAAAAGAAGAGAGGATGGTGAAACAAAAGATTGTCCAGTGCATAGAAGAGTAACAAAAACGGGAGATGAATGCAAGCTACAATACACTGAACAAAAGACTAAAGAAAAGTGCCAGGGAAAACAAAAGAAAATATTATGAAGCTATGGCAAGTGGAGCAGAACAAGCTGCAGGCAAACGAGACCTCGCAACACTACCAAACAACTAGGTTCCTATCGGGGCAAAGTTCAACACAAATTAAGCCAGTGAGGAATGACAATGGAAAGTGAAACACCAAAGAGGTGGAGGAAAGGAAACACTGGGCTGAAGGCTTCAAAAGACTTCTTAACCGACCGCCACTTTCAACGCGCACAATTATACCAACAGCGGAAACAGAAATCCTGAAGGCACTAGAAAAATGTTAAAAACTGGAAAAGCAGTAGGATCAGACGGAATCCCAGCAGAAGTATTGAAAATGGACCCAGAGACATCAGGGGACCTGATGACACCACTACTGGAGAAGGTGTAGAAAGAGGGCAAGGTACCTGAGAACTGGAAGAAAGGCTACTTATTCAGACTGCCAAAGAAAGGAAACTTCAGTCAATGTAAGAACTGGTGCGGTACTATGATCCTGTCCATCCCAAGCAAAATACTAAGCCGAATCATCATGGAGAGAATCAAACACGCCCTGCATGAAAAACTTCGACCGGAACAGGCTGAACTCAGGAGGAACAAGTCATGCATCGATCAAATCACAACACTACGTATCATCATTGAACAGAGTTTGGAATGATAGTCAGCTCTCTATCTCAACTTCATCGACTTTGAGTAGGCCTTCGACAGCGTCGATCGAGAGGTGGTTTGGAAACTACTTCGCTACTACGGGGTGCCACCGACAATTATACATCTCATCCAACAGATGTAAGACAATGCTGCATGCCAAGTAATCCACAACAGAAAACTTATGGAATCCTTCGAAGTGAGGACAGGAGTAAGACAAGGCTGCCTACTATCTCCAATGATTTTCCTCATTGCGGTAGACTGGATAATGCGACAGACAGCGGGCAGCGAGGAAACAGGAATAAAATAGACACACAAAAACCTGGAGGATCTGGACTTCGCCGATGATATTTGTCTGATTTCTCACAAACTGGAAGATATGCAAGTGAAAAGCAACAACTTGGCAGAAGGAGCATCAAAGATAGGACTTCAGGTGAACATAGAGAAGACAGAGGTAATGAAGATTCCTGGCCAACAGAAACAGCAACTACAACATAAGAATCAGTAAAAGTGGGAGTAATCTGAAAGAAGCAACCTCCTTTACCTACCTACCTGGGAAGCATCGTTTCAACTACAGGCGGCACTGATGAGGATATCAGAGCAAGGATCGGGAAAGCAAGGCAAGCTTCCATTACTCTCAAGTCTGTGTGGAGATCAACAGCATTCAGCATGGAAAACAAGATCCGAATTTTCAACTCCAATGTGAAGTCAGTGCTACCATAAGGATCAGAGACTTGGAGCATCACGAAGGGCACTTCGAACAAACTACGGACTTACATCAACAGCTGTCTTCGTTCACTACTCAAGATCAGATGGCCAGAAAACATAAGCAACAGGGATCTCCGGGAGCGAACCGACCAGGTACCACTGTATAAAAAATATGGAGGAAGAAATGGAGGTGGATTGGCCATACCCTGAGAAGACCGTCAAGTGACATCACACGACAGGCTCTCAATTGGAGTCCGAATGGGAAGTGACGAGTTGGTCGTCCGAGGGTGGTATGAAGGTCATGCGAAGTCTGTCTGTCTGTTTTCGACATAGAACTTTGCACTGTTGTGCGGCAGTTCAAGTCGCCACACTCCATGTAGCACACAAAGGAAGAGAAGAAAGTAGGAGAAATGCATAATATAGACAGTAAACAGAGGTGTGAGACAAAGGAGTAGTAATAACAAAGAACGAACAGTTTCATCGGAAATCATAAGTCACAAGGAGTGGATGCATCTGCGCCACTGAGAACGATTTTGAGCCATGTCACCAATTGTTTCCAACCATTGGTTTTTACCGTCTCGAGGACCCCAACCAGGAAGTCTACATCTCCCTACGTGACTTAGACTAACTGTTGTGGATTTCATTGACTGGTGCCAAGTTTCGGTTTGACCGCCGCTAGCTCTTTTCCGCGAAGAGGGGATGAAAGTATCCGGGCAGACGTGGAGCCAGGTGGAAACGTTGGCGGAGAACCGAACGCAATGGAGACAAGCGGCTGAAGCCCTATGTGCCTCTAGGAATTAAAAGAGACAATAATACAATAATATGGTTTCAGATCGTGGGAAACACACTTTCTGTTTATCACGTAAATAGGTGGCAAAAGACAAATGATAAGTGAAACAATCTCTGAGGAAAATGGCGCCATAATTGGCTCTCAGGATGGATAGCTGGAACGTCGGAAAGGACACTTTGAGGAGCAATTCAATCGGCCTACAGCCACGCTCAACTTACCGAACATCCAACACCTCCCTGAATGGGATATAAACACCGATCCTCTGTTCCTAACTGAGGTTACTAAGGCTGTCACTAGGCTGAAACGAGGCAAAGCAGCGAGACCTGATGGAATGACTCCAGAGGCATTTAAGTACGGTGGAGACAGTTTACTGTCTGCGTTGACTAAGGTACTAGGCAGCGTCTGGGAATCAGAGGAAGTCCCGTCGGGTTGGTGTAAGTCATTGATTATCCCGATATACAAGAAGGGAGACAAGTCTTCCTGTGATAATCACAGGGGGATTAGCTTGACTAATTTGGTATCAAAGTTCTAGGTTCAATAATCATGAGTAGACTAAGTGATTCTCGGGAGGAACAAACACAAGAGAACCAGGCAGACTTTAGGCCAGGGAGAGGGTGTATTGATCATATCTCCACCCTTCGACAGATTCTGGAACACAGGCATACTTACCGGCGTCTAACAATCGTCACATTTTTTAACCTGAAAGCGGCATTTGATTCTGTCGACTGACAGGTACTATGGCAATGTTTCGCCGTGAAGTGAATGCCAAGTACATCGCGCTGATCAAGGCACTGTACTCGAACTCATGCAGCCAGCCACATGAGAGCCTACGGAGAGTTGTTATCTAAAGTTGTGACAACCTGTGATGTCCGTCAGGGATGCCCAATGTCCTCATTTCTGTTTAGTCAAATCATAGATGTACTTATGGACTTAACCCTAAGTGACTTCAGAAACTCAGGAATTGATTTGTTACCAGGGAATAATCTCGTTGACTTAGAGTATGCGGATGGTATAATCCTACTGGGTGAAAACGCTGACAAAATGCAGAGTCTTCTGAAGACCTTGAGCAGAAATCGTCTAGTGTTTGGCGTACGATCTTCTCCTGGCGAATGTAAAATGATACTACAGGACTGGACTACATCGACTAACTCCTAGCTTAAGGTAAGGAGTGAAGTGATATAGTGTGTTGACCACTTCACTTATTGTAGAAGTTGTAGCAGCCGGTGCCAGTAGGTTGATCGCTGATGATAATTCAGCACGGATACAGGAGGCTCGTTCGCCATTTGCCAAATGACGCCATCTCTAGCTTCGTAAACGTGATATCCGGCTGGCTGTCGACCAGAAGGCGCGTGTACTGCTCAGCAGTCCGCTCTGACCCCCTTTATGGTAATGAGACATGGCTATTGAGTGTGGGAAACTTGAAAAGTCTGGCTAGCTGTCTTTGAGCACAGGTGTCTGCGTTCTATCTCCCGTATTGAGTGGCGGTACAATAAGATGAGCAATATTGAGGTTAGGTGTCGAATGCTAGGTAAGGAGAGGAAGTCAATTGATGAGGTTGTGAAGTTACATCGATTGGGATGGTTAGGACATGTGTTACGCATGCCTAGCCATCGCCTCCCTCGATGGACAATGTTGGCTGACATAGGGTCAGGTTGAAAAAGGGCCAGTAGTAGTCAAACCATAACATGACATCAGTCAATTAAATCCACGTAGGGAGATGTAGACCTTCTGACTGGGTTTATCCGGATGGTAAGACCCAATGACTGGAGACATTTGGTGACATGGCTTAGAATTGTTCGCAGTGGCACAGATGCATCCACTTCTTGTGATTTATAATATTTGATTCTTTTTGCCTCATATTGCTGTTAATTATCTGTTTTGAATCTCTCTTTACTCTCTTCTTTTGCTTTATGTGCTACATGGAGCCTGAAAACTCGAACGGCTGCACATATGTGCAAAGTTCTACGTTGAAAGGAGTCGGTGAGATGGTGTAAGCCTAATAATAATAAGCCTGATAACAAAACCCTGGGTTTTGATTATTCCAATATGAATGACATTTAAGTGGAAGGCGACTTTTATATACAGCACTTAGATAATCATATGAAGGAATCGCATATAAAGAAATAGGTGGTGAAAAAGACCACTAGAACCTATATTACATGTTAAATAGTTACAACAAACAGTAAAATCAACTTCACTCTTCCAAATATGCATAATCATAACTTACACGTTCATACATACTACGTGTTCTAAACTCTGGACTGGTATCCGACAGGCGCTGCAGAGTATGACTTAAGTCATACGACGTCGAGTAGTAAAATCCCTCAGTAGACAGAATACCACCGAGCATTTGACAGTACACAGATTCATCTTGGTTCTTGCATTGTAACATCATAGATATAGATTGAAGTTACCTGGAGGTCTGACAAGTGAAGTAAAGACTTGGCGAAAGGATACATTGAACTTTTAGTAATCTTCCATACTGAATGTCCAAAAATTTCACCAACACTCTCCCGTTCTGTAATGACTAACAAATAAAAGCCTATTTTATGATATTGCAACAATCGCAAGATTTACCTGAGACCAAACGAATTACACCCCATATGCCATAAATTGTGAGCTTTTTGGCGACCGCAGGGATGACTGACTCGTCACCTACGAAAAACATATTCCAATGTAAAGTAACTTACTATCAACTTTGACTTCTTGTGTAAATCTGTCGATGATAATAACAGATTTGGAGCCACAAGCACATAGATAATATTGGTCTGGAGTCACGAAACTGAAATAACGGAATATGAATAAGAAAGAGACGCATACAAATTATATTCGTCATAAACCATTCGGGAACGCAAACAGTTGTTTAGTACGGGCTTTCAACATCCAATGTCCAATTTAATTATGGACTTGCAGAAATCTAGTGATTTCTTGACTCTCATTTCTACCTGTCTTGGAACGCTTTTGAGGTTTTGGTTGATCGCACCGCAGAAGGTATATTCTGCCAACAGCCACAGGTTAAATGAACGTAGCGAGCGGAACAACGTAAAAATATTTTGGGAAGTGTGTGTAGTTTGTAAAAGTGTGCCGCTGCTACGAGTATTCGGAGCCATCGCCTTCACCAGATAAACTTGCATGAAATTTGCCATTATGGATAGAAGAAAGGAAGTCCAGAGAATGAGTGGATAAAAGAATAGTTTGTGTAACAAACAGGATGAAGTAAAACGAAAGGTTACAGCAGGAAGATAAAATATCAAACTACCGAGCGAATGGAAGCAGAGTAAACTGGCGAAAGGGGAGGGATATTTTAATGCCAGTACAGTCCCCAGAACTAGACTGCTTCATTCTTAGATACAGACTGACCCTATATTTTTCATACTCATCCTTCTCATGAAGCTCCCAACTAATGGAGCAGTTGTAGTGTACATTGTACCTTCGAACTTTTGTTTGAACGAACTCAGCCTGACCTTTAACTCCACTTCCGCTTTGGATTCGTGAATCTCCTGTATGGTTTCGGTTTCGCTCTCTCGCTGTGCTTTCATCCACCACAGTCTCCGAGCTTACCACCGTCTCACCTGCAGATAAGTGTATACCTCTTATTTCTTATCAAATTCCATATTTCTTTTGTGTAAGTACAATTCTGTTCCAGTTACACTTGCCATCTCATCTTTTAACCTTGATTACTTTCGTTAGTACTTGCACGTTAGGCAGAGTACGATTAAGGCCATAAGCGGTGAAGAAGCTTTGTAAGAGTGGTTATTTTAGGTCGAAGTTTACCCAAGACTAACTCTTACAAGTGGTGAGCCCGACACTCTTACACAGTAGCCACGTCAGCCAGGGAATTCCATGGGGCAAAGACCCATGAGTAAGCGAATTTCAACCACTTCCTTTTTAGTGTCCTCTGGAGGGCAACCTTTTAGGATACCATGTTAAGTTTCCTACTGCCAGTGGTTCAGCTTAAGGATTAGAGCAGAGTACGGTCGACATCCCAAAGATATGATACCTTTGGCTGCTCCATTTTGTGCGTTCAGTGGGAGATTGACGTATCTGTGGGAAATGACCGATACTCTCTTTTTCTGTAGTGCATTTGGTCGTTGTCAAAAACTGTGTTTAGCCACCGAAATTTGACACAAGCTTGGTTTTCAAAGTCACTTTTCTGTGCTGTTGACTGAAAAAGTTATGCTTGCTCCTGGCTCCACATGCCTTTTATTTTATTTTATGTTCGCATAACGCTGCTCTAAATGTTCTGACATCTGAAAATTACTGTCTTCAGGCATCGGCTGCCATGCATATAAAGGTTTATTTGACGAGGTGACTTGTAGATGCCAGCTTCTGAGAGCACGTAAGGCTTCATTCCGAGTTGGCATTCAAGATTGCGTAGATGAACCTGAAAGGGAATTGGAGATGAAAACTCCACACATGGAGAAATAAATCATTGTAAAACTCACCTCGAGGCTTAGTCATAAGCAGTTCAGTGACGGTTCGGACGCTTGCCGACCATGCAAATGGTTCGAGGTTCGATCCCCTACCGATGCACCTGGTATCATTTGGTCGGCCTGCAAAATTTGGGCTACCGATATCACATGCTGAAAATTCCATACTTGTACCAAAATACTGTGTGGAATAAAGCTATAATCAATATACATGTATATTAATTCATACTAGTGAACCAAGGATGGTGTTATTCACTGTGTTACTCGGTTGAATCAAATGTGCTCTCTGAAATGGCTGATTTAATTGCATAGCTTTCATTCTCCTTCTAGACAATATCTCAAGCACAAGTTTTAGTATAAAATGGACTCATTTAAATTTTTCATGAATGATGTAATCATATCTCCTGGCTTCCACTGTTGTGACTGATTGTTAATTTACGTCTGTTGATCATTTTCATTAACTATAAATTTGGACTTTCTTGTCATATAATTTACTTTTTATTAGTTGATAAATTTGGCCATAACAATGCTTTTGTTAACTGTGAATTCACTTGAGTACAAGGCATCTGGGAATTCCCTGGCATTTCTGGTGTTTCCTCTATCTAAAATTTCTACATTATCCCAATCAAATTCGTGTTCATAACTGTCTACATACAGTGATATGAAGGAGTACGCTTCATGTCTTTTCTCAGCCAATTTGTGTTCTTGGATTATGATTCGAATGGAATCCCCACTTTGATCGATGTAGTGCAGGTCATGCAGTTTATTTAGTAAATGATATTAATTTTATCCTCTCTTTCTATTGGATGTTTTAGTTTTACATAATACAGTGTGAGCTGACTGTGTTGGCGCGGGTGCTGTAGGTATTTCAGACGGTCTTGATATACTAACTGTTATTTAAGAAATTCTTTTGTATGTAGTAGAATGGATTTTCTGCGGTCTTTGATGTTGGCTTGTCGCTGGTGTTATGGCTTGAGTTTGAGCACTGTTTGGTGGAACTATGAGGGGTTCCGTTTTTCTTGTAGACGGTTAGTTGTCATTTTCCTTCCATTCTCCTAAACATCGGAGTGCTACAGTGAGTCTGAACTTTTTTAAACAACGTCTGCACACAGTTTCTTTTGTGGGTTGTCAAGTTAGTAGTATTATGATTGAGTGTTCGGTCTGTGTGCGTTGATTTTTTATCTGGTTATGCTTCCAAATTTCCCGTGTTGGTTCTCTTGATTAAGACACTTAAGAATGGATCTTTTTGACCAATCCTTCTTCATCAATTTACAGAAATGACAACTGAGATGAGACAGTGATTCACTTTAGATAAATGTAAATGTCTCCAATGAATGAAAATGCACCAGTACTTATGTATGATGCGTGATGTATGAAACATGTGTGCTACGTCAGGGAATTATATTCCGAACTCATTTTCTTCAATGGTTAGAGGTGAGACTTAACAGAAAAGTCAATAATCTGATAAAAATGAACGTGAGTACAGCGTCCGGATAAGAACTTGAAGCTCAATGTCCCACTAAATGACACGATGCATCTGTATGAAACTACGGTATGCTGCTAAATTGTGTTGACTGAATAACAAATGTTTGATAATAATAATATTTTATTCACATAAATTGGGTATTTATATGACTGACATGCTTTGTACAGGCATGATCACATTTGACATGTACAATTTTAGATTGAACACTAATTCTTGACATAAATACTGAAAAATTAAAAATTCTAGAAACTATAAAGAAGTTTACTTTCAATCGAATAAGTTATAAGACATTGGTTTGAGTCTAAATTTTAATCATTAATGTACTTATACTCAGCCAACTTCACGCGGGAATTACAAAAGATTGCACTATTGGAAGGTGATGTAATGGGACAAAAACTAGTATAACACCACTAAATAAGTATTCTTTTCTTCTTTTCCAGAAACGAATGCCAGTATAAACTCATTGGAGCAAGAAGAGGAGCGTTTGGCCAGGCTTGCTGTAACGGATGATTAGTTAACTTGTACCCGCACTTTTTAAACCTTGCTTAAACACAATATACATTTTTCACAGCACTCTGCGTTCTTCCTTCTCTGTCTGTGACTGTGCGTGATCTTCTGTTACAATAAGAAGAAAGATGACACACAGGTGCTAGAGTAAGACACATAGAATGCAGAACATACGTTCCTTATCAGTTAATCAGTTATAAAGGGTTTGAAAACTTATAAAACTCTCAAGTAGACGGTAGGTATATCATTATTTAGGTATTCGCAGATTCAAGGGACCAACTTTGCAATAACAAACAGATTTCATGATTGAGGTTGTTCCAGTATTCCTCATATGTACTAACATTATTCTGAATATCTTCCAAATGTAGGTTCTAGTGATTTCAAAACTCTGCTCAAGTAGTAGAGACACAGAAAACAGAATTGCTGTACATACGCCGTGCCCCAATGCAATACCTTTGAAAAGAGAAGAAAGAAGAAAACAACAAGAGTGGAGGAGAGGGAGGAGGAAATAATCATAGTTTAAACAAACAATATGCGAGAAACGTAGGGTTCATTCCCTTTTTTATTATTGAGAATTATAGTCATTGAATTTTGTATTGCTACGAACCAACGGTTATAGCTCTTACAAATAGTTATTTTGGGCAGTTATAACCTAACCTCATACATTTCTTGTAAACTTAACCGTTTATTAGAAATATAAATTATTTTTAAATGTTCCTGACTGAATGATTTCCTCCAAAGACGTTACAGGACAAGAGATGGAGACAAAAGTCAACGAAAGCTGACTTCCTTTAGTTGGTGAACTTGATATGATATGGCTTGCACCACTGAAGCACAGGATGGTAGACAGCGGATGCCGCGATCCCTGTGTGTTGCAAGCACTACAGAGCGGCTGCTAGGCCAAGAGTTGGGATTACAGGGAAAGATAATTCCTGGAGCGGACTTTGACCTATCTTTATTACAGTTATTAGTGTTGGGGTAAATGCAACAGAATGGCCAATGTGCAGGAGATATTTTTGACTGCTGACTCACATGAGTAAGTGATTCCAATTAGGACAAAAGTGGTAAAAAACATGGGAGTAATATTAAACTAGTGGGCAATCCCTAAATTAGGAAAATGGGCCAATTCTGGTTGTGACAAGATTTTCGACATGCTCTCATTGTGACCATTATTCATCTCATACTTTATAATTATTGAACCATATATCCAGTCATGTAGTTTTCTGCTCCTTATTTTAGCATTCCAACCATTCGCCCGAAATCTGCCCATGGCAGCCATCCATTACATATTTTTGTCATACAGGATTACACCCCTATGTCGCCAGCAAAGTGGTTTAAGAGCAACTTTCAATCACTCATGTTGCTGTTGAAATAATCAGAAGAGTCTACCATGTCAGATTATCACCAGAAGTGACAAAGTAGTGCTCCTATATCTACTCGAACGTGGTCTCACAAAAT